TATTTTATCGTAATTTTTTGTATAAAGCTTCCTGTCAGAGATATAAATATCAAGATCCAAGAAAGGGCAGTGTTCATTGTTAGTATTAGTTTTATTTAAAGTAAGTTCAATATGATAAATCTCTTTAGTGTACATGCTGTAGTAGTCATTATTGAGAGCTTAAATTTCATCCAAATATCTAAAAGTGTTATTAAACTCTATCAGATGTTGTTTCGATGGTTTTATGCTGGTTTTAGACATAAACTGTTATTCGTTCGTAACAATACAGACTTCTTTACTTATTTGACGACTCCCAAAAAAATCTCGTTTATAACAAATGTTTCTATATTGAGAGAAAAAAAAGTTCTAATAAGGTTTAACTGCTTTTGCTATTTAACTATTTCTTTGATTTAAGAAAAATCACTTTTTAAAACTTAATAATAAGGCTAACTTACAACCAAAAGATAAAAAGTACAAGTTTATTCACACTTCTTTTAATATGCAACAAACCTTAAGCATGTAGAGGGAGTGAACAGGGGATCTTTGTTTCCCACTTCCTTCCCCTGCTCCTTATTCGCTCCCCCTCAACCCAAGACAAAAATCGGTCAAAGAAACTTTTCTAATATATCCCTGTTTTTTACTCCTCTCTTTTTCCGGTTTCCTCCTCCTATTCCTTTGGTTTTTAACTCTCTCATTCTCGTGTTCCCTTATCCCCGTCGAATCCCTCTATGTTCATAGTTAAACACACGTTACTATCAATGGCCTTAACTGATGTCGATTTAATTCGAATATGAAATTTTTGACAACAAAAATATTTGCTCGAAGACGTTTTCATAACTCTTACGTGTTGATAGTCCATTACTTGTTGACAGGGACAAATATTTGAGAACGGTTAGGACTTTATATTTGAAATGCCTATGAAGCAATATAGAATAGAACACTGATCGGAGGGAAGAACACAGATTCGAGGCCGGACATAGATTTGAGGCTTACATATATACTTTAAAAAATATCTGAAACGGTAGTCAAGGATGGCCGTTTAAGAAAAGCCATTGACAGACTTAATTAGGGTACGGTAAATTATAAGATCGTTCCTTATATACCAAACGATAGTTTTCATTAATCATATATACCTTTTGCCATCTAAAGGCGCCCTTTCAAACCAGGTTTATTTGCTACAGTATAAAATACCGGAATAACGTTTTTAGTGCTTTGTTTTTATGAACGGTGACCGGACATGTTTGTGGCTCGGGACAAGTTTTTAAAAGATAATTAATCAAGTTATTTTGAAGCAAACAACAAATTTGCAACTTCTATTACATACAACAAAGTTGATGATGATAATGTAATATAAATCATAATTACAATAATGTATGGTCTTTCTTTAGTAACCAAAACTATCATTGTTCAAGGCCATGAGCAGACATGATAAAAGTGTTCAGTTCATTGATTGACATATTTTCGTTCGTTATGGCAAGATTAAAAATATCATCAAATTATCAGAGTTCGTATGGGTACTAACTGCGTACCTCTATAATTTTAGATTATTTTTTTTTCGCTTTTTATTAGAAAGGCATTTATTAAAAACCAGATAAGGAAAATTCCTACATTCTGGCAAAATAATTAACACTTATAACAACAAAAGTAAATACCCAGACTGATAACTCCATATTAGTTCTGACTGATGTCACGTGGTGGGACTGGCATAGGGTTAACGTTATTGGCATGGGTATCCGCGTATATCGGAGAATATCAGTTTTATAATGATAATAGTAACAGTAAATGTTGTTCATTTTTAATATATCCGTATTGCTAAAAAATAAATTCTAAAATTGAAACTAAAATATACGACAAAACAGACGATTTAAACTTTGCCATCAAAAAGTTTTAAACTTGTACAACTTGCCATATGCATAATCATTTTTCTTTGTCGCTAACAAAACAATATTCCATTGCATTTAAACTAAATTTTCTTGTAAAAAAAAATATTATTAGATGGTATTTATCACCCTATTTCCCGAACTTCTGCTGTAAATTGAACTAAAAAGTTTAACTTAATACAATTAACCTCGGTTTAGTTCTTTCATCCTCCAACAGCCAGGCCTACAGTAGTGATCAACAAAGTAATTTAGGAAAATGATTCTTCCTTAAAATTCAAATTATTCTCGACCTCTCATAAATACTACTGATTGCGATTAAATTGACGATAAGAATTGATAAAACCTTTTAGGACTGGCATTTCTGTTTTTGGTGCAGCAGTCTTAAAATTAAGCTGTGGCTACCTTAAATTAGCTATCATCTTATAATACCCAGCACATTTTGACCCTGCTTTCTAAATTATTTGTAATCTTTTACTCCTTATTCGCGTTAGTGATCAACTGGTTGATATCTGGTATTTGCAGAATTTTTATTTTGTGTTTGACCTTTACAACACATGATCTGGACATGTAAAGCTAGGGAGATTGCTCACGCAAAACTTCTAAAAACTCACCACATTGTGTACCTTTGAAAAATCAGACTCTGTGGACCAAATGTTGTGTATTGGTTGTTGTTGGGTTTGTGAATTGGTTGTTGTTGGGTTTTTTTACGTTTTTTATTGTGAATTTCGGTTATTGGTTGTTGGTGTAGCTGTTGTTTTGGTCCTCGGTGCTCTTCAGCTTTGTACTTGTTTTGTCTTTCAATATTTTTTCATCTGAGCGTCACTGGTTGGTCTTGTGTGGACGAGACGCACGTCTGGCGTATTGAATTTTAAGCCTAGTACCTTTTGTTAGCTATTATTCGTGTGTTTCTTTGTCCTAGTTGTTCTCCCATTTATTTGTATTGTGGTCCTTTCATATGATGTTGTCGTTTTGGTGTTGTGTTTGACGTTGCCATAAAAGCGGAAGGTTTGGCATGCCACAAAACCAGGTTCAACCCACCATTTTTTTCTTAAAATGTCCTGTACTAAGTCAGGAAAATGGCCATTGTTATATTATAGTTCGTTTCTGTGTGTGTTACATTTTAATGTTGTGTTTTTGTTGTGTCGTTGTTCTCCTCTTATATTTGATGCGTTTCCCTCAGTTTTAGTTTGTAACCCGGATTTGTTTTTATCTCTATCGATTTATGAGTTTCGAACAGCGGTATACTACTGTTGCCTTTATTTTGTACCGTCTATGTTTTTTTATTCCCTGTTATCCTTTTATTTATTATTCTAAATGTGCATACATTCTTTATGATATAGCAAAGTTATAGACTTACCTGTGACATGTATAACAAAGAACCAAATAAGTAGAAACTGTAGAGCTTTCATCGCAAACTATACTACATAAAATCTCTGTTTTCTGTTTCATAAATCTTGTTTGTCGCCGACAAGGTTAAACAAATTGAATGACAACATAACATTTACTTTTCCGTACTTATTTGCATTAAAAGAATTAGCAAGATAGATTTTTTAAATAATCCGAAACAGATTAAAGTTATTCATTTCACATTTTACAATGACGGAATAAAACGAAAACCACGTATTACAACTTATAACATTACATTAAAGCCATTGAAGGATAGTCGATTCGAACGCTCCTTAAAGCTTTTGTTATTTGTTAATTATGTGGATCGATTTTCATTAAAACCTTTGACTTTACCCAACAATATTTTCTAAAGCAACTACACTATTTGTACGAATATCCTATAAGTATAATTTGATCTTGGTACAATAAGAAAACTATGAACATAACAAACAAGCAACAAATAGAAAATATCGTCAAATGTTCATGAGCATCTAACGACAACTAAAAAAAAACAATCAATAAATTAAACGGATGCTGACAGCATGCGGAACATTTTTTTCAAACATTAAGCGTTATACAGAGCGATACATTTGATAACGTTATTGTGAAACTTACCTTATTCTCACGCTTAAAGTGTGTAATGACCTTTATTATCGGTTGTCTGTCTTTAGTTTTATATTAATGGTTTTTATACCTATTATGGGATTTGATACTAATGGCAGATCTTTTGTAGCTGATGAAATTAGATTCACAACTTGTCTGCGCTGAAGTTTATGTAGTTTGATATATTGTTAATATATGTCAACGACCATGCTGTTGTTTATCTGTATGTGAAAGTACGTTGGTGTTGTTGGTTTGCTGTCACATTGACGTATTATCAAAACAAAATTACTTCATATTATATTTATCAAAAATACAGTATTGTAAAAACACAGAAAAGTTTATAAGTATTAAGATTAGGTATGATTGCCAATGAACCAACTATGTTCAGACCAAAGGAAAAGGATGTAAACATTTACAAGACACATTTACAGCCGTCAGGAATAAGGAATAAAATAATACCATCAGCTAACAAAGCACCTGTATGACAAAATTTGAAACAACTCAAAAAGGAAAACCAATTGCATGGTTTATATTACAACAATGAACGAAAAATAAATCTGGCAGACAGCAACAAACGAAAAACAAATATGGTAGACAACAACAAACAAAAACAAATATGGATTACATGTTCCTGGCTTTAAATAAGCTCGCAAATGATGCAAATGGTTTAACATGTTTGTAAGCGCGTATCCCTCCCTTTACCAGGGTCAGTAATGTAACACCCTCCCTTTACCTGGGACAGAAATGTAACAACACAATTTAAGAACAAACTGTAAAAATCAATTGGAAAGGGATTGACTGATCTGCTCGTTGCTTTGCACAAAAGCAAAAAACAACAAGACCAAAGTATCGATTTAAGAGTTACTGAAAGTTAGTTGAAAGCCCAACTTCAACAAGTAAAAAACATGTTAAGCCAGACTTAAATTTCAATCAGAACACCTATGATGGATTCAGGACAAAAACATCATGAGCAGTCTGATAAAGGCATGATTATGATCAATGCCAAAATATAAGTATCGGATGAAGGACCATAAGTGTTTATATATGGATAACAATATATGTTTAAGTAGGACTCAAATCATAAATATTCAAACAAACGTTAGTATCGATAAAGATAATATTCAAATATCTTTTTACAATGCTAAATTCATAACCTTTAAGAATGACTTTATTCAAAAATAAGTTTGTATGGATCGTATCTTAATTTCCTATCTGTAAAACAAACATCACGATAAAAATAGGGATGTGATATCTTATACTATTTATTATTTCTTAGCATCTGTGTGTCAAATTGTAACATTATGCCAAATTCGCCAGTCTACTCTTTCTATATCTCTACTACTAATGAATTGCAAATATTACGAGCTTTAATTATTTGATGTAAAATGTACTTTTTGCGAATTATAAATTTAGATATATATACAATTTGCACATGGTATTTATTGACTCTTAGTCTTTAACAATGAGCAACACTCATACCGTATAGTCAGCCATAACAGGTATCGATTGGTACGGGTTTATTTTTCGCAGAGGGGTCTGTTGTAAGTACTTAATTGGTGTAGTTTGTTGTACTGAACAATATACCTGTTAATAACTGATATGCATCCTTTTTATGCAATATGTTCTTTAGAAACTTTATGAACATACTTTTTTTTATTCACATGATATATGCAAACATACATTTATATATCAGTTTTAAGAAAAATCTTGAATATATACATAAATAAAACCATTTTTTTCATAAATTAATTAGCATTTCATTTGAATATACCATGCTGACACATTTATATTTCAATTTCAATAAACATCTGTTCAATATACATGTATATAAATAAAACATTTTTTTCTCAAGTTAATAAATCAACATTTCATTTGAATATATCAGGCAGAAAATATACTTTCAATATCAATAACATTCACATAATGCAATTGCCTGAACTTTATTCTTTGCAAGAGTGTTGTAGTTACCGACATTAATGAACAAACGATAGAATCAAAGACATTCAATGTAAATAATTATGATTTGCAACAGAAAAAATGGAATTAAAATTTCCTAAAAAAACTGTCATTTATACGTTATGATATATTCCGGGTAACATTTACTGCTATCATACACGACGAATTCCCTTCTATTGAATTCTGCAACTACGGAATCAAAGAGTTCAGAATGTGTTGTACACAAATCATTGCTGCACATTTTGCAAGGAGGTCTTTTAAACGATTTAGTGTTTTTTGTAATGAAAATGTCACCTAAGCAAACTCTCATTAGAAACATCTTGCTCTCTCCGTTTTGATTTTGATCTGAAATGAATTATAAATATTTTCAAATTAACCGAGTGCTTAAAATTCATCATATTTGACTTTGAGAAGTCACAATACATTTGCACATTTCAAGCATTCAATCGGCTGAGATCACCCCAGCTTTTGGTGGGTTTGTTTAGTTTAGTGTTTTGTTTCTTTGTAGTGTTTTGTGGACTTGGTTGTCTTATTGTCGTCTTTCGTTTTTTGTTGGTTGTCAGTTTCTCTTCGAATTATTAGTTTTACATGTAACCTTTTTATCTTCCACCAACTTTTTTATCCGATTCCATTCTTATGTTTGTACTAGTATAGCTATCAGTGTTCTGTGAAAACGTGTTACAAAATAAATCGTCTATTGCATTTATAGTTGTTGTCCATTCGTTTGATGTGTTTTGTCATTTGATTTTGCCATGTGATTAGGGACTTTCCGATTGAATTTTCCTCGGAGTTCAGTATTTTTGTGATTTTACTTTTTATATTTAATTAAATACAATCATTGAAATTCATAGTCTACTATTATATAATTCTGATTGATTAAAAACGGAAAATTTTAGGTCTAAAACTCGTTTCACATCGCCACATATTCATGTACCTGTCCGAAACTAGATCATCGTCAGAGGTTGTCGGAATTTTTGTTAATGACATATCTTTGATATTTTCCATTGATTTTTTTGCAACTTTTCTAAACTCATGACCATTTAAAGCTTAGTATAGTGTATTAACGTTTGTTTTTGCTGACCTTTAGATGTCTTTGTTTGTGCTGCTCGGTTAAAGCTTATTTATTACACCCAAATATCATTTTGTCAATAGATGATAAAATAATTGATGTAACGATTTAAAATGTTTGATTTTTTTAAAACGTTTGTAGGGATTTTTCCACTCCATATCAACTAGATAGGTATCAGTTCCCAATTTAACTTTACCTGTATAACCAGCCGATTTGTCTGCCATATCTGCAGCATACACTCCTGTCCCCAACAGTCCCGATGAAGCAAGCCTACTATCAAGACCCTGTTGTGTGATAACATCAACTACTGCAACTTTTGTACCATGAAACAAATAAAATTCATTAATTTCGTCGTGTAAATGCTCGGTCATTTCTTTATCAATGTGCGTCATAGTAACTGCAATACCAGTCGATTGTTGTACATCTTTGAGCGGTGTGCATTTATTGGTAACATACGCCTTACGGAACGTTCTTTGACACTCTTGCATGTACTGCTCAAAGAGTAATATATTCTCTATTCTTTCGATTCGAACTATCGTGGACCCTCCAGTATTGCTAAATGCTCTAGAAATTGATTTATACGTTTTTTGGTCAACGCTCGAAACTTTGTACGGATTGCCCTTTTGGGTAGTATTCCATTCTTTTATGGTTTTATTATTCTTGAAGTGTGTCCAATATGATGGCGTTCTGGGCTCCTCTTTATATTTATGACCAAGGTAAGCTCTTGTACCACGTTTTGGTGTTTGGGATGGTGCTTGAGCTACACTTGCAGTAGCTGAAAATAAAAAAAAAACATTATTCTATTTCTTTTAAATGCATAAAATTTTCGCAGAACCAGAGATGAAATCGCATGGTTGCTACCAGAGGATTATTAAGCTAACTTTTAATGGAAACATTTGCCATTTAGGCATTGAAATAAATATACATCATATATAAAAAAAAAGATCCCCTTTGAAGCTCGGGCACACAATATCTAATGACACTAAATAGCAGCCAAAAAGACTGCTTTTAATAAAGATCTAAATTGTGATACATATTTTTTTTTTATCTTCGTTACAATTTGGTCAGTAACTAATGACACTACTAAGCAGCCAACAAGACTGCTTCTAGTCAAGATATCTGTATGTGAATTGCGATAATTATAATTATATCTACATGAGTATTTTGTTAGTAACTTTCACCATTTGCACCTAGAATTGCATCCAAATGAAAATAATACTTTATAAATTTCGTGCGTCCGAAGCTCATGTCAGTTTTAACCTTCAAAGTAAAAATAATAAATAATACCATTCATCGTGCCTCCATGACGTTCTAAATGTTATTTTCATGATACCACATTTTTGAAGATACACTTAACAATTAACAAAACCATTAAGGAAGAATATATCTTGTAAGTGAGTATAATACCTCCTTTGCCTGTTGAAGTCACTTCTGATGTGTATGCCTGCAAAATAACACACCAATGTCTTACAATTTATTGACACATCACTATTTGCACATTACAGTAAACACTTGCACTCATTGGTGTCTGTCGTTTTTAAACAGTGGGTTTGCTTTTTAAGTCTAATTATTTTAATGCTTTACAGTATAATAAGCGAAAACAACACGTTTTTAATTCCATGTGTCCGAAGCGTTTTTCTGGATTTACCTTCATCAGGAACGCTCAAAGCCAAATATTTCAAAGCCGAGGATGTATAAGGACCGAAACAGTTGAAGAGCTATATGACCAAAAGTATTAAAAAATAGCCAAATCCATCGAAGGTCAACTTTGCCAGAGGGAGTAAAAACCTTAGTTTCTTTATAATTTCAAAATCTATAAACGGACAATTTTAAAAAGGTTTTTTATAAATCATGTCAGTACCGAAGTACTGACTACTGAGCTGTTGATTCACTCGGGGAATGATAGTCCACCAGCAGAGGTATAAAACAGTTAAGTTACAAAACTATTACCAAACAATTTCCGTTTTGCATAATTTAAAAAGAATAATTTGTTTTTATTTATAATTAATTTGATGAATTGAATTTACTAATCTTTTTCTATTCGCCATAATACCAAAAATACCATAAATAATCAAAAACCATTCGAAGCTCGTAATGTCACTAAATAAAAGTTATCTTATATATTGACTCTCACTACGAATTCAAAATTAGATAAAATGACAAAATCATATTGAAATCTTACTTTCAATTGACACAAAGTAATGTACAAACTAAGAAAACACAGACAACACAAAGATGATTGGACCTGCAGTGTGTTACCTATATGAAATATATGCATATTATTACTCTAGAAAATATAAAATTGCTAATACTTCAAACTGTTCCGTTATCTTCAATGTGAGTCATAATCATATTTAAATATGCGAGTACCTGTTCAACTGAGCTCCAATCGTTTGTTCCACCAAAAATAACAATTTTAATCGTTTTAAGGGTTGATGGCGAATTGTTCGTCTCGAATTCTCTAATTGCCTTTATTACATTAGTAGCAGCAGTTTTGGGTGGAAACTTCAGAAAGCCTGTTCCTAGCGCCGGAAATACTATGCTTTGGACTGAATTCTTTTTAGCTTCGACTAGACATTTTGTTACAAAACTTTGTAGAACCTAGACAAACACAAAAGTAGCATGAAATATTTTGAAAGCAAAAAATGAATTATGGTTTCAATATTACTTTCTAAATACAAAATTTACATGACATAGCATTAACATTCTTATACTGATCGACATTCTAGGTATTTTTTTATAACGTAGAATCATCAATCAAACAAATATACAAATGCATGGAATATTTCCAGAATTTTTTATTTAAATCCATAGAAACCCAAATCATAAAGTTATGATATTTTTTTTTATTTGATAAATGGTCGATGAGATTAAAAAGGGCTCACAAATATTCAAAGGACACGTAAGAGTCTTGCGTCATAAATAACACTTTTCATTTCATATGTTTAAAAGAAAAACCAAAAATATTTGGATGTTAATAGTCTTTATGCAATTTCCCTTTTGTTTTAAATGTATCGAACATACGTTAAAGAGGTATCGAAAATACGTTAGGGAGGTATCGAACATACATTAGAGGTATTAATACAAACCTTCTCTGGAAGCATTCCACTTTCCTTCTTTGCATAGAAAGATGTCATACATCCGTGATAGAGCTTTTTACAATGTAGTGAATGACCGCCAGTCACAGCAAGGTCCCCAATTTTTATACCATTGGGATATGTTTGGTCTATTTCAGCCTGTAATCCACTTCCTGCAGCTTCATACATAGCCTTTGCTAATCCTGGTCTTGCATCAAGTTTCATATCAGAGGGACAACTATTCACAATTACGTCTGCCTACGAAACAACGGAAAAAAAGCAATTACAAAAATTTATATAAAATCATTGAATGCACTAGTACTGAAACGGAGATTATTAAAAAAATTATCTTCAAATGTATGTTTACTTAAAGATAGAAAATTTGAAACCGTGTTCTGTAAAATAGTTTACAAACTACTTTTTCAAATTTATTTAATTATTATCAGGTAATCTTGTAAATCCAAGTTTAGAAAACCATATATGTTTTTAGTTTTAAACATCCTCTTTTGTGCACGTACACACACCCAGATATGAGTATCAAGGTGTTAATTAGTTCATCAAATATGAAATACCGAATTAGACTTATCACATGATTTATACTTACATGAACAACACGACGGTTGCAACATGTGGAGCAAAATCTGCTTACCCTTCCAGAGCACATGAGATCATCCCCGGTTGGGGTTCGTATTGCTCAGTCTTTAGTTTTCTATGTTGTGTTTTGTGTACCGTTGTTTGTCTTTTAATCGTTTTTCGTTTATTTGCCATATCTTTGTCAGTTTGTTTTCGACTAATGAGTTTGAATATCCCTTTGGTATCTTTCGTCTCTCTTTTAGTCCGAGATTGCTCTGACGTCTGACTGCCTTTGAGACTTTTTTTAGGTACCACGGTCCCAATAAGTCATTGAAAAGGCCGTCAGACGTCAGAGTAATCTCGCACTAGGTGTGACTATAGCTTATATAAAACAATATAAATAAAGTTTGATCAGTGTTGATTGAAAATAACTACTGAACTGTTTGAATGTGTTTCCAAAGTTCTGAAATGACCCTGTATGATATAAATGATGCGTTCTTCTTATTTTTTTGCAAACGTCGTCTTTTTTTTTTTAACTATCCTTACTCGTTCAGTTATGATAGATCCTACTGCAATGTTAACACTGATAGTGCCAATGTTAGCATCCAGAGAATTTCGGGTTACCATGTCTTTTTCCTGTAGACCTTGAAATTAAAGAAGAAAAATATTATCTATAAAATCTACAGATTTTCTTGACTTACTACTGGATATAGCGTAAGAATCAAATAAAATGTTATGCATTCATGGCAGAAAAAAGTTTGACATTTCGGAGTACAGGATCACATTTAATTTGGACTGTGTACGATTCCGCTATTTTTCTTCATTATTTTTTTTTTTAATATTTGAGCTTAAGATTCCATACTGACACTTTGATACTAGCTAAATTATCAACCTACATCAGTTTTATATGAAGTTCATTAGTTACTCCAAAATGCTGTTCTACAATGGCATTTATATAGCTATGTATGAGTATCCAAGAGTACTAATTACGTCGAGGCTGGGTATCGTCTTTATTTCTGTGTCAGGTATGGACGTCACGTTAAAAGTTAAGGATAATTGAGCAACCATTAAGAAAGTGAACAGCTATGAAAGCGCAGTTCCGTTGATATATTATAATTTTTAAAACGAATTCATTTTTCAAATTTAAAATGAGAACAAACGAAGGAATGAACTATTGTACGTCTATCAAATTATTTCCGGTGCATATTAAGATGAAGAGCATACTATAAGAGTACTCTTGAATCAATCTTGAATAAGGAAATTAATTAAAGGACTTTTCATTTAAATGAAGACAAAATTATGTTATTGCATCTTGTGTAATAATTTTGTGTACAAATACATACGTGTACAAGCTTTTGATATAATTGATCATTTAAAACTGTATATACACAACGAGATCATTCAGAGACCTTATAATTTCATAATGAATTGTAGTTATTTTACCTAGCAAGAAAACGAACCCCAATTTTTTTTTTTCAGTTTAATTTCCATAAGGTATTTATAGACAGTATCTTCGCGTTTTTATTCCAAACCAAATTATTTATTTGTTTTCTAATCACTTATGCGTGTTTTCCCGTATAATCTTAATAAATAAAGGCAATAGTAGTATACCGCTGTTCAACGGTCATAAATCGATTTAAGGCGAAGTGTACGTAATTAACTACTCCACAGAATTTTTTAAAATTTTACATGTGGATTCTGCTTGTAAAAATACATCACACAATAAAATAAAAAAAGGGGGTAACCGTTTTCGTTTTTCAGATACAAGCTGTTGAAATTAACAGCATGATAAGCCAAAAATACAAAGGATATATAGGGAAAATCATAAAAATCGGCAGATATTTTTACTTTATCAAGATTTTCTAATTCGTTGCTCCACAGAATTTTTTTTAAAATCGATATGCGATTCAAAAATGAACGACGAACCCATTGGTGCAAAGAAAGTCCTTAGCAACCGTGCTAGTTTTCAAGCTATATCCTGTGGAAGTTTGATTTCTAGGGGAAAGAATAAAAACAATCGGCGACGTTATTGATGTCTACTGTAACGTCATCACAATTTCTACTCTATAACGTAATACCGTACAGTGTCGTAACAAAATCGTGAGTGTGTATAACCCATTTTCCTAATTATTGCAAATGCTCAAGCGTTAATTTCTGTGTCATTTGGACTCTTGTGGAGAGTTGTCTTATTGGCGTTCATGCCACATGTTCTTTTTTTATATTGTAATGTTCTAATAATTATGAATCAAATATCAAGTTTAAAATTGTCCCAGTAAACACAGCGTTGACAGAATGATTCTATACGTATTTAAATAATCGGTTATAATATTGGGATCGCGTATACACGTCTTTTTTAAAATCTTATTTCTGCATGTTTGTATTTTAAAAAAGTGAATATAATTTGCTGCATCTTTTCATCCTCACCATTTCCGGCGCTATTCGAGGGATTGCGCACAAAGCCCATTTTTTGTCAGGTTCACACGCGTGCACGTGACACAACTCTGCAATTTTATTTAAAAAATTTCCTGTCTGGATCGCTTTCCCTTTTCTTTAACTACACGACAAAGCATGATTTAATGTTTGCTGGAGATTTTAAGTAAAAAAGGAAATAATTTTTTGTTCCATAATTTGTTTAATATCCACATGCACGACTCCCAAAAAATAAGAAAACTGCATCTGCATATTATCTTGAGAATTTTTATGACTGTAATAAGGTCAAAAGAAGAACCCGCATATGAATTTTAGCAAAGTAAAACAGATCGGAGTTTTAACTTCACGTAGCACAGATCATTCCCAGTGTTAGACTTAGCATTGCGTATATTGTGTATAATGCTATAGCATTGTGTATTGTGTAATGCTAAAGCTTTGTGCATAGTGATATGCTATAAATTAATGTACTGGTGTAATGCTATAAGAATGTACCAAGAGCGATGCTATACGAGTTTACCTAGTATAGTGCCATACAAATTGTTCCTGTATATAATGCAAATGAATTGCAGTTTTGTTAATATAATATGAACATAAGGAGCTGTGGTATGATTGCAAATGAGACAACTATCTACCACGTTTAAGGTAGATCGGGTGTCTTTTTCTGAGCGTCCGTTCTGATCATGTTAATTGCAAAAACTTTTTTGTTTTAAAAATATTTTACCAAGTATCATTTAATATACAACAAAATACTTAAAACTTGAAGTTTAAAGATTGAACTATCAAGAAATTAAGTGTCGTAAAGTATATTTAAAATTTTTGGGGATTTTTTCAAGAAAATAAGGACCGTGACCCCTTATTTTTATTTGATAATTCGGAGTTATTAATGAAAAGCAATTCTCTCATCGAATTTTAGCCAATTCTATCGTTTAATGTTTCCGCAATAAGGAAAACTTAAGTTTCCCCTATATCAACAATATAAAATAACCCAAATTTCGTTAATTTCAATGTGTTATTACGAAAAAACAAGGTCCGTAATCCCCAGTTTTTATATTGAAATTAAAAATTACATTGACACAGAAGTCTTACAGAAGTTTAAGAAAAATCTATCGTCCAACATTTAGACACCCCAGCTACCTTAAAGGATGTGGATGTAAGCAATTGTTATAGGCAATCATACGGCCTTCAACAATGAGAAAATCCATACCGTATATAGTCGCCGGGTTATAAAAAGCCCCGACATTGTAGAACTATTATTCTTCACCCCTACCCCTTCTTCCCCTACCTTATACTACTGCTGAATGATACACAAAAGCACAACAAAAGAGAACAAATTTCGCTATCCCTTCGAAATCGGAATTTGATTAAGAAAAAATAATACGTTCTATTTTTATCATACATGTGTAGTTTCAGTTTCAACCATGGTTCTAAATTTAGATTTTACTTTCCCCAAAAATTGCGGACGGAATAGAAGACACCTGTTTATTTTCTGCACCTTGAAAACTGAGATTTGGATGACATCGATTTTACATATTCTGAGATAAATGTAATAGTGAACAATTGTTAGTTTCTGAGTGTGTAATGTTTTGTGGACGGAATCTGATGGGGTTTTTTTTGCTGTTGGCTTTTTCTTCGGCTTATAAATGTTGTACTAGTGGTCGATTACCCCTTAGTATCTTTTATACTTTTTACATAAATAATAAAATATAAAACATCATAAAATTTTCAATTGCATAAAAACGGACTTGCCAAACGTCTTTCTTGTTCAAGACACAAATTCACACGCAATATAATTATTCGTTACCTACAATTTTACGCTACAGGATCTACAGTACACTGTGCATTTCATTCAAAACTATGGTTTTTCAAAAAATATTGTGGGGTCAGTTCTGGTTTGATTTTAATGAATTTGATACGAATAGAAGCAGAATTGTCACTGGTTTATTTTTTATTTGGTTATAATTTTGTTGTTTAGGCGTTTTTACCTTCTGTTGAAATAAACACGAGTCGTATTGTGTACCTGCTCCTGCGTGTCTAAAACAAAAACAGTGGTAATAGAGTCAGACTAACTCACAATAGGATACTCAGATTTCTGATTGGAGTCATTCTAATTATTTCTTTGAAGTTTTGAGATAGCACATGAATACTTGTTTGAATTCATGATAGACCGCACGAAGTCATTTCTCTTTCATGTGCCCATTTTTCCTTTCATGGAGTAGGGGAGATAACCCGCGTAACTAACGACGCACGTTTTTTTATCCTGAATTCCGCTAGAGGCGTGCAATTACGTACACTTCGCCTTAACTGAAACAAATCCGGGTCACAAACCAAAACTGAGGGAAACACATCAACTATAAGAGGAAACAAAACGGAACAACAGAAACACTGAACTGCTACAAAAACAAACGGCAACATACATAGACACGGACTATGTGATAACAACTGCTATATTCCTGCCTGGTACAGGACATTTTAAGAAAAAATGGTGGTTTGAACCTGGTTTTATGGCTAGCCAAACCTCCCGCTTTTATGGCAATGTTAAAAATACCGGTAAAATAACAACATTACGTGACAGGAATACAGTACAAATAAATGCAAGAACATTCAGGACGGAGAAATACAAAAATAAATAATATAATAGTATATTTCAATATGTAAACCAGGGAATAACAACGAAAACCTAAAATTAATTTACGACAGAACACAAATACATCACAATAGAATAATGAACTGTACGTCACACGAATGTATCAACGCCACAAAAAGTGACGTCACAGGTAAATTTCTAAAAATAGAATATAAAATTGGGATTAAGTTTGTAATGGTGTTATTTGATGTATTTTCTAACCATTACAAGAATATTAATATAGAATTGTGTTAGTAATGGTGTAATTATTTGTATTTTATAACCATGTCGGTTTTCTTCTAAATCAAACTGTGTAAAAACAAATAAATCCTGTGCATATGGTTGCTTTAAACTAAAAATCATATAAAGGAACTAGGTGATTTACAAAATATGAACAAAAGAGCAAATTTTATTAAACAATCTTCCGATTGATTCTAGCTCATTGGCATATCAGTATTCATTTTATTTTGGAGATCAGCATGCTATGAACTATATTTTGGAAAACATAGATTGAAATGCCACATTTTGTCTAATATACTTCTTTACCTTTGCTAGTTGCCTTTGACTTTGCTTCTTCTAGAAACTCCTGTCAACGTAAACACATTTTAGAAACATGGCTTTTGCATTAGGTATAATACATTGAATGATCTATGAATAAAAATAAATGTATTTATATGTCAAATTGACAACAGCCCAATGGCAGGGAAAATCGTAAAAATATGTCGGCACAAAATTGTAGATATAGAATGAGAAGATGTGGTATGATTGCTAATGAGACAACTATCCACAAGAATCCAAATGACACAGAAATTAACAACGTCACCGTACGGCCTTCAACAATGAACAAATCCCATACCGCATAGTCAGCTATAAAAGGCCCCGAAATGACAAATGTAAAACAATTCAAATGAAAAACTAACGGCCTGATTTATGTACAAAATAATGAACGAAAAGCAAATATGATATACAGCAACAAACGAAAACCACTGAATTAAGGATCATGACTTGGGACAGGCACATACAGAATGTGGCGGGGTTAAACTAGTTCTTTACATTATAAAGTTTCAATAGTTTGTATCTATCTTTCGTGTTTCTTCATTCACTTAAGTATTTTTACTCAAATGTATCTCTAAAAAAATGTATTAAATCGTGTCAGTGATACGATATAAAAACAATTATTACAAAATAAATATTTACAAAAGGAGAAAAAATTATTCTGTACCTTAAAAGTATCACTGTCCCCAGAAAAAACGATACAGTTCACAACCTTGACTGTTGAATTGGGATTCGTTTTTGCAAAATCTTCCACAGTTTTGAACATTGAAGAAATTACAGTCCTTGGTGGGTATTTCAGGAATCCTGTTCCAAGTGCAGGAAAAGACATCGATGTTAGTTTCTGTTTGTTCGCTTCCACCAGGCAGTTACGTACAACGAGATCTATGTTCTAAAAAGAATAAGAAAGTACAAGACGAATTTTCAGGATTTACTATGTACACTGTTTTTATTGAGACCATTCTAAGACTTCTCGCACTAAATGAATAATTTTTTAAATTTTACGAAGTTGATTTCCAATAAAAATTAGAATTAACTTAATCTTAATTTTAATTCTAAACAACGGAAATGTAAATGAATTACTTTAAAAATCATTCTAAACTAATGTCGATAAAACTTTAACGAACTTTGCACTTTTATATTTCACAATAATGGGGGGATGTATCATGGGGTCCAAATAGTACTGACTTCCAATACTGGTACATTTAAAAGTAGAAATAATGCTTTCTTAATAATTGGCGACGAGAAAGTGTTACACTACCTTTTCGTCTCCCTGAGCTTGCCATCTTGGTAATGTCACATGAAATATGGCCTTACAATGAAGATTGCCGGGACCAGTTATTGCCACTGTTTTGCTGTTGATACCAGACGGATACTGGTCCGTGCATTCCGATTGTATGCTATCTCCAGCAGCTTCTAATAAAGCTTTGGATGCTCTTCCTTTACTAAGATTTAAATCTGGTACTGCGCTATTGACTAATACGTCAGTCTGTAATTACGAAAATTGTTTAACAAAAATTCCTATTTTGTACTAAACTGTGGCTTATATAATTATACTTTAGATCATCAAATTTCAAAATTGAGCTACCGTATCGGGAATTTTTCGCGGTAGACATTTACCCGCGAAATTTACACTACGAAAACATTTCACTGTTCATCTAATACATTTAAAAGTATGGAAACGCGAATAATGAATACAGGGATTACTTAACTGTTCTATCTAATCCAAAACCGCGAAAATAACCGTATATTGGAGCAGTCTTCAATAATCTTTCAAACTGGGATGAACATAAAACACCGTTCGTTGAAACTTCGAAACTTTTTTTCATTAATCTCTCTTTCACATTTAAAATTCAAAGGAGACAATGCAAGCATAAACATATATTAAAGTACATATTGGATAAAATTACTTAAGAATCAAATGCTTCTTTTGTATTCTTATTGGGGTGTAAAACGGTTGACCGAAGCACATTTTATTATGAAGCGCTTCATACTAAAACCTGCACACGATCAACGCTTTTACAAAACTCTAAAATTACCAAAAAGAAGAATTCAATTCTTATAATTATATATATGTCATATACTTATGAAATTACGAGTTATATCAAGTTTTTCGATTGTTTTCAAATTGCATTGTTGTGACGTTACGAAATGTATCATGGGTAGCACGTGCAGTCATGAATATTGCATTTTATTGAGAAATACAATCAAACCTCCGGATTCTTATGAAGCATCCATGTAATGTAATTATTTATAAATACACCACAGTCGGCGCGTTATGTTTGTGCGAATTGGTCCTACGTTTGCGCGACAAAACGCATTATGTATGGCGAAATTTACCTGTTAAAAAGTCATTTGATTTGGGCGGATTAATTAAAAAAAAGCATATTATCTCTGAGACAAATAAAGGAAAAAAGTCCTTGATTTTTTTTTTTTTTTTATATTCTTTCCGTACATAGATTATAAGTTGAAAAGTAGAGACATTTCCCGGAGATGCACAAACAAATGTGCAAATGTAGAATTATGACTGACTTAGAATGTCAAGTGTTACTAACGGGAACACACGAACATAACCAAGATATTGATAAACGCAAATTAGAAAGACAGCAAATTCGTAACAAAATAAAGAAGTCAAAATGCTTCTCACATTGCAACACGTCTGTCGAAAATAATTCGCCAAGAACTACAGACGAATGCTGAAAGTCATCTCCTGCCACAAGACTTATAGATGGTTCCCGTAGATATCATATACATGTATACTGTGTTTTATTCATGACTGTATCCTATGAATGTTCCTTTCCAGGATAGTCACTGTTTTGTATTCAAAACGTGTTCTTTTTTCATAAATGTAGGGCTTTTTAATGTTTATATAAACGAATAAAGACTTCTCTAATATATATTTATAAAATTGACTATAAGAAATAAGAAGATGTGATATGATTATATGTGTTCAAAATAACAAACGAAAAACAAATATGATAGACAACAACAAAAAAAACAACACGTAAAATTCAGGTTTTCTCAGGATTGAATCAAGGTAAAAACTCAGGAAAATTAAAGGTAATTTCGCGCAAATGTAATACCATTTCTTCGCGTAAATGTAATGCTTGTCATATTTAAATTCGCGCAAATGTAGGTCGCCCACAATCAACACATCCAATGCGTTTCGTAAGTAAAGTTTAGTCAAATTATGTCAAAAATAAAACAAGGAAATAAATAATAATCTATTAAAGTATATACATTACAGTAAATAAACAGCGATCTTAAATTCATTTAGATAGTCAGCGTAGTATCATGGGATATTTTGTAACCGTGAGATGTCTACAGATTTCAAAAGATAAGATTAAGCATTTCATCACCAACGAATGTTGACAGTAAAGCTCATCTCTTAGTATATTTTTTTACTTGTCCGTTTCGATAGGAAACTTTATATTTGAAGTGTGTAATTTGCAATTTTGGTTTCGGTTTTGTTAACTTAATATAAGGAAATAAGGTTCTAAATAGAAATTATATTTTTTAATGTATACTACTGGATTATCTTGCGGAATTATAAGTTCGCTTTAAAAATGCAATTAAAACTACTTCAAATCGTAGAAAAATAGATACAGTTAGAGAAAGCTAGAGCAAGGTTAAGACCTTGTTTTATTTACACCTTTATGGATAGATCATGTATTAAAAAAAAGATTAAGGTGTCACCAAACACCTTAACTAAAATTAATTTGTCTCGTTTAATTTTCATAAAATTTTGACAAAATATTTACTTTGACCCTTTGACAAAAATATAAAAATTTCAAAAAACTTGAACCACACACTTTATCGGGAAAATTTCATTGGATATATAGCAGTTTGACAAACAATAATTTTGATCATTGAGAAGCTTAATATTTCCTTAACAATAGAAAATGATTAAAACGTTTAGCTGATTTTTAAAGAGTTATCTCCCTGTAGTGTTATGTACCACCTTAAAAAATAAGGCACTACATTAAATGAGAAACAAGAGGCTAATGAGAGCCTGATATCGCTCACCTGGCTGTAATTTCAGTTTCAGGCATTTGACTTATTTGTAGATCTTACTTTGCTCAACAATTTTGTCATTTACACTTTCTCTCTTTCTATAATAATATTAATGATAATACATAACCCAAAACTGTAAAATTTCCTAAAAATTAACTATTTCTGGACAGTAACACAACAATAAGTTGTCCTATTGGTCTGAAGATTACTTGACAGGTAGATCTAAAAACCTGTTTAACACTTTCACCTATGTCAGTTTTGCTCTTACTACTTTAGTTTTTGAGATGAAAGCCAAAAACTTCATTTGACCCCTATGTTCTATTTTTAGAAACTGACGCCATGTTTTTGAATGGATCAAATCCCCGAATACAATCTATAAACTAGATACATTAAGAAACATTCAATTATAGTTTTTTAAGTATTTGGCAAAGTAGTTTCATAGAAGAAGACTTTTGAAAAAGTAATTGGACCTTCACAAAATATGTAAAAAAAACGTTTTAAGGGCAATAACTCCTAAGGGGTCAATTGACTATTTTGATCATGTTGACTTATTTGTAGATCTTACTTAGCTGAACATTTATTGCCATTTATTCTTTCTCTCTATCTATTACAATATTAAAGAAAATAACCAAAACTGTAAAATTTGATAAAAATAAACTATTTCCAACAGTAACCTAACTATGGGTTGTCGAACTCGTCTGAAAATTTCATAACAGATAGATCATGACCTATTTATCACTTTAACCCTCTTTCACTTTTGATCTAACTGCTGTAGTTTTTGAGATATAAGCCAAAAACTGCTTTTGTCCCCTATGTTCTACTTTTAGCCATGAGGGCCATGTTTGTTAATGGATCAAAACTTCGGATACAATTTATAAACCAGTTACCCTAAGGAACATTCAGTTAAAGTTTAGAAGTATTGAGCCTTGTAATTTCAGAGGAGAAGATTTTTAAATGTTAGCAAACATGATGAACAAATTGTGTAAAATTGTCCTTAAAGGGCAATAACTCCTTAAGGGGTCAATTGACAATTTTAGTCATATTAAACTTTTTTGTAGATCTTACTTTGCTGAATATTTTTACTGCTTATCGTTATCTTCAATAATATGCAAGATAATAACCAAAAACTGCAAAATTTCCTTAAAATTACCAATTTAGTGACAGCAACCCAACAATGGGTTGTTCGATTCGTCTGAAAATTTCAGGGGTGATAGATCTTGACCTATTGAACCTATTTACTTCTGTCAGATTTTCTCTAAATGTTTTAGTTTTTGAGATATAAGCCAAAAACTGCATTTGACCCCTATGTTCTATGTTTAGCCATGGCGGCCATGTTTGTTGATGGATCAAAACTTCGGTTAAAATTTATAATCAGATACACTAAGAAACATTCAGTTTAAGTTTGAAGGTATTTGGCCCAGTAGTTTCAGAGGAGAAGTTTCTTGAAATAGTTTACGAAGACAGACGACGACGGCGACGACGACAGACGGACGACGCCAAGTGATGGCATAAGCTCACAGGGGGCCCTTCGGGCCCCGGTGAGCTAAAAAGGTATATTAAAAGTAGAAGTATATACTTTGATGCTGAGTTATCATACATACCGTTTGGTGTATTATGTTCCCTTTTATAACACTGAGAGCTATATTTCCGATCTGCACAAATCTCTGCCTACTTTGTCTAGAACCTTGGTGTCTCGGTCTGTGTCGTTGGCCTTGTGTACTACTTGGAGTGCTGACTGGTGGGTAAGGTTCCTGTGTCGGTTTGTTAGTAGCTGACATTTTGAAGAAAAGAAATATACTGTGGTAATTTTTAAAAGTTGTGTAGTGAACTTATACACAAATAGATAAATGACAAGTGCAAATATTTATTTGATTGTTATCATAGTATTTGTTATCCTATTTAACAGGAAATATATTAACATGGACTTAAATATTTCCCGAAAATATTATTCTTAGTTTTTGTTTGAAACTTTGCTTTTCTAAAGGGTTAATTTAAAGTAATTCATATCCATGACATCAAGAAGTACATATATGATTTGATGTCCTACTTATCATTTTTGCGTCATTCAGTTACTTGTTGAAGTATATTCTTACGATATTTATTAATATGTTTTATTCATAATCGTTTAATCATTCACTTATGAAAAAAAGAAAATTATCTCAATCTAGAAATTTATCAAGGAATGCGTCAAACTGTATACTGTAACAATCGAATAGATAAATCTGACTAGAAGATTATGCTCATCGCATCATGAAATGACAGCAGCATGTCGACAAGGAAAAGTTCGATTCGGGTATATAAAAAATAGCGTGAATACATTTATGTGATAGGCATATTTAACTTGCTGATATGAAATTAACACTTCATATTAAATTTGTTTGCGTCAAAAGCGGTTTTCGGAATTGACCTCCGTTAGAAACCCTCAAACCTACACAAGACTAAATCTTGTTTACACAGTAAAATAAGAATTAAATCGCAGAACAAAGAATATCCAATACAAAAGAGGCATTCAAAAACCTTAAATCAGAGAGACAACGGTACTCTAAGGGACAAAGGGAAAAAAACAAAAACACAAACAACGGTCCTCAAAGCACAACAGGGAATAAAAACCTAAGATTGTAGCAACTCAAGATCCATCAAAATCCGGGATGAACTGATGTGGTGCGAGGAAAGTTAGGCACTTTATTCCCACAAGTAGCAAATCGTCGTGTTGATCTTTAAAATGAAAAAAATCCGCAAGTCGCAATCAATGATGCCCTTGACGACGAAAGTAGCGGGATTGTTGCGCAGTCACCTGTGACACAAATACGCCATAAAAGTGAATGTACCATAGAAAAGTAAACATTTATCGCAATTCACAGTCAAAAAATTTTAGGAACCTAAAAAAAAGCCCTTAAAAATTTTGCTTACAAAAAAATTCACAACTTTAAAAATTTGTTTCATAGAATATAATCATGAACGGTAAGAGTAGGTTATTTTCAGTATTAACAGATTGGTAAATGTTTGAAAAACGTTCCTGAGTGGCAAGGATTTTATGCATATTAGAAAGTTCACGATTTAGGTTATTATAAGTGGATTAACATGAATAACGAACGGAAAATGGACCGCAACTATAAAACGAGACAATTTGTTTAGTAGGGTCAGACTATTTCAATGTTAGCTACTATAAACATAAATATCCGATTACCAATATGGGGCATCCCATTTGGACTGAAGTAGTTGTGTTTAATAAATTCCGCACGGCCCAAACAAATGGTTTTCTTTTTCTTTACACAATTCAAACATTTTGATACTTCCGAATGCTAACAGCGACGTCACTATATATTTTGTTGGATGCATGCAAATTGATACAGTTTCATATTCCTCTTACTTAACATAGCTGTGTGATCTTGTGTGTTTCCCATTTTTATCTTTCCGTTTAGACCTAAAAATAAATAAAACTGGGTCATTGATTGTCCGACAAATGATTGTTTCTGTGTTATTCATATCATTGAATTAGTTCAATACACTCAGGCTTATAGTTCTAAATTGTTTTACATAAACAACAATATAATATTTGAAAAGAAAGGTGAAGTCGACAAGCTATCGTGTGTACTGACACAAACACGTCGCAATGCAATCCTCCTTCAAGTCAGTATGCAAAAGCGTAAGGGCTGTTCAATAAACGACGTTTGAAAATATTGACTAGTTGCATTTTCAGTAAATCCCACTTTAGTTTTGTCTAAATATGACTTCTGGGATAAACTTCATAATCTTATTGTGGATAATTTTCAAACACTACTATATATAGTTTTGGTTCATATGAAAAACTGAACTATGAACATAAAATAATATGCGAGTGAATCAAATAAAAGGTTTGCACAACCGCAACTGATGCTCTTCGAAAACCACAATGACATGTACTGAAACAAAAACAAAAAATTGTAATAAAAGATAGTTTTAAACAATGACGTTTACATAAAAGCTGTGTTAAGGGAAACGAACAATATTACATTATCTGGGTATTTATCCTGACTGGATAGGTTATGCGGACACAAGCTAGCTACGGTTATAATTGGTAACCGTTTTGTTTCTGCATTTCTAAATGTCATATGCAAGTCATCTTGACATACGCTACATTGAACTGTATCGCATGGTACACAGTCACATAGGTTATAGAAAAATCAGGTTTAATGTGTACTTTAAAATGTCTGATCATTTTTCATTTCATCTTTAGATCAGTCAATGGCATAAATCTGGTTATTAATATTAATAAGTCAACGCTTAAAGTCGAAGGTGGTTGAACTATTTCTTCGAATTCAGGATATCACCGAAGAAGCGGTTATTATTTTGACAAAATCAAAGGTCCATAAATCTGGAACTGTAATTTTTTGCAACAATTGAACTTTATTTGAATTGCATTGTATGTAGTAATACTCCAATTTTTTAATGTCCGACTACGGGGTTGAAATATTAAGTTATCATCCAGTAACCGTTTTTACGGTATTGATTGATCGCCGTTTACTTATTGTCCAGTAACAAATCTTTTATCAATATTTTGGACAAATTAAACATTATATCAAAGAATTAGAAGCTTCAAATCTGGTCTCCCGAAATGCGGAAATTTTAGACTGCCACTAGTAGGAGATGTCCTATATATATTGTATGATAAACGAGATTGGATGTTCGACAGGCCTACTACGGAACCCTAAAAAAGTTGTTACAGTGTTCTTTCAGATTCAGAGCGTGACATGCACTACAATATCGGTCAATGCTCTCATTCCAACTTCATGTAGACCCTCATTACGCACAGGCAAACGGACACCCCGGCCAGGGTCAGCATATATAGGGTCTTACTACAGAAAACCTACTATTATTCTAAGTAACCAATAATAATAATCATTTATATACCCAAGTCATTCACGATAACGGTAACATGCATATGTTATTCCTATTTGCCAACATTATACCGTATAAAATTTCATTTGAGTACATTGAAATCTTTCTTGAAATCTTTCCCCGATCTCAGATTAAGAAATTATGAAGAAACTAAGTTTCAAACTCCCTCAAGCAAAGTTGACTTTAGATGAATTTGGCTTTTCTGTTTATGTATGTTTTGGCCATAATTCTCCTAACGTTGCAGCGTATTTACTCATGCCTGCCTTTCAAATGTTTATGTTTGAAGGAAAATCCAGAAAGGCTACAGGCAATTGTCTCAGATTTGTTTCCCCCTATATACCTTAATATATCAAGGTATATAGGAAAAAAAATTTCTGAGACAAGTGCCTGTGAGAAAGGCCTATCTTCATTCTCCCTTTATTTGAAAATATATGACCGGCATACAGGACAAGAGTTCATAGCGTACTTTTATTTGGTCACGTGTATATCAATTACATGCTCATAGACGTGTATTGATAAATTACTAAGAAATAAACACAGGTTTTTTTTACAAATCATAATTACTTTACGAACCTTGTTACAGCAAAGCGCCATTACAATAGTTAAAAACCAAAAGATTTACCTTAGTTTCGTTTTACATTCCCTGTATATACACAATCATACTTCCGTTTGAAGATTTCATTGTGTTCTTTAAATCTGGGTATTTTCAGTACAAAGAAGTTCATTTAAGAATAATTTAAATGGTTATATATACATGAGTTGTTTCGTCTCAGGTATAAATTTAAAGGAGATATAGGGTATACGTCAACGAAACGGCACCCCAACGACGAAAATAAACAAAAGACATTTAGAGGGCAACCTTTAGTCTTCAAAAACAGATAGGTGTCTATATCATATGTCGAGCTCTAAATCGTCCCGAGTCTTGTAAAGTTGTGAATAAATTAAACAAAACAATCAAAGATCTTTCATTGCATGTAAATTCCAATTCTATAAATAGATTAAAACATTAAGATATAAAAAACGACAAATACTGACTACTAGTAGCTTTTTTTAAACAACTCTTCTTTTAAAAATAACATACAAAAAGTCATGAAGATATTATAGAAAAATAACGTATAACATTGAGAATGGAAATGGGGAATGTGTCAAAGAGACAACAACCCGAACAAAGAGCAGAAAACACCCCAAGGCCACCAATGGGTCTTCAACGCAGCGAGAATCCCGGACCCGGAGGCGGGCTTTAGCTGGCCCCTAAACAAAAATGTGTACTAGTTCAGTGAAAATGAACGATACACTAAACTCTGAAACATATAAATGAACTAAAATTAAAAAAAAAACATACAAGACTAACAAAGGCCAGAGGCTCCTGACTTGGGATAGGCGCAAAAATGCGGAGGGTTAAACATGTTTTGTGAGATCTCAACCCTCCCCCTATACCTCTAGCCAATGTAGAATAAACAAACACACAGCAATACGCACAGTAAAACTCAGTTTAAAAGAAGTCCGAGTCCGATGTCAGAATAGGTAACAGAAGAAACTAAGCAAAATGACAATGATACATAAATTAACAAAGGACTACTAGCGGTTACTGATATGCCAGCTTCAGACCTCAATTAAACTGATTAAAAGATTATGTTATAACGGTTTGGTAGTAACAAAAACACAAATACATCAAATTATACTTATCGAAGAATGCTCGCACCTATACTGAGAGCTAGCTCAAAGTACATTACCATCTGATAAGAAAAGATTGCCGTCCTACATAAATATATATGCCGTTGATTTTCCACACTTTTTGTTAACTTACTATGATCATCTATTCATCTTTATATAATATGATATAAAAACGTTAAACAAAAAACTTTGATACATTTACTTTCTGGTAAAATATGAAAAGCATTGATAAATTGTGTCACCCATCATTACATTTAAATAGACATCGAGATCTTTACACGAGCTGCTTCGTGACAAATTGAGTGTTCATTCACTTGTTAGAAGAATGACTTTTCAAAAGCTAAACGAATGACGTCTCTTATTTCAAACAACCTCATGGGAAGAAAGGGTTTTTATGTCAATTGTATATATACATGCACTAGTCAACAAAATAAACGATACAAGACAATGCATTTTCCATATATATCAGGAAACTAGATGCAATTATAACATGGTAGCAAGCTATAAAATGTTCAATTGGTTTAATATTTGCAGAGTCACTTTAATTTGGTATTATCTTATCGAAACCTCGAAACCATTGATTTAATGCAAAATCGCGAAATTTTTATTCGAAACTTTATTGATTTAAAAAATCACCTTATTTAACCAAAAATTTCAAAAACTTGAAACAAAAGAAGGTCTGTTTAAATTTTAAATGTCTTCGAAATTGAGTGACGATTTGTGTTTTCATTTTTCTCAAATTATGAATTTGACCGTTATGCTCAACAAAATCCGGTAATTTTCACTTTTCAACTTAGTCGGCGCCTCGGTGGCCGAGTGGTCTAAGTAATCGAACTACTGTATCACTAGCCAGTCAACACTGAGGTCGGTTGTTCTGTCCGGGCACTCCGGCTTCTTCTACCAATTAAAACTGACCGCCACGAAATAGCACATTAGTGCTGAAAGTGGCGGTAAACACCAATCAATCAATCAATTAATATTTTCTGTAAACCTAAACCAGACCCTCGATTTGGTTGTAATGTCTAGTTATGTTTTTTGGCTTACGTTTTATCAATTTCTCATCATTATCAGTGTTTTTAACTTTTAAGCATGAGGCATACCAGCTGTTAAAGTAAATCAATTTTATTAATGTGGGTAATTGTTAGATTACCTGCGATAAAGTATGGAAACATAAAACAGCCAATGATTACATGACGGGTCCCCATTGTTTGTGCTCTTCTTCCTGTCCATATCATTTTGTCTGATTCTGATATTGTCTTCCAAACTAGACAAAGCTTTAACAATTTAGAAATTTCAAAACACAATACGATATATAGGTATCTATATACTAGTATATATAAAGATCTTTTAGACATTCAGGTACCTGTAGGTAAAGACCACCTTTTGTGAAAAGAAGAAAAAATATACTATTCAACAAAAGTAACGATACACGAGTTTGAATTCAACTTTATCATAAAATATATTAGATAGAGAAAACCGTTCATTTATCCAATGAAAATTATTCATTTGCAAAGCGAATGTTTATGATTCAGAAAATTTGACTAAGTTGGATTGATTGGTTAGTGTTTAACGCCTTTTTCAACACTATAACTGTGCCGGAGTGCCCAGAGAGAACCACCGACCTTCGATAGGAAAACTGACAATCCTAGTCATTTACAATTAATATTGGAGTCGAGCGCACCTGCCCAGTGCGGGATTCGAACTCACAACCTCAGTGTTGACCGGCTAGTGATACAGTAGTTCGACTACTCAGACCACTCAGCCACCGAAATGAGAATTATGGTCTAATACTACAGAAAAATGTGCCAAAAAAATAAGAATAGAGAAAAATGGGCCAATAGAATACAGAATAGAGAATAATGGGGTGCTAAAATAAAAAGAATAGAGAATAATGGGCAAAATTTATAAAGAATAGAGAAAAATGGACAAAACCAACGTTTCTGAGTGAGTGAAACCTTAGTTTTCGCACAAAGAAAAAAAATTACTTGACTAGTTTAAATTACATAAGTTGACATTCAAAACTATTACCGTTTTAGAAAGGCAAAACAACCTTGAAAGAGAATTTGTAGAACTGCATTATTGTGAAATATTTGTTGATTTTTTCGATGATTTATTTATTTGCAAGAAAGATTTTTGTTAATTCAGTTTTGCAGAAAACGTCTAATCATTTACGGTTTATGTTGTTTTGTGTTTTGTAGGAAACGTCCTAGTATTTATGACTGTTTACTTCAGTTTTACAGGAAACATCTGGATATATAAAACAACTTCTCTACGAACAAGTATACTGCAGATTATTATTATTGTAACCCGGTATTATATAACTTGTCATTCTGGTTGATCAATGGCACATATGATATTCTTGGACTCTTTATCTTTTTCTTTTGTGAATGCTGTATTTCCTTGCTTTGTTGTGCTGCTAAAGCTTCAAAAAGACAGGCTAATGCTTAAATAAAAAAGTAGTCGAGGAAACTTCCCGCTCGAGATACAATTGTCTACTTTTAACTGTAAAGTATTTACCAACCGTGAAACAAATTAAACAATTGAAAGATCATTATGGTCTTCCTATGGAATGTACGTAAGGGAGCTACCATTTGATTTTTATGGGGGGGCTAGGATGAAATTTGAGAAAAATAGGCAGGACAGGAGTTTTGATTAAAAAAAAAGGCAGGATGAGACACTTTGCAAAAAAAAAAAGGCAGGATGACAATTTATGTAAAAAAAAGTCAGGATAAACTAAAAAAAAAAAGGCAGGACCGAATAGAGTGAAAAATAAAAATGAACATTTTTACTTTAAATTGCGATTTCTCAAAAACTCGTTCACAGAATTTTGTTTAAAAATTATTTGCTATTTTCATATAATCAAAATAAGAATGTTCATAGCAATAACATATCATTTTTAAACAAAAGTCTGTGTAGTTGACTTAAATATCAAATGAAAAATAAAAATATAAGTACCTGAAAAATAACCTGAAAATCAAAATATCAAATGAAAAATGAATATACATATACCTGAAAAATCTATCTACTAAATTAAGGGACTGTTTTTCAACTCCAGGGATATTACAATATTGCATTTAGATATGCTGTATGCTATATGTTTTACGGTATGTACTTCCTCGATGGTTAGTGCCAATTTCATGGAAAATTATTTCACACCATGCTTATTTTCAAAACTTCGTCAAAATTTAATGAATTTCACAGTATGATAGATGTGTACTATGTTCAAACAACAATGAGGTGTGTTTCTGAACTGTCATGTAACAAAATTTAATATGCATGCCTAAAGATGGCTCAATATTGGTAGATTTTGACAAATTGTGAGTACACTTGTCGCAAAAAAGAACAAGGATATTCCGAACAAAAAGAGATATTTAAAATAAAGCAATAGTTGTCTTTCAGATAGTGATTAATTCATTTTGGTTAAATATGTCGTTCAATGCAAACTTTTGTAAAAATACAACGCATCTCATGAAAATAACATTAAAAAAAATAAAATATAACAACGTAAGACGTTCTTAAATGGAAATAAAACTTATTGTCTTTCAAATTGAGTCCACGAAAGACGGAATAATTTAACGAAAAACAGTCACTTACTTTTTTCAACATTGGTTATTCCCATATGTACTTTATCAATGGACAAGGCGAATTAAGAAAATGAACACAATAATCCAATTCACATACCCGCAATTTTGCGACTGTTCTCTAGTATATTCACACTAGAATTTATCGCTCATATTGAATAGCATGCTCTTTATTTTCCCATTAAAAGATTTTAAACATAACTCCACTTGTTTTCCAATCCTTAATAAAACTGTCACACTTATAATGTTTATATTATTATGTTCACAATAAAATATTTGTTTACACTAACAGAGAGGGAAAACTTTTGGACTCGGTACAAAAAATGCCATACACATTAACAAAAAATAGGACATTAAGAATTTGGACACTGCGGGGAATCATATTTATTGAGTACTCAATCCAGACTCCCTTATATTGAAAAAGCATTCTGAAAAAATAACACTAGAAAAAGCTCTTCAATAAATTATAACGATTAACTCCTTTATGAATTGATTGGTTGTTGTTTTTTAGGGTCAGTTGCAAATATGTCATGCATATCCAGGGCGAGAACACATTAACAATAAATCCACAAAGAACGTAATGTGTTGGATATAAGATAGATTTTGACTTGCAAACAGGCAACTAGCGGACTCCTCAAAGAAGGTTCTTGGGCGCGCAGAGAACTGTTAGGTTTATTTTTGTCATAGTTAGTCGCATAAATATCACCGCGACTCGAACCCATTTCAAATCGTTCACACGACGAAAACATGGCTTCCTTCTGGAAAAACAGTGGAGAAGGATTTTTTCCAAAGAAATCTACTTACACAAGGAATAGGAATTAATTTTACCATTCTGACAGGATGTGTGAGCATATCAATACATCCCGCACAATCAAAACTAACATTACTCTTCGGCACCGAATTCTACTGCCGGACGGGAGAAACCCAGGGATGAACACGTGAATTTACCGTAATGAACTTTTGGGAAGATTTTCAAAAAATACTAACTAGAAACATAGAATAAATATAACAGTGACTCGGAGTTCACTCTAATCAATATAGTACTAGAAAAAAAGTAAAGTTTCAAATAAAACTATTTTAATCTAAGATATATTCACTCGTTCTCGGTCAACATGCAACAATCATAACCAGAATTTGTAATGCTTTAAACATGAATCAGTGGCACACATAAATTAAGAAGTTGGAATACGTAAAATAAAAAAGGCTCTTCGTCGCCATTTCGGGATTTAGTATGAGAACTGTTTGGATTTTCGGACATCTCTGTTATTTTTTTTTTATTTTTTTAAAGGTTGGTCTATATAAAGTTTTTAATGTGACCATTAATTTTGCTCATAATTTCAGATGTCGACAATTCGCTACCCTTTGTGTTGCCGTGAAGTTATAAACCCCACACTTTCTATTAATAGATAACGTGATTTGCATATCTAGATTTAACCGTTTTATGTTCTATAAAATGAAAACTCAGAGGTAAATAACTATAGTCCAAGCAATATAAATAAGAAATATTTGCAAGTTATATAACTATCAAAATCCTATACATCTACAACTACATGTATTAAAGGCTCACTAAATTGTATTTAAGATATATTCTTCCATTTTTCTTGCCTCTTGTGATCTAATGTACGGTTCAGAAATAACTTTTTCATAAAAAAAACTTTTTAATAATTAAAACTTGTTTTGAATGTCCATCTCATTTTCTCTTGTTAATTTCGGATTATAGACTGATCACATGTATCTCCGACATCTTGTAACAGGGTATAAAAATCCATGAAATACACTATTCAAATGAAAAATTCAATAAGACATGTGAAAAAAACTCATAATTGTTTTTGGTTGGATATTTAACATAACATTACTATTTCCTTAAACCATCAAGAATTCCAAATAATATATAACTATAGTGGTGCCATAAACGCTATGCATAGTTCTAAAATGTTTATGACTGTCAGTTTAACAGTCTCAACTACCCGTAATAAAATTTATTTCCCCTATTTAACAGTGAATACTAAATTGTTATATGTCAACTTTGGCGAACTTTGGGTTTAATTCCCACTCTCACTGGTTTTCAGAAGGAAGCCATGTTTTCGTCGTCTGAACGATTTGATATGGGTTCGAGTCGCGGTGATGCTTATGCGACTGACTATGATAAAAATGACAAATTCAGTCTTAAAATTTCAACAGCGTTTGTACTAACATTGCTAGCGGTAGCTATTTCCGTGTGTGTTGGACTTATTGTTCATTTTGCTGGTGGAAATAAAAATGTAACATGCCAATGTTCATGTCCAGGAGACGGTTCCAGCACAGGTGGTCAGATTGGTTGTCCGGAACAAACAACTTTACCGAATACATGTAAGTTGTCATTCACATCATATGCTTTTATTTAACCTCAGTTTTACTCTGTAAGTTCTGTAAATCGCTGACAGTTAATTTATCGCCAGATGTTATATACATGAATAAACATATGAGAATAAAGCATTATAACTGTTTTGAAACCAATATAATTATTCCTATGGTAGTCTACGTAATTTGTAAAGTAGTTAAATGTTTTGGTGATATATAAACTGTTAACACAGAGATATGTCTCGCCTATTTGTTATTTTGATAATGCAAATGTTGAAATTAAAATAGCAATACTTTAACATGTAAGTTATGCAAATATTCAAAGTCAATGAACCATGACTGATGGTACAGGGCTAAACAATCTCCATGGAAATGAGATGTCCCAATGCTAATACAACTGCAAACCAAATACCATTGACTTTTCATAAGTCGTTCCCTTTAAACAAACCTTAACACAAACATTAACTTGTAAACTATGTAAAAGTTTCAAAGTCAATGAACCATAATTAGGGGGTGGAGTTATATAATCTCCATGGAAATGAAACTTGCAAATGCCAATACATTTGCATACCGAATATCATTGACTTAACATAAGTGGTTCATCTTGAACTGACCTAATCACAAACCAATACATGTAAACTAAGCTAAAGTTTCAAAATCAATAGACCATGACTGAGGATTAAGGACCAAATATTCTCCATGGAAATGAGATGTGATAATGCTTATACAACTGCATACCAATTATCATTGACCTACCACTAACAGTTACCCTTAAACTAACCTAATCACAAACTAATACATGAAAACTAAGCAAAAGTTTCAAAGTCAATAGACCATGAATGAGGGGGCAGGGCCAAATAATCTCCATGGAAATGAGATGTGCCAAAGTTAATACAACTGCATACCAAATATCAATGACCTACCACTAGTGGTTCCCCATAAACTGACCTAATCACAAACTAATACATTGTTGACGCCGTCGCCGCCGCCGCCGACGCCGATACCGGAAACAGCATACCCATGTCTCCCTTTTTGACTCCGTCAAGGCGAGACAATAAAAAAAACTCAAAACAAAATTAAGAGGTTCTTTTAAAATGTTTGATATTCTTAAAATAAATATGTAGCGTACATTTCAGTTAGTCTATTGTAAAACAAATTGAATTATGCTCTCCTTTTCTTAAAGTAAAAAAAAACAACATTCTTACTGAATAATATATAAATAAGGAGATGTGGTATGATTGCCAAAGAGACAACAATAAAATAATCAAACATTTTAACATATTAGTAAAACGACTTTCGATAGGTCTTCAGATAAATTATGGCATATGTCGACTACAATCTTCAATTTAAAACGTTACTTTCCTGTGTGCAGGTCTTTGTGGTTGTTGTGACCTGTTGTTCTTTTGGCGATTCTGCAAAAACAGTATTCATATATTAATCCTCTCTCTATATATACATATATGTATATCAAACATTTTTCTTACTTAGGTACACCATGTTCGAATGTAACACAAGCGCCACCAGTGGACATGACAACGACAGAAGCACCGACAACTCCACAAGCTCCAGCAATCACAGACGACGTGTGGTTACCTACATCATTAGAACCTTCTCACTACAATGTCGTTCTCCGTCCAAATTTGTATGAAACAAACCCCCAAGATTTTACCTTACATGGGTATGTCCGAATATATTTCGAATGCAAAGAAAGAACGAATAATATTACAATTCACATTCAAAACTTGAATGTTACAAGTGGTTCAATAAATGTGACCGAAACGACAAATCGACAGATACCTGTGCTTAATCATACAAGGGACGATTCCGCACGACATTTCCTGATTATTTGGTTGTTTGAATACCTAGAAGCTGGCAGTAACTACTACGTCGAAATGGAGTTTTCTGGACCATTGCAAAATGAAGATTTATCTGGATTGTATTATAGTAGTTACATGGAGGGTAGTGACGAAAGGTATTAAATATAAAGTCTTCTGATAACTCACTTTCATTCGAACTCATTTCCAATTATCATTAAAAGAAATACAATTCTTATTTAAGCTATCTGCTAAATATTACGTCTACTATGCATATGTTATTTCTTTTACTTTGCAATCCGATGACGCGATGAATCTCAAACTCTTTTCTGTGTACACTCCTTATAGTTATTCCCTATAAAATTGTAGTAATTCTCCAGTCCTTGTTTAATTGGTGCAATTCAAATGTTACTGTTAAATTTAAATTTACATGCAAGTTATTTTTTAACATAAACCTTTAAGTATACATATTTTTAATTACATGCCTGTATTTCTTTTTGGTATACACATTTGATACCTATATTTGTATTACGTATATTTGCATTTGATGAACGTCTAGAAGAAATTCATGTCTGCAAGTTAAAAGTTATTTTTTCTTATAACATTGTACTATACCCAACTTTGTGTTCGTTACAGATATATGGCAATCACCCAGTTTCAACCAACAGATGCTAGGAAGGCTTTCCCTTCGTTTGATGAACCAGCTCTGAAAGCCACATTTAACATTACCCTGGAGAGACGAAACGATGCCGTGTCAGACATGATAACGTTATCAAATATGCCAAGGATTGATACAGTACAAAGGTTTGATCAATTTCCTATTTTTTGAGCCATTTAATATGACTATAAATGAAATAAATGGGAAAGTGGAGTACCCACAAATATCATTAGCCTCCATCTCGTTTTTTGTAAACCCCTGTAGTTTTTCCTCTCTCAGGTTTTTCATAGTCCTTTTTATTTCTTCTTAGTCCTGTTGTATATCAGCCTCTTTTCTATTTGAACAGTCATGAACATAAGCCTCTATCCCATTCTTCTAACAGTCCTGTAAACTATCCCCTCTCCTGTTTATTAATAATCCTCTCGATAAGCTTCTCTCATTATTCTAACAGTTCTCCCCCGCTCTTCTAACAGTCCTGTAAACTAGCCCCTCTCCTATTTATTTACAAACCTCTCGATAAGCTTCTCTCATTATTCTTACAGTTCTTTCCTGTTCTTCTAACAGTCCTGTAAACTAGCCCCTCTCCTGTTTTACAATCCTCTCGATAAGCTTCTCTCATTATTCTAACAGTTCTCTCCCGTTCTTCTAACAGTCCTGTAAACTAGCCCCTCTCCTATTTATTTACAAACCTCTCGATAAGCTTCTCTCATTATTCTTACAGTTCTCTCCCGTTCTTCTAACAGTCCTGTAAACTATCCCCTCTCCTGTTTTTTTACAAATCTCTCGATAAGCTTCTCCCATTATTCTTACAGTTCTCTCCTGTCCTAACGTTCTTGTAGATTAGCCCTCTGGTTATCTTTCTTGCATTTACTTACGTTTTTCTCTCGTTCTTATTACTTCCCTGTACATTAGCCTGCCCTCTCTCTCTCTCTCGCTTTGATACAGTCCTCCAAAGTGATCTTGCATGGTAAAATTGTAAGATATTAATAAATTAAAGGCGATGTAGGGTATAAGTCAATGAAATCGTCATCCATCCACACAAATAACCAAATGATAACTAGGGGTCAACATACAGTATTCAACGATACAGAGGTTTTTTGTTCCTGGCGTTAAGTCAATTGTGATTAAATTTATCAGAGACTACCAAATAGCTGCAATCTTCATAACATTTTCCAAATTAACAAAAAAATTCTGACATTTTTCTGACATTTTTATAAACTTTACAACACACGGAAGTAAAAAAAAACAGATTCTCTGATTACAAGTTTTTTTTATAAAAATCGAAAAAGAATACGTGTCTAAGATACTGCAGTATTATATTGCCCTTTTGGTGTCTCATTGACGTATATCCCAAATCTCCTTTAATTCATATTAATAGATAAATTTCTGTGTAATTAATTATCAATATTTCGTAAATATTTCTTATTAATTTTATAGTTCTGATGGATATTTAGCTGATATATTCGAGAAGACCGTTGTTATGCCAACTTATCTTTTGGCATTTGCAGTTTGCGATTTTCCACATAAAGTTAACACTACCAAATATAATCACACGGTAAGCAATAATACATAATTGTTGTATGAATCATTTTAAACATTTTCACTTGATTGTTAAACAGGTATTGTAATAATGCAATTTACAACTGTAATAAACATTGCATTGTGTAACTTTAACACCACGGTTTTATTATCGGGATTGATAATGTAAATAATAAATTGGAGACTACGTAGGGCGTCATAAACAACGAAATTCATATCAGTTTTATAAGATTTAGTTTGTATAATGTAGCAAATCATTATATACTTTTATAGAATTGTATTCTGTATTTTTCTTATAAAGCTTATACAAGAAGTATAAATTGCAATCAGTTCCCAATACTTGTTTCTTCAATTTTGCCACCTCATTTTATACTTTCTTTTCCCTCTTTTAAAGATTTGTCCAAGCAACACGGTTGATTTAGTTGCCTTCTTACGAGTCCACATTAATTGCCGATTCTGACAGTGCAAAAGTACAAATTATCATATAAATAAAATATAATTTTTTCGTAATCAGACAAAAACATAAAATTACAATCATAAAAACATGCTTGGTAAAACAAGCTAACAACGCAAATCTTCAAACACTGGACAATTCAGTGTGTGTAAGACGTGTTTTTTTTATCCTCCAAAAAACGATTTTCATTACAAGTGGTGTTAAAGCAAATTATATTTTCTACTAGAAGATATTCACACCTTCAAGTCTCAGTTTTGCAAACGCACTTCAGTAGTTTCTAGGTATATTTTTTAACAAATATTTCCTTTGATAAATTTATTTTAATTAATCTAAAAGTACGTAGTTTGCTACGATCGTTTGACATCAAATCAATAGAATATACCATAGCGCTTTAGCTTTTAGCGCTAAACAGATATTCTCAATAATTTTTATACCATCTTTATCATAAACCAATATTACAAATATGTTTCATACTAACAGTCTGGTATTTTATATTATTTTGCACATAAGTCATGAAAATACATTTCTAATATGTCACAATACATGCCACGGCATCAAACCGATGTCACTATAAGAGACCTAAATAGGGAAAGTATTATCGAACACCCATTAAAACGCACTGTCATATGTTTTACAGCATTAATGCATGTATGTTCATTATTTCCCAATATTGTTGCACCATTTTTAATAACAGACATTACAAGATTGTATAAAAGCTAGCTATAAAAAGTAGAATACTCAAAATCACCAGAACTTCATATTTAGCAAATAGTAAATCTAATCTGATATATGACTGTTTAATATTATGATTGTTGACTTCCTATCGTTTATAGTTCAGGACATTTGCCAGGAAGGAGTATATAGAACATACCAACTACTCCTTGTGGGTTGGTAGCAGACTTCTAGATGAATTCGAAGACTATTTTGAAATTGAGTATCCGTTACCAAAATTAGGTATGTCAAACACATTGTATGGCAATAAGGGAATATGCTATATATATATACACTTTACGATTATGTTTGAACCCAACGGAACTAAAGACAGGAGTCGATCTGGGACTATTATAGTCAATATATTATGTCCCAGAGTTGATGTACTAAAACAAATTTTAATTTCAGTGCTACTTATCTATTTGACAAAGTGTTAATAAATTGTAAATTGAAATATTTTCAAGTATGGTACATTGTAATTGTAAGCCTACTCTTCGTGACTTTTAAGTAGATATGATGCAAAATAATTATGGTCAAATATCCATAAGGGGACAATGATAATTCAATAAAGGTCGGCTTAAAGTAAACCAATTCAAATCTAGACATTTTGAATAAAGTATAATTAAACTTTTACATACTTGATACGAATTTGAAGGGGCCACATATGACTTTGTTTTATTTGAGGTTTATACTTCTTTCAGCAATGAAGGGATAGTTGTTTGAGTTTCATATGTACACACAGAACAAGATTATGGCAATCGTCCATGATACAGCTATCCAACTACACAAAAACCCAAAAAGACATATTACGAGAAACCCGTCTATACAAAATGTTAAGCTCTTAGTCTCCAATAGTCTAAAGAAATTGTGATATAGCACAGGGGCGCGTATCATAGATGTTTTGGAGCGGAAATATATGTCAGTCGACTGGTATGCGTTATACATTGTGTTAGTCCGCTATTAACACAATGTATAACGCATACCAGTCGACTGGCATATATTTCCGCCCCAAAACATCTATGATACGCGCCGCTGTGGATATAGTTGACCATAAACTGTCTTAGAATTGCTATCAAAACAACATTTATTAAAACACCGTTCAAACATAAATTGTGACAACCACTGATGATGTTCTTTGGCTGGGTTAATTTCATTTTCTCTATCTCACCCATCTCCTTTATAACTCGTTCAGTGGACTAACAAAAGGTACAAGAATGAATTTAAATGGAAACCAGAAGAGGAACAACACTGAAATCGTTGATATAGGTATAACAAAAACAACAGAAGTGCAAAATGATAAAACAATACTTCATCAAAGAATGTCTGCATTTACTGAAAGTAAGCTCAAAGTTCTTAACTTGCTGGTATGAAATCATGCCTTCGTGCACTCTAATTTGGTGGTTGTATGACATCCCTTATTTTATACAGCACCGTCATAAACATTAAAGGCAGTCACCATCATGATTTTAGAATTGGCTTCCTATTTGAGAAAAGTATACTTTGTGTAACTACTTTTAATAATCTTCTATATCTTGATCTGAGGTTTCCGAGATTAAGAAATATTATTTCCTGCTAACCAAATTTTATTTTTGTATAGGATATCTTGAAAAACTATTTTTACATTTCAACCGGCTGCATTCTAAACAACGAAACTAAGGTCCACTTTTAAAATGACGCTCGACAGCAGCTACACATGTACCTTTTCCAAGGATTTGTGACAGCACCTAAATTATTTTGCAGATATGATCGCTATACCTGACTTCTCTGCTGGAGCTATGGAAAATTGGGGTCTTGTTACGTACAGAGAAAGTATAATGTTTTACCATCCTGACATATCCACAGTCAGTCAGCATATCTTTACAGCAATTGTTGTCTCACATGAATTAGCTCACATGGTAAGTCAAATATTTAATCGAGTTTAACATGTTATGTAAATATTGTCATTATTGATTTGGTGACTATTCTAGATAAATTATTTCTTGAATTATTTGTTAATCTATTTGTTTATAGTATATGCCCGAGTGGAATTATTTACTACGAGGTGGGAGCCATGAAATACACGAAAACCTAGTCACAACAGTGAAATAACTTAAATACCAGCTCAAATAGTTTCGTCTTGAATTTGTGTCAAATGATTGCCACTGGATGTTAGGCCATGAAAATCAAATAATTCAAAAAAGTGCCACTTAAAAATTTAAACATAAACTTGTGTCTCCATCATTGTATGTTTAAGTGGAATGAATTTAGCCCGTGTTTTACTTTAATGCAATTAATTATTACATGAATTCAAAATTGTGCATCTCCTACTCTAAGTCAGATATGGTTTTTTTATTGTTTTGTCATAAATCAGCCCTTTTTCATTACGCATTCTGTCATGTTGGGGCCTTTTATAACTGACTATACGGTATGTTATTTGCTCACTGTTGAAGGCCATACGGTGGCCTATAGTTTCTTACAACCACGTCATTTGGACTCTGATGATAGTTGTCTCATTTGTTTCTATACACATCTACTAATTCATATATATTCCTGTGTTTAAAGTTACATCAATGCAAGACCTTCTCATTGCACATGAATAAGTTAGTAATCATTTCTAATGGTTTTTTTATTTGCTTCTTTTCTTATTTTCGCTGGAGCGAGACCAGCGTCTGCTTTTAGATATAATTCAAAAATAATTTTAAAAATAAATTATTTCTTAAATTTATTAAGAAAATAAAACAAATATAATACAAATGATGAAAATAAACGCATACGAAAGACTAATTATATATTAAGTGTCTGGTCTGTCATGTATTTAAAATTTAAAACAAAAATGCAGAACGAATTGGAAGACAATTTCTAGGAATGTTATATCTAAGATGTACAACTGTTAGAACTCTTCCTTCTATCTAGTAATTAATGCTTGGCATTCTCATAATTCACTAATATGATTAAAGCAAATACAGTAGCTGTCATTGTTCGTGTTGCTTTGTTCTTCAAACCGGCTAAAATCCACCTCCTCCTCCGCCACCCCCATCTCCTCCTCCACCTCCTGAAAATCCGCCTCCACCACCGCCGCCGCCGCCTCCTCCTCCGCCGTTATGATGATGATGATTTCCGTAGTGCCCATGACCCGTACTACCTGCGTAACAGCCACCACTTCCACGCCGACAAATGCACATACCAATTATCACCATTGAGACAAAAAATGCACCAAAGCCAATTCCAACTATTACACCAACGACACCTTCTGTTGTTTCTATGTGATTACAATTACCATTTTCTAGAGTAGTTCTGTCAAGAAAAATTTAAATATTTACCATTAAGTTATAATTACTATAATACCGGATATAATAGCTTTCAATAAAAATCAATGGTATTATTAAATCATGTTTTTAGCAATTTAAGGATTTGATGATACGTATTCTAATATGTACCGCGAATAAACCCATTTTGGAAAGGAATACTGTTGTATATCGTGAGGTTTCGTTCTTGAGATCCTTACAATAGTGTACGGTTGTTTCATGAGCACCAATCTTTTATCAGTGAAATAACACAACAGTCTCGAACTAGATATTATTAATTATACAGTGTGCTAGTGACGGACTATCATAACGTGTTGCATTTAGACTAGTTGCCTATCAAAGTGATCAAGTCTTCAATATAAAGAACCTACTTCCATTGGTCTATACAAAAACAAATGCCAACAATAACATTTTGTTAGCTGTTAATGTGTTTCTGTATTTATTTCAATCGTTCATCATCAATTTCTTTATCTGTTGTCCGGGTGAAACGTTTCAGATTTTCCACAACGCCGTGTTGTTTTTTATAAAGGGACGTAACACCACTACTAACCGTGTATTAAAATATACCATTCCTACTAACTCCATATTAAATATACAGGGTCTACACGCGGTCACTTTTAACCAATGATATTCCTAGAAATGTTTAGGAGGTAAGATAATAGTATATAAACAGTTCTTTTGTGTGACATTCTAAGTAAAAGATGTAATGTATTTATAGATTAAGGTTGAAAATATCTTGACATTTCAATGTAAGGCCTCGTTCGGGTTGCATTAGATTCACAGACATGACCATCTACAAAACTCGCAATGAATTTTTGCTTTTTTGACCAGAAAATACTATTGAACTAAATGCAAATACGACGTTTAATTTCCCGCAAAAGAACAGAACGACTGATGATGAAGACATAATCTTTTAATCAGCTTAATTGAGGTCTGTAGTTGGCATGTCAGTAACTGCTAGTAGTCCTTTGTTAATTAATGTTATTATTGTCATTTTGCTTAGTTTCTTCTGTTACCTATTCTAACATCGGACTCGGACTTCTTTTAAACTTAGTTTTACTGTGCGTATTGCTGTGTGTTTGTTTATCCTACATTGGGTAGAGGTATAGCGGTAGGGTTGAGATATCACAAAACATGTTTAACCCCACCACATTTTTGCGCCTGTTCCAAGTCAGAAACCTCTGACCATTGTTAGTCTTGTATGTTTGTTTTAATTTCGATTCATTTATATGTTTAGAAATTTAGTGTGACGTCAATTTTCTATGAGGTCTGGCGTTGGCACGTCAGTAACTGCAAGTAGTTCTTTGTTAATTTAAGAGGAACTACTTTACATTTTTGTTAAGGGGACAGCTTAAGCCCGCCTCCGGATGCGGGATTTTCTCGCCGTGTTGAAGACCCATTGGTGACCTTGGGTTGTTTTCTCCTCTATGGTCGGGTTGTTGTCTCTTTGACACATTCCCCGTTTCCTTTCTCATTTTTATTTGATAAATTGATAATCTGCCGAAAGGAGTAGGATCCATTTACTCTGTATGGTTTCACTCGCAGGGTCAAAATCAGAAAGTTGTCAATACCTACTGAAGTTTGAATATAAAGGGATCTATGTGTTATACTTAATACAGATGCCAAAGTTTTATATATTTATGTACTATCAAAATGATGTTCAGTATAACATATTGCTAATCAACACGAAATTCATGTTATTTGTAAAATTTGGAACAGAAGGACCTAATTAACATACAGGAAACAATGTGTATCGGAAAGACAATATATATATATAAAATTACTTTCTACAAATTTGTTTTTGTTTTATTTTTGGTTTTAGTTTACATTGTCCTTCTCATTCATTTTTGGAACAATTATCGAAATTAATTTTGATAAATTCTATCAAAATTGCTACTTTGAAGCATCTGTAGGCGTTTATAATTTGGTCAAATACGATAGTGTTGTTAAAACCCTAGAGAACCAGACTAAGTACTTATATGAATCTATGATACAGCGAATTGGGTAAACTTAAGAATGAAGTTCATTTAGCAAATGGACTTTGTTTAAAATAATCCAAGGGAAATTGGCTCTATCTCTATATTACCTGTAGTGTTCTATCATTTCCCGCAGTCCCTCATAATAAAGGCCGTCAGTAAATTTAGGTCTAACAGCTTCATACACTTCCTCTATGCATTCCAAAGTTAGTGATTGGTATGCTAACGGACCAGCATCTGTATAAACCTATATAAATATATTAATGCACTAAATTTGCAAGTTCTTAACATTCTTATTTACTTATGTTTATCTATATTTAAGTCGTCTATATAATTGGGACGAAAGTTTATTAGAATTAATAAGATTCGGAAATATATATATAGATTTTTTATTACGTTTTTTCTTTTTAACGTTAAGTTATGTTTTAATTCTTGCATCCGCGTTACAGCGTTCCTATTTGATAGTGCCAAGGTACAATGATTTTAGGTTCTGTCGTGTTCGCGCATTTAGGTCTCGCACACATATTTTATTTCATACATCATCTTTTTTTAGTCACAGTTTGCAGTGCCATGCACTAAAATTACGGAAAAGGTAGCAATGTTTACGGAACCGGTTCTTTTGTTCAAAATTTTCCATAGCTGATAAATGATAAAGATAACAAACAAGCAAACTTTATTTGTGTGTAAAAGCTACACACTCAAATAATTAAGATGTAATGTAGCACAGGTTTAATTTATTTATTTACAATATTTATAATATTTAGTCCTGCATTGTCTTATAGACTGACTTTTTTAGAGTATACAGTTTAAAAGTACTTTGATTTTCTATACACCTTTTTTGTATTTAGATCCTGGATATTGTACTATTGGTTACTCTGTAAACTCCTTTGATAGTGAGGCACTCTTTTCAATTTCATTGTAGAGATGTTGAATCCTGTAAGCGACCAACACGTGTCTTTTTGTGTATATGTTGTGTAAATCTCGAAATGAAATAAAAGTTTCTCCTTTCTGTATATATAAACATACATGTACGCTACTCCATTTTTTCTTCTTCAATTATTTGAACTCTATTATCGTGGTATTCTTTTTCCTACCAATAAGGTGGATCTAATTCATTATTTTGGAGGCTACTAAACCAGCAAATGATATATAGCAGTAGAAAAGTTGATAATTTAACAAGGAATGTAGTTAGAAATTCTTTACACCAAACTTGTAGGTAAATCTTAAATAACCTTCAAATAGTAAGCTCGAGATAAAAGTATGGAAAGCCGAAAATATAAAAGGGCTTTAATGCCAGACGAGAGTGATGGGATTATAGTATTTCTATACCCAAGACATACCCGAGGGTGTGAATGGGGATTTACAGAATAGAGAATAATGGGCAAAAAATATAAAGAATAGAGAACGATGAGGTGCTAAAATAGAGAATAATGGCCAAAAAGTATAGAGAAAATGGCCTAAAAAATTAAAGAATACAGAAATAAAGGACCCCCACCCTTTGGATCCTCAACAAAACTTAGGTCAACGTTGCAACTTCAGTCAATTTATCTGTTTATATGTGCTATAAATTTACAGACAACCGGTCATTTAAATCATAGAAATACTAAGCAACTAGCTACTGGGCGGATGATATATCTTCAGGATTGATAATCCAATAGCCAGAGTACCAACCAAAAAACCTAATAAAATTTCAGTGTGCACAACACTTTTAACGTAAGGCAACCGTAATTGGTACACATGACCCAAATACACAAAAACAAACTTATTGTCTTTTTGTTGTGGGGATGTATAAGTACCCCGCCACGTCCACTCTGTTTTTGTTAGATGTATTTCTGCTTTGTATACATCTGATGAGTTAATCCCTTTCAACAGATTTTTATAGATTGTTCTTATGTTGTACTACAACACCACTGTCCCAGGTTAGAGAGAGGGTTGGCGCCTTCAAACTAGTTTAACCCCGCTACATTCTGTATGTGCCTGTCCCAAGTCAGGAACCTGTAATTCAGTGGTTGTCGTTTGTTGCTGTATATCATATTTATTTTTCGTTCATTATTTTGTTCATAAATCAGGCCGTTAGTTTTCTCGTTTTAAATGTCTTACATTTATCATTTCGGGGCCTTTTATAGCTGACTATGCGGTATGGGTTTTACCCATTGTTGAAGCCGTACGGTGACCTATAGTTGTTAATTTCTGTGTCTTTTGGTCTCTTGTGGAGAGTTAAGTCGACGCTAGGGGCCGTCTTGACCTTGTTGTAGGGTATGAATGATTCGTTTATTGTTGAAGACCCTACATCAACTGTCAAGATGAAGAACAGGAATACAATCCCTGTTCATTAATAATTTTCTATGTTTTCTATCTATTGTGTGCGATTTTGTCCCATGTACATTTACTCCATATCCTTTTATTTTCTATTGTCTCATTGACAATCATACCACATCTTCTAATTTTTTTTTATTTTTGTATTGTTTTCTAGGTTCTCTTAGAATATAAGAAGGAAACGTACGAGAGTTTTTTTTTTCAAAAGTTTGTAGAAAACTCTTGTCAAATGTATAGGTAGTCTGTAAACTCCAAATGTAGGATAAATAAATCCTCGTGAAAAGTTTCTGCATGTATGTAAAGCGCATTTAAACCACTGGTAACATATCAAAAAAACTAAGAAGATGTGGTAAAATTGCCAACGAGACAACTCTTAACAAGAGACCAAATGACACAGAAATTAACAACTATAGGTCATTGTACGGCCTTCAACAATGAACAAAACCCATACCGCATAGTAAGCTATAAAATGCCCCGAAATGACAAATGTAAAACAATTCAAACGATAAAACTAACGGCCTAGTTTATGTACAAAATAATGAATGAAAAAAACAAATATGACACACAGAAGCAAACGACAATGTATAGATGTAGGTATACTAATACTAATATAAAAATGTCATCGATGATAAATAGATATTAATAGATATTAAATATGTGTATGGAATTTGTTTAAGATTTTACAGACTAGTTTTCTTGTCCTTTAAGCAATATCTATAATAAAAATAAAACAATTGCATACTTGGAGAGCTTTACAAATAGTGTACACTCAAACGAACTTACAAACTAATTGGGACAAAGTTTGGCACATTTATTACACGTACCTGTCTATCATCTCTGGATACCAATATAACAATGTTATTTCCACAGATTTGAAAATTCCACGACTTTTTTCTTAAATATTCAGCAAATTCCCTTGTTTTTGTCTCCTTATCACTCAATCTGCAATTGTCCAAAAATGTAGAACAGCAATTCCAGATAAAAACTAATATAAAGATAATGGTACTATCGCCATGGTTGTTTTTAACAAGAATAATAAACCTTCGAAACTGGTATTCTTGGCTGAAACTAACATGACTGGTTAAGTACTTGTACCTAAAGCTTGCTTTCAGTAATTCTTAGCATTCTTTATTTTTTACAGTTTGGTCTTCTGTGCTCCTGTACTGCCACTGTTCAAGGTTAGGGGATGGTCGGGAACTTGTAAAATTCCGCCGCTTCTATTTTTGCCTATACCAAATCAGGAGCCTGTAATTCGGTGGTTGTGTTGGTTGCTGTCTACCATGTTTGTTATTTGTTTATTCCTTGGCATATAAATCAGGCCGTTGGTTTTCTCGTTTAAATTTTGACATGTCGGGCCTTTTATAGCTACACTATACGGTATGGGAGTATACCTATAGTTAAATTGGTTACATATACTTCATTTGGTGTTGCTATATAGCTGTCGCATTGGCAATTATATCACATCTTCTTATTTTCCTTTTTGACACAACTATTAGTTTAAATGGTTTATTTGGACTTGAGTTCACGTCGTCTTTAATACTATGGTATAGACACTTGTTTGTTGATGTACACCACATTTTGACTTCAAAATGTCTGTGTTTAAGTCTCATCGTGTCGTTGGGTTACTGACTCATTGATGTATACCCTACATCTCCTTTTATATACATTTAAGAAATTAATTGTTTTTTTTTTAACAATTCTGGGTATTTCAGTTCAGATTCAAATGTGAAATGATTCAAGATTTGTTTTTAATCAGACGAGTTCCATACATTAACATTCAATTATAAAAATATAATTGAAAATGTTACATTTATCAGAAACCATGTCTGCGTAATTTTGAAAAATGACTTTTACAAGGAATTTTCTTATTAATATGGTAAGGTAAATTTCCACTTCAATTAATATTTTAACTCTCAAAGGGTACTAGTAAGTACTTGAAAGTTGATAATAGCAACGAGTCTAAATATTACATTTAAAGAATTGTTGTACTTTTTATAATGCTCACTAAATGAAAATGATATTAAGGTCATACAAATAAGTTTACAGTATTATAGGTATAATTAGCGGAAGTGACTGATAAATGACTATTTCGTTACTAGTTGAACTGGTTCATATCCTGTCAATCCAAACATACCCTGCACTGTTAATGGATGGAATCAAAGCCACAGATATATTAAAACCATCTTGATCGGAACACTGTGAGCATTTGCATTTTCCTGAGTTCGCAATCTCATTTATAAAGGAGTCCAGTTCGTCCGCTGAAATATATATATTAATTTAATACAAAAACATTTGCCAAAGCTGTCAATTGAGATATTGTAATACTTATTACTTGTATCATCATTAAATTTCCTTTCATTCGTCTCTTTATAACCTTTTCTCTGGTCGAACATAATTGCTTCACAACTTCTATATTCAAGATATTTCCTTTCAACATGAATAATTTCCCGTTATGCAATAATCTGTACAGCAAGTATTTATAAAAAAACAAATATAAAGTGACATCTATATTTAAAAAACAACATGTACACTAACAACGTGTCCTCTTCACGATTTAATGAACTGTTGTATGTAGCTGCGTATCCTTAACATTTACAATAGAATATATAGAATTCAGAATGTTTGTGCGTTCTTCGTTAAATAATTCTTTAAAAAAAGGGACAAATATCCCAAAACTTTTAACTTTTTTTTTAAATTGATTTGTAATTGAACATTCTATGAAGATACTCTGCAACACTTTTTTTAAATTTTAAGTTTTTGTTTTATTTGAACGTTTTGTTTGTTCGTTCTCACCAGCTTTTTTATTCAACAACGATCCTTCCTTGTCACAAGTACTGTCGTTTGGTTAGAGTCTAAATTAAAACAATAAACATACGATTAACACTACATTAAATTACACTTAATACCTCTTTGACTTGATAGTATATGCCCAGGATCACAAATCCACGACGCTTTACAATCTCTTCCACACCTTCCAGGGTCCGTTTGAGGGTTCGGGAAGTCCTCTTTACTCCAGCTCGCTTTGTTTGTTGAATCCGGGATGCAATTCAACGTTACTGCAGATTTCACAAAATAAAACGAAACAATGCTCCTATACATGTACAGGTATATAAACGTCATAGTACTCTAAATTTACTTCAGTAACATTTATATTTTGAAACGAATAATATATCCTGGTCACTGCTTGATCTTTATTGTTGATTCTAATTTAATGATGTTTAAATTGACCTTAGGCTAAAGTTGTGATTTCAAACTTTATATGGGTGAATGGATATCAAATAGCTCAACACTTGACATAGTTTCTATCATAATACATGTACATACTACAGTATATACCTAGTAAACTGTTATACAATATTATTCAATCATTTGACAATACACATATTAAAATAATCAACAACAAAAATTATAAAACGGCTTCATCATTGACACAAGTTTATTTATCATTGCATATATATTTATTTTGTTTAAATGTCCGGATAATTCAATGATGATTAATATAAATATAAGAAGATATGCCAATGTGACATCTCTCCACAAGAGACCAAATGACATAGAAATTAACAACTATAGGTCACCGTACGGCATTCAACAATGAGCAAAACCCTTACCACATACTAGTAGTCAGCTTTAAAAGGCCCCGAAATGACAAATGTAAAACAATTCAAACGAGAAAACTAACGGCCTGATTTATGTACAAAATGATGAAGGAAAACAAATATGATATACAGCAACAAACGACAACCACTGAATTACAGGCTCCTCACTTGGGACAGGCACATTCATAATGTGGCTGATTCAGCAACCTTATATTTTATCCATTTTAAAATTAGTGCATTTAAGATAGTTTGTTATCATGCCACAGAAAGAGAATAATATCAAGCAGCAAGATTAAAATAAACGTTAGTCATTAATTTTGAAGAAGAAAAACCCAAATTAAACTTTACAGTATGTTCAGACTTTTGTATTTATAATGAACTTGTACAGTTATAAAAGTCTATATGAAGGGAAGGAGATGCAACATATACGTTATTTAGACAGCAACTCAATGCATTGATTCGGTGATTGATTGGTGTTTGCTTTACCCCACATCAAAGGGCAGTAATTCAAGGACACACAAACTAATACAAATCTTGTACATGTGGTATTGTCTATTCTTTCAGTGGTTTGGAAATCTAATATCCCCAAAATGGTGGGACGATTTATGGCTGAACGAAGGCTTTGCGACATTTTTTGAGTATGTTGGTGTAGATTTGGTGGAAACGGACTGGGATATGGTAAGGAATATACTCTTATTATCTTATATAACTATTGCTCTTATTTAAAGCTAAAATTACACGAAGGTATATTAATGCGAGTTTATCTTGATATTCGCGAAATATGCGAAAATAAACCCCTCACGAAGCACTTTGCAGACTACATTACTGATACATTATTAACTTGCCGGTATCAGATATTTATATAAAAATAGCATATATCAAGATATTGTGCAATAGATTTTGACATGCATGATTTAATCAATTATTACTCTTAAAAATCGTGTTAGCTTTTGCTTCTTCTTGAAGGCCTCACTATGGCTTTGAGACAAGGGACAGCAATAACAGCGACAATATTTTGCTTTTGATGTTGCTTGGTGCGTACAAGGACTTTCTGTCATGAAATAGTGCAAAGTATTCTACCATTTAAGTCATACAGTATTCTGGCTTTTGTCGTTTGAAGTTTTCATAATGATATTCATCCATCCACTCTGTTTCTGTTACTACAAGGAACAAAGAACAACCGAGTAAATAGTTCGAACCGAGTCAGGGATCTTTTTTTCTATAACAATTTTGTTTCATCTTTGAAATTATTAAAAAGCACTTTTTTTTTTTAATTTTCGAACGAAATTTTTTGTTACCTATTAGTAACAAACTATAAAATTTCAAAGCATTTTGAAATGCTGATCATGATTTGACTTTTTCAGGATGTCATCTATTGACAGAGAAACACCTTCATGTATTTGTTTCATTTAGAATGTTTGCTTATATTATTATGTTTATTGGATTCATACTACTTGTAATCCTTAAATAATATCTCCAACTAGATGAACTACATGGCATTAGACTGCATACAGTATTCCTTTGATACAGACAGCCTTGAAAGTTCTAGACCTATATATCAACAAGTATGGACACCAAATGATATCAATAATATCTTTGACGTCATTACATACTATAAGGTAAGTTTTTTTTATGTTTCATTATTCTCATTTACAGACGAAATGCCTTTTTCTAGGAAAAAGATATTAGAAATATCTAAAACCATCTTAAGTTTAAATTTACTATAAAGATAAGAACTTTGTTCATAAACGACTTACATTCGATGAAAGCTTTCATAAGAGTCAAATTTTATTTACAGTTCAATCGTTTTGATATACCGAGAATATCTATAATCGATTATTGTTAACAAAAATGTAAGAATAGAGAAAAATACTCTTTGTAGAAATACTAATCGAACGACAGAATTATGAATTCATGAATGTAATCTGTGGTAAAAAAAAAACAACATTTTTTCATAAAAAACAAAAGTCATTTTTCCTGTTTTTTTATATATTTTTTTCAAGGGAGCCTCTGTCATTCGAATGATGTGGTTTTTCCTTGGAAAAGAAAACTTCCGTCGAGGACTTCGGGTAAGTATAAATCCATGAGTAAAATTTTTATATTGTGAAATATGGCTTAATATTTTGACATAATTTTTATTCATACGAATAGGACAAAATGTAAAAAAAATAAAATGTGTTTTACTTTGAGGCTTGTTAAGTCATGATAATTTCATTTAGTTTGAGCATGTGATAATCAAATTCTGACAAATTAATCGAAAGAACCTAAGTATATAATATTGTTGCTGTTTTTTCTCGAAATCTTACTCTAACCTGTATATTTTTTGGGGTAATGGTGGAGGGATGGGATTTGTTTCAATGTTTCTTGCTAAGAAAAACATACACAATTTTGTTGAATTGAGCAATAAACGAACAAAATAATCTTCAAGACTAAATCTAGTATATCAGTACATTTGTATTGCTGGGTCTTCCAAGTGCTCCACGAAACCTCTTTCTAAATTATTAACATCTATTTTATCAGCAATCAAAGCCGGGCTCCAAAGTTATTGTGAAACTGCCTATTCTAGAGGTGGAGTGAATCAGATCTTTTAGAGTACATACAATCTAAGACTCTCTCATCTTGCAATAGTATCAAAACATTTGACTTTTCTACACTTTACACAAGTATTCCCCATTCCAAACTAAAAGACAAATTGAAAGAGTTGGTATTACTTTGTTTCATTAAAAAGAATGGCGAACGTAGATACAAGTATCTTGTCTTGGGGATGGATAAATCCTACTTTGTAATGAATCACTCTGATTCAAACAAAAAATTCTCTGAAACTGACATTATCAAGATGCTTGATTTCTTGATTGACAACATATTTGTTACGTTTGGAGGAAGTGTTTTTCAACAGACTGTCGGAATTCCAATGGGAACCAACTGTGCCCCTCTTCTTGCCGACTTGTTTCTTTATTATTATGAGGCTGACATCATACAGGAACTTCTTAGGAAGAAACATAAGAAGTTAGCAATATCCTTTAACTCTACGTTCCGCTATATAGATGATGTTCTCTCACTAAATAATACAAAATTTGGTGACTATGTTGAACGAATCTATCCCATTGAACTAGAGATAAAGGATACTACAGATACAGTTAAGTCTGCCTCATATCTTGACTTACATCTAGAAATTGACAATGAGGGTCGGTTGAAAACAAAACTTTACTACAAAAGAGATGATATCAGCTTCCCAATTGTGAACTTTCCATTTCTATGTAGCAACATTCCAGCAGCGCCTGCATACGGAGTATATATCTCCCAATTGATACGATATTCCCGGGCTTGTGTTTCCTATCATGATTTCCTTGATAGAGGATTGCTGCTCACAAGGAAGCTATTAAGCCAAGAGTTCCAAATGGTGAAGTTGAAATCATCCCTTCGTAAATTTTACGGACGCCATCACGAGTTGGTTGACCGTTATGGAATAACCGTTTCACAGATGATATCGGATATGTTCCTTATGTCGTAACTACAATACCCTTCCCTTTTTACGAATGTGACTTACCGAATTAGACTATTTACCGGATTTGTAATAACATAAGCAACACGACGGGTGGCACATGTGGAGCAGGGTCTGCTTACCCTTCCGGAGCACCTGAGATCACCCCCAGTTTTTGGTGGGGTTCGTGTTGCTTAGTCTTTAGTTTTCTATGTTGTGTCATCTGTACTATTATTTGTCTGTTTGTCTTTTTATTTTTGGCCATGGCGATGTCAGTTTGTTTTCGATCTATGAGTTTGACTGTCCCTCTGGTATCTTTCGTCCCTCTTTTGTAGCTTAGTAAAATACCGACTTCAAAATAAAAGAAGTAAAGTATGCTCCACCTCTACAATTCACCTTGTTTGTTCGTGCATTAATATCAGAATCGGACTAAATTATAGTTTTTTTTTTGTTTTTTTTTTAATTGTAGGATTACATAAGAAGAAGAGAATATGGTAGCGCACAGCATGACGATCTGTGGATGGCATTATCAAATGTATTAACAATTAATTACATTATGTTTAATATGGCTCATATAAGTGGTACTTCTTTAAAAGAAAGTCAGGAATAAATATTTCAAAAGTTCCTACCTAAAAAAAGGCTTTGTATGGCTTCTATTAAAGTAACAAGAGCAGAATCAGGAAAAATGGAAAACCAATAATCGCAAGATGCACGTGCTTCAAATCAGATGATTAAAATCTAAACAACTGAATACCAATCAAAACAAATACTGTATTCATTCAGACACATGCGTGAACAAGAGAACAAACAAAACCATTTACGTAAAATCGAATGACAAAAAAGTCAGATGTCACTTTAAATACCAGATATTAGAACATTTTCTTCAATGTGCAGCATTTTTGTAAAGCAATAAAAATAATCAATTATCAAATGAGGATAGCAGAAGAATTTTATGATATATTATAACTGAATTTGGAATTTTTAAGATATTTGAATTATTTTATTTTTTTCACTGGTTGCATAGCACTTTAGAACTTAGTTTGACTCGGTATACAACAGTACACCCATTACTTTATTGTTCTGACTAATAGTTCCATTCGGAAGCCTTTCATAGCCACATTGTCATGATTAAACGAACTCAATATTTGAAATTTTCAAATAAAAAACTGAAAATTATAAAATTCCCCTCGTGCATGACATCGAATGTCTTTTATCGCCTTTATACAAATAAAAGGGTTTACTTACAAGATCTAAGGAACTGTTTCCAAGGTAACGGTCTAATTAAACAACAAAAATAGTTTAAACTGGACAGACAAACTGTCTTTTGGAATAATTCTGTTCAATTTATCTTTGATAATGCAGAAAATAATAAAATCCAATTCTAACTTTGGAACGATAAAGATTTTTAACTAGATTATATACCTATTTAAAAAATGAAGAAAACATTTCCCATTCTATTGTTTTTGATATGAAGAAACGAAATATGCGGTAACTGAAATGAGAAAAAAAAACAATCTTTGATAATACAGAAAATAATAAAATCAAAATGAATCATTATAAAACCAGAAAGGACATCTACAGGACAACTTACGGTCTAAAACAATAGACACGTATATATATCATTCGCCAACATGGTTCCGATTCTATCTATAGACAGGTTAAATAACTGACACTAAATTCAAAAGACAATGTCATCAACATCAAAGTCCTTAAAGGACAAAAGTTTTTCACCACATTGAATTCAAATGGAAAAGAAATAGATGTATGCATTTCATTTCTTTAAAAAACGTTTTACACTGGACGTTGAGCTAGCAACAATCAATCACAACCTTACACATTGTCTTTCAGGAATCGAAAGCTAATGGTACTAATATAGATGTCAGAAGAGTGATGGATACATGGGTAGAACAGAAAAATTATCCTTTGGTCAATGTTTCAATTACAAGTAGTGGTATCAGGTTAACGCAGCAACGTTTCCTACTAAGAGAAAGCAGTCAAGACGATCATACGTAAGTCATTTGTACCATATATTCGGGTCTCATATCACTTTTCTATGAGTTGATTTTGCACTGCTTTACTGGTTACGTAATGAAAGTACATATATTCACGAAAAACACAACCTTCGACAGGGATTTATAAACATCTGATAAGCAAATATACTGACAATACTTACCAATTCCTAGGCATCAATGACATGTATCTTACTTGCATTGTTAGTTAAATCAAGACCAGTCTGGTTAAAGTTATCAAGTAATAGCATATCTGGATAGTATCTCTTTGTTTTAAATATGAATAAACCGTTAAGGAAAACATATTTATTTCAATAAATGAAAAAGGAACAGGTGAAATGTATCACAGTTTTAAATCCCAATAATAGCATAATCTTTAAAACTTGAGTATTATAATAATATGATAACCATGAAGGGTACAATCTATTCGGGAATAATAAGTATACTTCAAAATTCCCTATGACAAAACAAAAACATTGATAAGTGAACCACACATGTGAAGAGGTCTCAGAATCAATTTTCGAGGATACAACTAGCTGATAACTTTTAAAGATATCAGTTCCATTTATCGTTTTGTTGGCATAGTATCTGAACAATTGTTTCGCCATATCTTGTGTTTCAAAATGTAATTGTAAAATGTTTAATTATTGGTTATAATGTTTACAGATTTTTATGGGAAATACCAGTTACTTACACGACCAATGCGCATCCAGATTTCGAACAAGATTATAGGAATATTACATGGATGAATACGAGTGGTAAGTTGGTATCATACATGATTTGTTTAAGTCCTCAGTGTTACATGTACATTAATATATTATATCATTTAGGTAGTTTGAATAATATGTTGCCTGTAAGGAGATGCAGTCTGCCATTTAATCGGATAGTTATTGTGAAAGTTTATAAATATATGGAGAAATGGCACGAGTGCCAATGAGACAACTATCCACTAGAGTTACATGATTGACACAGGAATTCAATGAGACAACTATCCACTAGAGTTACATGATTGACACAGGAATTCAATGAGACAACTATCCACTAGAGTTACATGATTGACACAGGAATTCAATGAGACAACTATCCACTAGAGTTACATGATTGACACAGGAATTCAATGAGACAACTATCCACTAGAGTTACATGATTGACACAGGAATTCAATGAGACAACTATCCACTAGAGTTACATGATTGACACAGGAATTCAATGAGACAACTATCCACTAGAGTTACATGATTGACACAGGGATTCAATGAGATAACTATCCACTAGAGTTACATGATTGACACAGGGATTCAATGAGACAACTATTCACTAGAGTTACATGATTGACACAGGAATTCAATGAGACAACTATCCACTAGAGTTACATGATTGACACAGGAATTCAATGAGATATACTGTTTATACTGTTAGAGTAGTGTTTCTGTTTCTTTTTCTCAGTTCTATTGATTCTCCTGGTTCTCTTTTAACATTTACAGATGATCTTTAGTATATCAAGGTATATTATTTCTATAAGAAGACGTGTCGGTTATCATCATAGCCTTTATATGTGCTTGACCTTCGATCTCATGGTCAAAATAGTTGATTTTGTGGTTCATCGGTGCACAACCTTAAGAAGTCCATGGACGATGACTTCTGACATTTGATATTTGACCTCTGACCTGAATATCAAATAATTGATTTTTGAAATTTGTTCATGTACATCACAAAACCACAAAACCATGTACGTTTTCGTTTGTCATGGCAAATATGTTTTACCCTGGAGGAGGAAGGTCCTCGTACAATATTTCGATTAATACAAATTGATAACAGTTCCCATCTGTTTACTATATATTGTATTTGCCGTGACAATAACTTTCCAGTACTATAATATGTTTGTTATACCTTATTTTACTGTAGTTACCTCTATAGATGAAGGCGATACATCACTTTCAGTCAACTGAAATATTTCCACCTAGTACAATTTTATTGTTCTAAGACAAATAAGATATACTACAATGTTAGATCTAAAAGTGAAATATTTAACAAAACTGGCATCATACACGCAGTAGTGAGGCACATGTAAATAGATAATTGTGAAATAGAATGTTAACTCGTTTATTGAAATTCCAGTTATACTTTAAAGCAAGAACCCCCCAATAGTGACTGGGGAATAGAAATCTTGTCTTCTTCCTACCAGCTGTAAAACCCTTGCCAAAGCGGGGCGTCCTGTTTGACTGTGCGGGATGTACAAGTACGCAGCTACGTCAAGTCAAAATGGGGACGTTAAATCCGATTCCTCGTGTGAAGAGAGTGTCACGCTCTCTGCACGTGAAGAACCCTTGCAACAACTCTTTGAGGGGTCCGTAAGTGACCTGTTGTATGGCAAAATTTCTGCCCATATCCAATAACTCTCCAGTTGCAGTCCAAATTTTCCCGACCTTCGTCCGGGACGGTCGCTTTTATAGGACCTACCTATTGCATTTACTGTTAATTTGTTCTCGTCTTGAACATGCATGAAATATTTACCACTAAACGTCAAACAATTATCAATCAATCAATCAATAAGAGCCATAACTGATTTTTTTTTTTTAATGTACTTATTAATGCCAGTACAGTGCACACAGAATTTAAAAAAAGGTTATCAAGAAGTCCTTGCTTTTCTCAAATAATTTATGACGTCTTAACACTAAATTCGTTAAATGTGCACTGAATGATACTTTAGTTTGGGAGAACATATTGTTTTTATGAGTTGTAATTTGTAGCTTTGTTACTGTGAGTACTCTCAGAATGGAACCTTCTTTCTTTTGAATTTATGTTAGTTGTTTTAAGTGCTTCGTACAATCTGTTGAGTTTATATAAAAAGAAGATGTGGTGAGATTGCCAATGAGACAACTCTCCAAAAGCGACCAAATGACACAGAAATTAATAACTATAGGTCACCATACGGCCTTCAACAATGAGCAAAGCCCATACCCCATAGTCAGCTATAAAGAGCCCCGAAATGACAAATGTAAAACAATTCAAACGAGAATACTAACGGCCTAATTTATGTACAAAATAATGAACGAAAAACAAATATGTTACACAGTAACAAACGACAACCACTGAATTACAGGCTCCTGACTTGGGACAGGCACATATAGAATGTGGCGGGGTTAAACTAGTTTGAAGGCGCCAACCCTCCCTTAACCTGGGACAGTGGTGTAACAGTACAACATAAGAACAAACTATAAAAATCAGTTGAAAAAGGCTTAATTCATCAGATGGATACACATAGAAATACATCTAACAAAAACACAGAGTGGACGTGGATGGGTACTTATACATACCCACAACAAAAAAGACACTAGGTGCAGATCTGAGAGTACTCGTAATTACTGACAGCTAGTTCAAAGCCAATAACAACCAATAAAAAAGTCATGCATCTAAGATTAAAATATTAATCAGAACACACCCAACATCCAATGGATTTAGTGTAAAGACGTCATAAACAGACAGAGAAAAACATGACCTTGTGCAATGCTAAGATACAGGTATCGACAGATTGTAGAGCCATGAATGTGCATATGTATATAAATATAATATTTAGTTTGATTTTAATTTACTGATAAAAAAAATCAATATTAATACAAATAAAAACAATATTCAGAGATCTAATTACAGTGTTGAATTGGTAACCTTTTAGAATAAGTTTATTTAGAGGATCGATAAGTTTACCCGGATCGTTTCTTAAATTCCGGGCTCGGTAAACAACATCTCCGTAAAAATGAGGATGTGCTATCCCGTTTGAAATTAGCCTTTCCAGTTGAATTTTAGTTTGTTCCTATAGTGTGCTGTTATACCACTGTCACATGTTAAAGGGAGGATTGAGCGCTCTCAAACATGTTTAAGCCCGCATCATTCTGTATGTGCCTGTCCAAATTCAGGAACCTGTATTTCAGTGGTTGTCGTTGGTTGCTGTCTGTTATTTCTGCTTTTCGTTTATTGTTTTGTCATAAATCAAGCCGTTTGATTTAACGTATGAATTGTTTCTCGTCTTGTTAAGTCGGGGCCTTTTATAACTGAATATACAGTATGGGTTTTGCTCATTTTTTAATCCGGTGATCTAAAGTTGCTTACATACGCGTCATTTTGACTGGTGGATAGTTGTCTCATTGGCAATCATACCAGATCTCTGTATTTATATACTGTAAATGTATTTGTACTAATGTATACATAGTTTTCCTCATTTTCCAGAAATCAGCATTCCAGTACCCGAAATTACAGATGTAAACTTCCTCTGGGTTATTTTAAATATCCAGGAATATGGTTACTTCCGAGTTAATTACGAAAAAACAATTTGGGATAGAATAAATGGACAACTCATTGGAAACCATAGCGTAAGCAATTTATGATACTTTTTGTTTGAGCTCTTCGTCTTCATTCTAGAGGATTTTACATAATTACTGAAATGTTCATGTATCATTTCTAATATTAATTTTTTTTAGAAAATCTCTGCTAAAACGTAACCATGATAACGTGATCACAGAAATTTGAAAATAATATCAACACCATAAATATTTGTCAGGCAAATATACACATTTACAACAAAACTACGTACCAAATATTGTATATACTTGCATGTGTCTTCTATAAGAATTTTCGAACAAAAATGATCATTGACTCATTGAAATAAGGCGATGACATATATCATGCGATGATATAACTTTATACCAAATATTGATAATTTCTCTACCAATCATTTATGACCTTATCTATAAAATAACATGAGCAATAAAAAGGGATCAAGGCAGTGTACTTGTTGATTATATACTTGTACAACAATTATTTGCTGACCTGCCATGCATAATCAATTATCCTGAAATTTTAAAATTACAACTTGAGCTTAAAAGTGAGGACATGTTTCAATGATTTATACCAGACGGATAAAAAACTGTTGCAATAAATTCTCATATAACAAAATATTTACAGTCGGCAAATTATGCAAATATACTGAGTAACAGACCAAAAAACTCAATAAGATCAATGTCATACGACATATCAGACGGACATATATTGCGATTACATGTTCATGTCAAATAGTGTTGACTAGTTAAGATGTGTCATGTATATTTACTTACCCATGAACAGACAATATCCCATTAACTAAATTTTACAATTGAAGCGTGAAAAAGGGGTCAATATGGAACGCCACAGCTGTCTTATGTGGAACTCTAATATTACTTTATGTTGTTTTATTATTACTTGATGATATTTTGTCTTAACTTAATATGGTTTTGACATTACGTAATGATGTTTTGATATAACTCAATATGGAATAGTCATTACTTAATGATATTTCGATATTACACGATATAGTTTCGTATTGACTTGATACAGTTTTGTCATTACTCAATATGGTTTTGTCATTACTGGATGTGGTTTCACCATTATTTAATGTGGTTGTGTCATTAGTCAATGTGGTTTTAACATTACTTGATGTGAATGTGACTTAACGTTATGTAGTTGTTTCATTACATGATGTGGTTTTGTTATTTCGTAATGATGATTTGCCTATTCTTTATATGGTTTTAACATTACGCAATGATGTTTCAAAATTTGTCGATTTTACACTACATGATGTGTTTGTTTCATTATTTGATGTGGTCCTGTCATTCTTTGATGTGGTTATCCCATTACTTGATGGTGTAAAACCACGTGACCAATTCGGAAAAAAATATGTTCTATTTTTAAACAGATTTCAATATATCGTTTGTTTAATGTGCTTTTGATGGGTATCGCTATCCATTGAGTTAAAGTTCAAATTAAAGTTCGAGTGGTTGTTCAGAGTTATTTGGTATGAAAAAGGGGAACAGCAGACAATAATAAAAAAAAAAATATTAAAAAGTTTACAGTATTTCGGACATAATTGGGATATCCCCAAACCACTTGGTCCTGTCGTTTTTATCCTAAGTTCTCAAACGGAAGCAGTATTTTTGTAATAAATTTGTAAAATATTCCACGGAACCCTATGTCTCGCCTGATATTGCTGCTGTAAGTGTAAAAGCGTCATGTTGATCGGCTGTACGTTTATCGGTAAAAAAAAAATTTAAAAAAATGTTTTTCTGTAGATGCTTTTTCTTGAAATTGAGGAATAACTCCTATATAAGTTTTAAAACACTTCATGGAGGTTTACAAATTTATAATGTCAAAACAGTTTAATTCGGTTTTATTTAACTAAAACAAAACTGTATGGTTTTCAACAATGAGCAAAACCTATACCCTATAGTAAGCTATAAAAGGTCCCGAAATGAAAAATGTAAAAAACTAGAAACCTAACGATCTATAGATAGATAGATAGATACTTTATTCTCTAAAAACTAAATACAAGTTTACAGAGAAACATACAAAATAAATACAGATACAATAGTCGAGGTAAACAAATACAGTATGATATTCTGTAAGTACAAAATTATGATGGCATACATGTTTAGTAACATGTATAATGAAAGGTTAAACTCAACAGAAATTAAAAAAAATGGAGATGGAGACGCCGATGCCACTATCGACGACGAAATATAGGTTTGTTGTGTCTCACTGCCGCTACATTGATGTCGCAGGCTCGACACAAATCAAAAGACTTGAACTGTATTGTTAACAAATGAAACACTTCAAATCAACTCACACTAAAGTTACAGGGAAACGGGGGGAGGGGGGCTCGGACTAAGCGACAAAGCATCAATACTACAAAATAAGAATTCTCCGAATTTTTTTTAGCGTAAATGATCATTTGAACTTATACGAATATCAATCTTTTATTTGTAATCAATTAAATTCCCTGATCTACCTCGCACTAATTGAAAAATAAACTTTTGGAATATCTGTTTCACATGTGACGACGGACATGTTCCAGTGGTCGTAACCATAATACCGTCATCTTTTCCTTGAATGTAAACTACAAAATAAAACCAAATCACTGGGTTTGTACTTTCTCGAATAACACGACGGGTGCCTTTCTGGAGCATCCGAGATCACCCCGATGGATTTATATTACCAGTCATACCGATCTATTGAATCAGCCAAATGAAACTGTTTTGTATGCCACCGCAACTGAAAGTTGGGGGCATATTGTTTTACCCCTGTCCGCCCGTCCGTCCGTCCGTCCGTCCCATTATGGGTATATAGTTATTCCGCATAACTCCTCCTACAGTTTGAATCCTAGGAAGTTTTCTCTTTACTGTCTGTTTGTACATTTATTGAAGGTGTGCATGTGTTCAGGGTTTTTTTTATTATCTTTTGCTCTTTTGGGAGATAATCGAACTTTTTTTTGTCAATTTGGGGTATAAGCGGTTAAATGAGTTGAGTGCGGGGCATCACTTTGTCTAGTTTACATTTTTTCTCGTGTTGTGCTGTTACACAACTGTAACAGTCCGATGTAAGGTTAGGAATTAGCGCTCACATACATGTTAAACTCCGCCACGTGCACTTTCTTTATGTACCTGCCCCAAGTCAGGAGCATGAAGTTCAATTGTTGTCGTTGTATAAATGTGTGTCTTGTTTTTTGTAGATTGTTTATTTGTAATTAAATAAGACCGTTTGTTTTTTTCGTTTGATTTTTTTCACATGGTGCATGGTGGCCTTTTGTAGCTGACTATACGGTGTGTTGAAGGCTGTACGGTTGCCTATATATGATTTCTTACATCCACTGCATTTAAACTCTGGTGGATAGTTGTCTCATTGTCAATCACACCACATCTAACTTTATTTCAACTTCTATGTTGCGTTTTGTATACTGTAACATTGTTTATCTTTTGTACGCATACCCGGGAGCCCTCTTTTCTGAAGCCTGAGCAAAAGTCCTTGTTCCGCGATAGAAAATTTAATTACGAACTCATAAAAGATAGCTCGAATTTCAACTCAAAATCTTAATTAATCTAAATGAGACTTAAATTCGAATCTTACTCAAACTCTACCTCAAAAAGTGACTCAAATTTAATGTTGTAACTAGAACTCTACCTTTAAATGTGACTCAAACTCGAAGTCCAACTCGAAACTCAATGCTAACTAAAACTTTAATTATGATAACGACTTGAATTCGAAATCGAAGACTAACTCAAAGTTGAACTCAAACAGTAACCCGAACTTTAATTTGAACTCTAATTCGATGGATGGCCACACTCATCCAAGGCACATACAACATGGAAATCTATCTAAAAATAGAACAGGTTTTTCCGAATTGGTCACGTGGTTTTACCTCATCAAGTAATGGAATAACCACATCAAAGAATGACAGGACCACATCAAATAATGAAACAAACACATCATGTGGTGTAAAATCGTCAAATTTTGAAACATCATTGCGTAATGTTAAAACCATATAAAGACTAGGCAAATCATCATTACGAAATAACAAAACCACATCATGTAATGAAACAACTACATAACGTTAAGTCACATTCACATCAAGTAATGTTAAAACCACATTGACGAATGACACAACCACATTAAATAATGGTGAAACCACATCGAGTAATGACAAAACCATAATGAGTAATGACAAAACTATATCAAGTCAATACTAAACCATATCGTGTAATATCGAAATATCATTAAGTAATGACTATTCCATATTGAGTTATATCAAAACATCATTACGTAATGTCAAAACCATATTAAGTAAAGACAAAATATCATCAAGTAATAATAAAACAACATAAAGTAATATCAGAGTTCCTCATAAGAAAGCTGTGGCGTTCCATAGGTCAAGGTTATATAACATATGTCACGAATAAATATTTTTCACAACAAATTCACATGCAAAATTTTGTCTAATGATTATCGACAAATTGAGAAAGAAAGTTAGATGATTGTCAGACGAAAATGACTAACTGACAATTATATATGACCATAGACAACCTCATCGGATATGAATTTCAGACGAACATATATAATGACAATTAAATTTTCTCTAATAACATCTATATTCACACTTTACTTGCTCCATTGCATTCTATATATTTCGGAATATAACCATTAATGAGTTTATTATTATAACAAACTTTTGGATAAAATAAATCGACAACTGTAGGAAAATCGCAATGTAAGCTATTTATGTAAATGTTGTTTGAGCTTTCCAGCTTTTTCTTATGCTATTACATTGTATAGAATCTTGACGATGTTCTGCAATATTTGGTAGCCACTATAAATATGCTCAGTTATACATATTTCCTTGCTCAATAGATTTTTCAAAAATATATATAAAAATGGTAAACCATAACCCTGTATATTTTCAAATGCAGGTTATCCACGTCGTAAACAGAGCGGCTCTTATAAGTGATGCCTGGGCCTTGAATAAGTAAGTATTGTAAATAACCACCAGAAAAAATATAAAATTTAACTACAGTAAGATTGTATATCGAAAGTTCAATTACATGTCGACTCCAAAGACATATATTTTTCACACCTTAACTGGTCAAGACTTTTTGATGAGATAATATATTACATTAAAAATATTTTGAGATGACAAACGTCCAACGTATACTATCAGTGTTTTGATGCTGAGGTTCAAACTAGTTGTCCTTAATTGTAAATAAACACTGAAAAGTGTACAAAAGGCAGCTAACAAACTGATTATAACAACTAGAAATGGATATCTAAGTGTTCAATTCAATCTGTTGTATGTTAACCCTAAATTTAGTTGAGAAAATTTGTTGAAACACCTCGTAATGAATGCAAATTTCTAGTCTTATTTCGCTTGAAATATTCCACTATTATACAACTACTTACTGTACGTGATATTGTATTTTTTACAAGGTTGAGTTTATTGCAAATATTTTAATAAATTTTTATCATGTTCTTGTTATACATTTATATTCACCTTAAATATTAATAAAAGTGGTATATATTTTCGAGACATCATCCAACAACACAAAAAACAATATGTACATCAAGAGAAAAACAAAGTGATATTGTAATAAGGGGACATAAGGTTTAAAAACAAGAATGTGTCTATAGTACACAGATGCCCAACTCGCACTATCATTTTCTATGTTCATTGGACCGTGAAATTGGGGTCAAAACTCTAATTTGGCATTAAAAATAGAAAGATCATATCATAGGAAACATGTGTACTAAGTTTCAAATTGATTAAACTTCAACTTCATCAAAAACTACCTTGACCAAAAACTTTAACCTGAAAAAATTTAACCTGAAAAATTTTAACCTGAAGCGGGACAGACGGACGGACGAACTGACAAACGAACGGACGCACAGACCAAAAAACATAATGCCCCTAGGTGGGGCATAAAAAGAGGCGGGAGATACAAAAGGAACATTCAAAACTCATAAGTTGAGTCAAAGAGAAACTGATAAAGCAATGGAGAAAAAAAACCAAAAGACGACAAAAGGAAACGCAAGAAAACCTAAAACTTAGAACTTAAGAAATATAAAGACTGAGTAACACGAACACAAACACAAATTGGGAGTTATCTCAAGTACTACGGATAGGTGGTGGATACTCATCATACTGCTCCACTAGTGGAACCTGTCATGTTTCTCAAGGTAAGGACATATTCGGTAATTAGTCTCATTTTGGTGATCTCTGTTCATTATGAGTGAGTCTTTAAATAACGCATGTTGCATGCGTGAATCCTTAAGCACTAACTACTAACTACCTTAATGCATACCAAAGAGCACTTGTTTAACGAACTTTTTTAAAAACTTTTTAGAGCAGGTATTTTGGATATAGAGACTGCTTTGCATACGTTGGATTATCTAAATAGCGAAACAGAATATATCCCTTGGGGAGCAGCAATTAAAGAATTAGTATATCTTGATAGAATGCTGGTTTCCACACCAGTTTATGGAAATTTTGAAGTAAGTGTTAAGTGTGCACATGTCAACAATACAATTACATGAAAAGCATTGACAAGTGTAATGATGTAACTCTCACAGACGAAATAAGAAGTAAATTTATTAGTTTTTATTGTTCATTGTCAGCCTTTAAATAGCTCATTTGAACTACTAGTTTTACATTTTTATTCTTGTCGTTATTGCCTTTTTTATGTACCCTAGTTACTGTATATATATTTTGTTATTGCTCAAGCTCAAACAAAAATAGTCTGTAAATGGTTAGTTTCCCGTTCATTTAACTTTGATTGAACATGTGGATAATGATCTCCTTTGGCGAACAATCCTCATTTTTCCTATTAAAATGTTATAGTTAATAATATGACAATGAAGTTAGATGGAAAAGAGCCGGATTGGAAATTTACCGCCAGCTCGGACCAGGTCTCAGTTCAGCTTACTTGAATCAAGGCCAAGGAACCAGATACCACATCCAGGAAACCTGAGCCGGCCCTGAAAAGCAAAAACAAGCCACCATCTACCAGGAGACGAAACGCTAACCGTTACGCCCAGTGGATGGCCACAAAAACAGCCGTTGTACCAGCTGCAGAACAACAACAAACCACCGAGGCCAGCGCAGACCACAACACTCAGACCGAAGATAGAGACACGATAGTTGGTCAACTACTTACACCAACTAAGTACAGAGGGGAACCAGTTAGAGTCGTCATAAACAGGGATATTGTCACCAGTCCTTACAACCCAAACAAGGCATGTCATCGCCTCATATACTATACCTCCACAACAGACAGAGGCAAGCGCAGTAGGATCGACTTCGATGAAGGGTTTGATATCAACGACCCCGACCTACTGACCACAACACCGCATACATCGCCCTTCAACATAAAATCTCAAGAGGCAATAAAAGTAACCATCCTGGCAGAACGGCCTAAAACTCCTTACCAGCCACAACACCGCAGTAGGAGTAAGATGAAAGCTAAAAGACGGACAGATCCTAATCTGTAACTATGTACATTAGTCCGCAATATCCAGAAGGATAGCCGGACGGTAAAACTCATCATCATCGTCATATGATGGATGGATTCTCAACGTCCATACGCAAACATTACATTTATTGATTATCACCATTATCATGGAGACAGATGTACAAGACGTTATATGAATAAACATTGCCTTCTATCCACAGGCAAACATAGCTTTAGCAGGATTTGACAATCTTCTGTTTTCAATGATTTTCAATTTTGTATTTGTTTTGGCCTTCAAACTTTTTTAATCCAGACTGACATCAAATAACACTGATAATGTCATTTTTTGTAAATTTACCGTAAATGCAACGTTCTAAATTAGATAAATTAAACAGCAAGCGTTTTCAACCTGAAGACAGAGATGACCTTAACAGCCAGATAAGGATCAACTTTTTTGAATTATTTTATTGAAATGCTCTTCAAATTAGGATCAACTTTTCAGAATTATTTTCTTGCAATGTTCTTCAAATTAGTAATATGTTTGGCCTTCCAGCTGTTTTGAAATGCCATTAATTAGTCTTATGTAGACGAAACGCGCATCTGTCGTGTAACATTGATCTGGCAGTTGAATGTTCAATGTACAAGGTAACTATACAAGGTAACAGTCACTTCCTTGACACGTAACTCTGACTCCAACCGACCCGATTGCGCTCTTATGCATAAAAAGTACGTGCGTAGCAAAAAACAGCACATTTTATCTGAAAGTCTTTTGTTCAGTGATCTTGCTGGAAATCGAATCCTCTGGGCCCAGGCCCGTAGCCAGGGGGTTCGAGGGGTACATACGAACTCCTTTTTTAAACAATTAAGCACTATTAAAATCGACGTTCTGTTTGAATTGTGACTATTTAAGTTGACATTTTGTTTGTCGCGAGTCGATGTAATCCCCCCTCCGAAATTCCTGGCTATGAGCCTGGAGCCCTGCACTAGTGCCAAACACACTATCATGAGACCACACGGGCGGTTCAATGATACTATAATGATAATATAAATACTAATTTTAGCTTAGCTCACCTAATCACAATTTTTTTGACAGAAGGATATTGAAGTGGAATATCGATATTTATGTAAATCAATATCAATACATACAAAAAAGATCAAACATAGGGTAAAAAAACAAACATATTTTTGTACTTAAAAAAAATAAACCAAATACCAAGAACCTCGGTTTTCTTATTTGCAAAAATAAGTTGTATCCATACAAATTAAACTATCCTTTTCATGTTTAGGAAGAACGACGTCTACGGTTAGGAAAACATAATAAAATGACTGTATTTTAATGGTTTAAAGGTGGAAAGAAAAATGCCAAAACATACATTAATATGTTACACTATTTACAAATTTGAAGTAATAAAAGTATACGGAAATGTATATATGCACACAAATATGCCCGCAAACTTATTACATATACTTTAAATACAATATTTGGCATAAATCTGTCAAGGTCATTCAGTAGATCAAAACCAATCCGCTTTCCCATTTACCGAGAGTAAGAGAAAGGTATAAATAATATATATACGAAAGGCCAAGAAAGTCGACCAATTGTTAAAAGAATACGTTATCTATTGTTTAATGATTTCTAAAAACCTTCGGTTTTCATAATTTTTATTTTGTCCTTTAGACTCCCTTCTTGTTATTCAAAATTTGAATTAAGTACCTTTCATAATGCACATTGCGTACAATTTGGTAAAATATTTCAATGCATTTAGCCTCAAAATTGCATCAATGTGCTGGAAAAACTTCTGGAAAAAGGTTTTCGTACACTTGTGGTTTATGTGCTGCTTTCATTGCCACGACCCCAAATATTTAAAATGTCTACCTCTTGGTAGCAAACATTTATAATCAACATTATTCCTGAAACATATTGTCAAGTTGACTACTATATGTTTATACCAATTAAAGTCAAATATCAGACTCAGTGAAGGGTTGAAGAATCACATTACATTGTTTGTCTAAAGATGACACATTCATCTTCAGATTAAGTGAACGATGTCTTATTTCATTTAAGTGCAGGTTTATAATGAACACAATTTACAATTCTGACCTTAAGGCCAAAGGTCATGATATCACAAAGCAAAATAACTTGACCTATAAATGTTGACATTCACACGCAGCTTTTTTATTAAATAAAGGCAACAGTAGTATACCGCTGTTCGAAATAAAAACAAGACACTTCTTGGAAGTAGCCTGAATATAGACAAACTAGTTCCCACCATATAAGCAGCAATATAAATCAATCACTACCGAAGCAGCCATAGATAACATACATAAATGGCCTTATGTGTTAGGAATCTTTCTCTTCACTAATACATTATCCATCAATGCTTAGAAGGAAAAAAGGGATACATCGACGAAGACATAAAAGAATCTTTCAGCAGACCAAACAAAACTTGATACAGTACAGACCTTCGAAGGAACATATCTCTCTCAAAATTATTTTGAATTTGCTTATTGGTTCTTTAGAAGAAAATCTTTAATATTCAATCAATAGACCCAATTTTGATTCCTTGGACCTATATTTCACTTTTCATGAGGACTGAGTTAGAACACTTGGTTTTTAAAGGCAGTGCTGTAATGCCTTTCTGGTTGCCGTGTTAATCTTTCTTTCCGCGATATCCAACTTATCTACGTGGGGGGTCATTAGGCTCCAAGTAGATCCGGAAAATGTTGATTCTCTCCTCTTCTTATTGTGATATAAAATTTTTTTTGTTTCATTTCATTTACATTGGGAAATAGAGAAACGATCATTGTGTTTTGTTAGTTTTAAAAATGTTGATATATTTGTATTTTGCATTATAAGACGTCAACCGATTGACAAACTAGAATTACTTGAAATCCGTGTGGAAAGAGGTCGGGTTAATTTCGAGTGTTATCTGCAATCTAGATGTTTATAAATCATTTCAGTCGTTGATATAATAATTAAAGGTCGACTGAACATGAATTATATTATACAATTTAAAGCGCATTTCTGTTTATGCACGTGAACCCGTCTAACGTTATTGTTATTTCGCAGTTATATAATGTAGCGCCGTGGTAGCCGATCCTGTTCTTAAACTTCCGGTTTCTGCACTGTGCAACTATTACAGTTGCATTTTTAATTAACGATGCCAAGTACTTGTTGTTGTGTACCTGGATGTCATTTAAGAGGAGGACATGCATTTCCAAATGACTTAAAAAGAAGGAAAAGTTGGATCAACGCCATGGCCCATACGCAGATTGGACGAGAACACGATTTCAGAACACGATGAAATCGTGGAGTCCATCTCAATCAGCTGTTGTTTGCAAGGCACATTTTACTGAAAAAGACTACGTGCAGGAAACTATTCATGGTAAAACTCTATTTTCTTCTTAAAATATATAGTTATATATGTAATCGTCATGCGAATAAACCAAAGTCTGTTTACAACCGCAATTATCGTTTTAGAATAAAAGGGGGTGGTTAATTCAAGACGTCATAATTTTTTGGATTACGATTCAATGTGATCTGTTTGAGATTTGTTGGTGCTTGCTACAATTATAACGATTTCTTACAAAAGGTATATCATACTGAGAATTATTTTAGCAGTAATTATGCTAATGTAGTAATGACAGGAATGCATAAGCTATGCCTCATAGACTTTCTTGAAAAATATCAATGACAATGTTAACAGGAACAAAACAATGACATGCTCTCATCTATATTATAGTTAATTAGGTACAAACAATGTACGTTTGTTGCACAAGTCTCTTAATGTTTGTCCTTTGGATTTACATAACATACATTTTGATGTACATTGAATCAGGCTAACATAGTTTTATCCAGATTGTAATGAATAAATCTAGTTAATATTTTGCCAGGTAGTACAAAGTATGCATTGCTAATGGAAGTTCATTTAATTATCAAAAACTAATGTTTTATAACCTTTTTCAGGGCGCAAACCCACCATACAGAGACTTAAGTCTACTGCCATTCCCAGCCTATTTTCTTGGACCAAGCAAGAGACTGAATCGTCCGCAAAAAGAAAAATCAGGGCAGTTTCCTGTGAAAACAAAAGAACTAAACTTGAAGAATATTGTAGTAGAAATGTAGAGGAAAGTTTTGATTGTAAAGTTGGTTTTCCTGAAGAAGTCATTCATACTGCAGACAGGATTTATGACTGTCCACCACCAACTGCCGAGCTAATGTTGAGCTTCACAGATGGAATTACGCAACACCATCAATGCCTATATTTTCAGCAGAAAATTTTGAAATGAAGACATGTGACACAGCCATGCATTTTTACACCGGTTTAGAGTTGTATACTAAATTTTTATTTGTTTTGACCACACTTGGTCCAGCAGCACATTGTTTGAGATACATATATTTTCAAATTGATAGGGTGTCATTTGAAAATCAGTTTTTTTATGACTTTGATGAAATTGAGGCATTATACAACCAACTTTGAACTGTCTAGATTCTGGATTGAAACTAGTGTTAAGAATATTGTGTAAACATGGATTGTTTTTATGTCTAAACAGTGGCGTGAGGCTATTAACACTTGGCCATTTAGTGGTTCAGTCAGGTATTTTTCGCCACCAACTTCAAAGTAAAGTTTCCTACAACTTGGATTATTATTGACAGCACAGAATATCCCGTGATAAAACCTAAAGCTCCTAGAGCTCAGGCAACCTTTTCATCATATAAAAACAGAAACACTGAAAATACTTGTATGTTCGACACCTGGTGGTTTAGTCAACTATGTCTCTAATGCATATGTTGGTTGTACCAGTGACTGTGAAATAGTTGAAAGATGTAGAATAGTTCAATTATGTGATCCAGGTGACAGTGTGATGGCAGACAAAGGTTTAAATGTGCAAGATTTGTTTGCCCTTTTTTTTCAAGAAAAGAAACAGAATTAGTTCCAAAACTCTTATACGGGATAGAAAAGTCTCCAATTAACACGTGCACATAGAGCTAATTATTGGACTTGGCAAAACATACAAAATTCTAATAAATCCTATGAATGGAACTGAACAAAACTTTCATCTGAAATAACATTTAGTTGTTTTATGTTGTGTAATTTTAGAACTTGTATTGTGCCAAAGGATGCATAAATAAAAGTGACGCATTGAGGTTTGTTCTGATATATATATATTTACAATTACATGCACATGTAAATTGTAATGCATATAAAAATAAGGAGATGTGGTATGATATTCAGTGAGTTTATCGAACCAAAGTGCATAAGAAATGGGTTAAGCAGTTACAGGTGTTACTGTCACCGTACAATCTCCAACAATGAGAAAAACTTGTACCGTGTAAAAAATTTCAGAGATCTTACAACTAAGTTTTGTTGTCTCACCTTGACTTTGGTGAATTGTTTATATCTGTTGATGTAAATATAAAAAAGAAGATGTGGTATTGCCAATGAGACAACTCTCCACAAGAGACCAAATGACACAGAAATTAACAGCTATAGGTCACAGTACGGCCTTCAACAATGAGCAAAGCACATACTGCACAGTGAGCTATAAAAGGCCCCGAAATGACAAATGTAAAACAATACAAACGAGAAAACTACTAGTATGATTTATATACAAAATAACAAAACCGATTTCAAGTTCTTTGACTACATTTATTCAGAAACTATAATATGCCAAATATTTAATTACAATCCAAATTCAGACCTGTATCAAGCTTGAATATTGTGTCCATTTTTGCCCCAACTGTTCAGGGTTGGACCTCTGTGGGTGTATCCAGCTGCACTCAGCGAATCAGTTTATTTCCTAATTAAGAACTCCTTTTTGTCGAGCCTGCGACTTTTTTCGCAGAAAGCTCGACATAGGGATAGTGATCCGGCGGTGGCGTTAGCTAACTTCTTAAACGCTTTATATTTTAGAAGGTGGAAGGTCTGGATGCTTCATACTCTGTATATGGATGCCTCATGTTACGAAGTTTCCGTCAGTCACATGTCCAATGTCCTTGACCTCATTTTCATGGTTCAGTGACTACTTGAAAAAAAAGTTCAGATTTTTTGTAATGTTAAATTCTCTCTTATTATAAGTAATAGAATTACTATATTTGGTATGTGCGTACCTTGCAAGGTCCTCATGCCCGTCAGACAGTTTTCACTTGACCTCCACCTCATTTCATGGATCAGTGAACAAGGTTAAGTTTTGGTGGTCAAGTCCATATTTCAGATACTATAAGCAATAGGTCTAGTATATTCGGTGTATGGAAGGACTGTAAGGTGTACATGTCCAACTGGCAGGTGTCATCTGACATTGACCTCATTTTCATGGTTCAGTGGTTATAGTTAAGTTTTTGTGTTTTGGTCTGTTTTTCTTATACTGTATGCAATAGGTCTACTATATTTGGTGTATGGAATGATTGTAAGGTGTACATGTCTAGCTAGCAGGTGTCATCTGACCTTGACCTCATTTTCATGGTTCAGTGGTCAAAGTTAAGTTTTTGAGTTTTGGTCTTTTTTTCTAATACTATATACAATAGTTCAACTATATTATGTGTATGGAAATATTTTATGATCTATTTGTCAGTCACGCAGGTTTTTTTTTACCTTGACCTCATTTTCAAGGTTCATTGCTCAGTTTTAAGTTTTTGTGTTTTGGTCTGTTTTTCTTAAACTATAAGCAATAGGTCAACTATATTTGTCGTATGGAAGAATTGTTAGCTATGCATGCCTGCCTAGCATGGTTCATCTGATCTTGACCTCATTTTCTTAGTTCATTGGTCAATGTTTAGTTTACTTGGTTAATGTTAAGTTTATGTGACAGTTGTAATAAAGCTTTATATTTAGGACTATCAACATAATATCAATGATTAGTAAAGAAGGCGAGACATTTCAGCGTGTGCACTCTTGTTTCATTCATAAATTACTTTATACTTGGAAATATAATTTTGCTTGGAGTTATAGTTTCTAAAAAAAGTCTTGTCATTGAAAGAGTTGACATGTTGCAATGTACATTTATTCTACATAGATCTATGGTACCAAATCAAAAGTTTATATAAAAGAAAGAAGTCAAAGGTTTCCCACCATAGTTTAGTTACATACATTTTTTTTTTGTACCTGAGGTCGTTAAATATAAATCATTATATAAATAAGGAGATGTGTTATGATTGCCAATGAAACAACTATCATCCATACATTGTACTTACCAGTAACAAACCACATTTGCAAAGTTGAATAAAATACAGTTGATAACATTTACTTATTACTAAAAAGAAAATGCCAAACTATTTTAAACAGTATTTGACTATAAACATAGATAAAAAAGGTACAAACTGGACATAATGCACTAGTTCATAAACAAGTGAGAACAATCGCCCTCATATAGTGCTCAGAATATGACATTCATAAAACTTGTTCAATATCATTAGAGAACTCTAAATCTTAAATACTGAAAGCCACCTCTGATAAATACAATGTACTATGCAAGATAATGATATAACTGGACTAAAAATACACACAACCTGTAATTAACTGCCTTTACAGCGCTTTCGCGCTTTGATTATACATTCTCATGAAGTCTGCGCGTTTTGTTTTCATGTTACTTCATCTGTTCTTTAAAGAACGGCGAAAATGATTGTCCGATCGGCATGGAACTCGTAGAAACATAACTGGAAAGTTTTGTTTCCATTGGTTCGGTAGTTCTAAGGAGAAGATCTTTGAAAATCGTACCAATGGAACTCACTGTTTGCGATCCTAAAGCTATTTTGGATTTTTTTTAATCGGGACTTAGGTAGCAAAGCTTGATATGCTTATAGGCGACATTTGTGCGTGGTTTGTTTTCATTTCACTTCATCTTTTCTTGTAGATAGATAAATAAATATGATTATATAAATAACAACAGGTTAACATATCTGTAGGCCAGTCAGATCCAAATAATTTCAGTAATATTAATGCAACTTTTTATGTACGTATTTAGTAAATTTATTGATACTTATGTTCTTCTGTTTTTAAAGCGCTTCATGATTGACAAAGTTAACAAGACTTTTATGGAATACCAGCTTAATATATCTATAGACCAGTCAGTTCAGAAAATGTAAGCTGTCAGTATTTCTATTCTATTTTGGATATCAATGCAACATTAAATTTTACAAATATAGTAAATTTATTCATTCCTGTAAGGAAGTGTTATTTTCTTCAGACAACTGTTTGGAAAATTATAAAGATATTGAATGATTTTTATATTTTCTGATTTGCTCATTTTAAGTAGAGACTTATAAGGAATTGTAAGTTAACTATTTTTTCACGTTTGTTTACAGATTACTTCAGAGTTCTGTAGCCAGTCGTGCATGTAAATATGGTATCAAAACATGCGCAGATGAAGCTACGAGGATATTTAATGCATGGAAAGACAAAATAGAAGACTACATGTAAGTTTATGATCATATCGGGTTTCTATTAGAATGAAAGTGATTTTTTTCGTTAATTATAACTTTACGCACACCTACTCACGAAGCATGAAGTTGACGCTCAATATCGATGTCCCTCAACAAAACAAGAAGTACTTTTGATCATCCTATATCATTTCGTCGTTCGAATGATTTTTGGGCTTACCATTGGCTTTTTCTACTCTTAGAATTTTTTACCATATAATGTCATTGTGCAACTTCTACTTTGTTTTATGGTCCAATTATTTTAGCCTTTATGTTTCCCTAAGCAAATTATGGACTTTGAGTTACTTTTTGTGGGTTTGAGGTTGTATCATTTTGTGAGATTTGCTCGCAGTAACTATATTGTTCATTTATTTTTTTAGAATTTTTTAAAGACATTTTCACAATGCTTTGCTAATAATACGTTGTTTGTATTTGAATTATTGAAATTTAAAAAAGAAAAAATTGGCAAATTACAAAGGAGATTGAATTTCTTCTAATGGATAAAATTAATTTTAACATCGAATTTCCGTGAAACTAACATTAAGATATATTATTGATTAGCAAATAATTAGTGTAAATCTTAGTTATTTAATAAAAAAAAAAAAAACAGCAAAAATAATATAGTTTTTATGTGATTCTGAAATTGAAATTTTCGCATCTGTAGATTAACAACGCAGAAACTAAAAAAAAACTCTTAATATAAAGCGATGGGCCAACATACTTTAAATATGAACATGAACACCCTGCATGTTTCTGTGTTGAGCAGAAAACGTAATCTATGAATTAAAGGTGTTGTGGAATAAACGTCAATGAGACAGATACATATATATATATATCCAACAAAACAGAAAATAAAAATATATCAAAAGGTCAAAATATGATCCCCGACAAAAAAAATGCCTATACACAGCCTGTAATTCAGTGGTTGTCGTTTGTTGCTGTGTATAATATTTGTTTTCCGTTCATTATTTTGTACACAAATTAGGCCGATAGTTTTCTCGTTTGAATTGTTTTACATTTTCATTTCGGAGCCTTTTATAGCTGACTATACGGTATGGGTTTTGCTCATTGTTGAAGGTCGTTAAGTGACCTTTAGTTTTTAAATTCTGTGTGATTTGGTCTCTTGTGGATAGTTGTCTCATTGGCAATCATACCACATCTTCTTATTTTTATATGTACATCGTCTCGAGTTCAGAAAATTTCTGAATAGATTTAAGAGACTATCAATTATATGATATAAACAGAAAATTACCTAAGCGACAATACGTTAAAAGGGTTACAGGAGTTACAAATTGACCACACCCACTACAAACACCCGACTTATCTGATAAAAAGACGCACAAACAAAAACAAACAGCAACGAACATCACATATGTTCAAGCATTAGTTGTATGAGTGACGTATGTTCCTGTCTCTTTGATTATCATTATTGTTATTTCTAAAAGAAACAAAAATACCGAACTACTAGATAAATTCAATAAAGGAAGTCTATAAAAACTGACAAAATCAAACGTTATCAACCAACGCAACGAGTGAAAACAACTGTCATATTCCTGACTTGGTACAGGCGTTATAGTGGGTAAAACCCGGTTTTATAGCTAGCCTAACCTCCCACTTGTATGACAGTTGTTTGTATATTTTATTTCCTTGCTAAGGGCTATTAATAGTGGACAAATTGAGATGCAAGTGTTGTTTTAACTTTTAATAATTTTCATATACTATGGTTGGACTTTCGCTGGTTATATCCCAGATCGTATGAAAATGAATTAGTTTATTCATCTTTGTATTTGATGACAATAACTTCTCTATACCAATTATTTTGTAATGGATAAGCAAAGCATTATTGTTTATGCTTTTTCAGCATTCCACCAGATGTACGAAGAACTGTATTATGTACAGCTCTGAGACATGGAAGTTCGGCGGACTGGGATTTCCTCTTCAGTAGATATGCTAATAGTTCCTCTAATGACCAAAGAACTTATTTAGATGCATTGAGCTGTTCAAGAGACAACTGGGTTTTACATAGGTAAATTGCATCAAATTGTTGTGCATTACACAATCAACTTAATCATTAATATGAGGCTTTACGATTTTATCTGGTACTCTCTTAGATTAAAGCATCGATGAATTGTATAAGACAGATATCTAGTGTTATCTGATTTATTCCAAGAGGTTAATTCTTACGAAAAAAGTATTGTAACCATAAAAGAGAGGCGAGAGATACCAAAGGGATATTCAAACTCTAAAGTCGAAACCGAACTGGTAATGCCATGGCAAAAAAAGGAAAATGACTAAAAAACTAACAACAGTATGCAAAACACAACATAGAAAACTGAAGACTGAGCAACACGAAACGAGGCGATCTCAGGTGTTACGGAAGGGTACGCACTTGTGGCTCCCATCGTGTTGCTCATAAATTTGTTATTCTGACGATACAAAGATGAAATGATTTAGAGGTATTTGGCCAAAAAACAAAAATCGTCAAAAGGCATATTTTAATCATCCATGTACCACCCAAAGCGTGCCCCGCAAAAACACATTTATTAGTACCTACGAGGATCTATGTAAAAAATTGTGACTTAAGTACGTTTGAGCTATAAACGTAGGATGGTATTCAAAGCAAAGAAAACTATGGAGATATAGGTATTTTACCCCATTTTTAACAGTTTTCTAATTTTAACAAACCAATTCAAATGTTAAGCAACCACTTAAGCGGCATAATGTACAAATAGACATCTATCAATTTTAATTTTGCCGAAAAATGTGTTATGTAATGCAATATCTTAAACATATGAAGGAAAATAGCGCAGTCCTTTAAATCAGAGCTAGATTATTAGCTGATAATAAAAATAGTTTGAAGTTAATACTGTATGCAAAAAGGTCAGTTTACTTGTACAGTTAATTTTACAATCTGCTTTTCTTCCAATAAACGAATCCTTTTTCACTTGATAGGTATCTTGATTATAGCATAGGAAAAGGCGACACAACAATTCGATCACAGGATGCTCGTTTTGCAATATTGGCAGTAGCTTCAAACCCTCTAGGTCTTCAAATGACTTGGCGGTTTGTTCGTTCAAATTGGAAATATATTGTCGAAGAGTAAGTAGATCGCTAATTCTATTTTTTTTTAATATCTCTTATTGCTTCTACAAAAAAGTATATTAAATTGTTCTCGATTGCAACGCGAGTAATATATCTTTATGAGATAAAACTGAGAGTGCGTTGTGTATCTGAGTATTGTGTTATATAAACAATGCTATTGAAAATACAAATTGAATAATTATGTTTGGTATTTGATGAGGTATAATGATAAATAAGATTGTGAATATACAAGTTATGTATGCAGGTAAATCTATAATATTCTATGACTGTATGATATACTAGTAGATAATCAAAATAAAGATAATCATGTTTTTTTTCTTTATAAGAATTATATACCATTGGTGTATTCAAACCATTATCCGAAGTAAGTAAGATAACACTTTGACAAAAAAAAAAAAAGACAAAACAGACGTTCACAAAACTCTTTACAGAAAATTAAACAAGATGAGTCTAACCAGAATCCAGGGGTGAACTCAGGACTTCTCCGTATGTGGTGTAGGTTCTGTTCTATTAATAAAACCCGTTTAAGTTTTTAGTTCTTTTCCGACCAAAACTGCCAGAAGTTATAGTTCAAGATGAAACTCGATCATCTCTTAAATATAAGTAGCCAGTATTTTAGAATACATAATTATAATGTTGTTTTATTTTTACTTTGGTAGTACATATTTCGTTACTTTTGAAAAATAGATAATTTAACAAAACAGACACCGTATTGATTTATCACTGCTGGTTGGAACACTAGAGTTTCAGTTAAATATTGTCGGAATTATAGTAAGTTCCTAACTAGTTAAAACATGTGCAGTAATAAAGTTCACACATCTTCCAATTTATACATTGCCGTCAGATTCCACCAGTCATGTCTAGAAAAAAATTAAAACCATAAGTTAACCGATGATTATGTAAACTGGACTATTATGGACACGTTGGATCTTTGACGGTGTATGCATTTCTCTGCATTGTTGAGATAATGATACATTGTGATTATTGACAACTTCCTGATGTCACTCTTTAAAATTTGCGAAATTAAGTATTTCAATAATTTTCTCAGAATAATGTACGAGTAGTCTTTTAATAAAACAAATTCTTCTACCTTCTGCAATATATAAGATTCAACGTCTTTCAACAGTTCAACAGTTAGGAATTTAAAGACAATGTACATCTCATTCTTCTCAATTGGCCTTCTTGAATTTGACATTGATTATCATGCGAGTGGGTCCAAAAGGAAAATAGGCATAAATGTTTTAGTGATTTATAGTCTTTTGATGGTCAATCAAATTAGACATTTATTAATCGTTACCGCTGCACAACTAGACAGGGTTTACATTTGAAGATGATATCTCTAGACTGTCGAAGCCTGTGATATTGTTTAAAAGGTAAATTGTTGTTGCGAATCTTTCAGTTCAATGGTTGCTGTCCATATAAGTATTTTTCTCTTGTATGTATATGTGTTTCGTTTCTATTATTTAGTCGCATTCGTGTATTTTTCTTTAGATTTTGTCGCTTTGATTTTAGCTTGTTTAAATTGTGAATTGTCTATCAGTTGTCTGTTAATTGAAGACCGTTGCATTAATTTGTCAGAACGATGTTCTTCTCACAATACATTATAAGTATCATTTTTTTAACTAAATAATGTATGCCAAACCAAGAGTTACTAGTTCTTTACAATAATAAAAACACAATTCGAGACGACTTCACTTAAATGATTGTATGTAATGTGATATATGTATTGCTTGTAGTTCTGGACTCGACAGTTATGCACTAAATCAAATTGTTTTTGGAATGGCAAGGTTATTGTATACAGATTATGATATAGAGGAGGTATGTTGTGTTATAGCATTTAACAATACAGTAATTGAGCGTGTTTGCTTTTGTGTTTGACAGCTGTAGAAATGTTGTATCTTAATTTGTGCTGTTTATTCAGATTCAGATGTGTGTTAGTTATAAATAAATTTGGATTACCTATAACATTTATTTTGCTGTGGTATGAAAAGAGACAGGTAATGATCGTCTATGAGAAAATTAACTAATCTTCGTTAATAGGTTATGTTAAAGTATTATTTGACAGTGTGTATACCATTTTAAAGAACGCAAATTTGGTCATTCTAGGTAAACAATTGCAAGTATTAGCGATATAGGTTAAAGTTAGTCTTTTTGTGCATTTTTTTTTTCACTTCTCTAAAACACCTCTTTAATTTTTTTTTATAATGCATGTAATACCAAAACTGAAAATGTGCGACATTAACATTAGTAACTCTTCTTATAGGTACAAAAGTGGAAAACAGAACACTTGAAGTTAGCTAATTCATTACCAGGATTTGAACAAGGAATCGAAACCATAATAAATAATAAAGCTTGGGTCGATCACAATTATAACGATATGGCAAATTGGCTTAAGACAAATTATCCTAATTAGAACTTGTGACAGTGTTATTAGAAAATGGAATCAAAATGTGCATTTTGTGTAAGAAAAGAAAGCACTCACTCTGGGATTTGTTCATACTATATTTTTAGATTATTTGTTGTGTACCTGTTTTCTCGATGCTTCTAATTTATTTTGTCAGCATATTACATCTTTTAAACACACTTTACTTTGATTACATGCGTAAATTACTTAATATCTTATGCTAAACATTGAAAATAATCATTACCAGGTATTAATGTTAAAATTGGCTAAGTTATGTAACCTTTTGTTAGCAATAATTCGTATGTTTCTCTGTCCTATATGTTCTCCCATTTATTTGTATTGTAGTCCTGTCATGCAATGTTGTCATTTTAATGTTATATTTAACATTTCCATAAAAGCGGGAGGTTTGGCTAGCCACAAAACCAGGTTCAACCCACCATTTTTTTCTTAAAATGTCCTGTACCAAGTCAGGAAAATGGCCATTGTTATATTATAGTTCGTTTCTGTGTGTGTTACATTTTAATGTTGTGTTTCTGTTGTGTCGTAGTTCTCCTCTTATATTTGATGTGTTTCCCTCACTTTTAGTTTGTCACCCGGATTTTTTTTTCTCAATCGATTTATGAATTTCGAACAGGGTATACTACTGTTGCCTTTATCTATGATATAAAAAAAAAATATCATAACATTCCTTTTTATATATTCAACTTTTACTATGATAACAGTGCTTTAATCCTCGGTGCTCTTCAGCTTTGTACTTGTTTTGGCTTTCAAACTTTTTTCATCTGAGCGTCACTGGTTGGTCTTGTGTGGACGAGACGCACGTCTGGCGTATTGAATTTTAAGCCCAGTACCTTTTATTAGCTATTATTCGTGTGTTTCTTTGTTCTATATGTTCTCCCATTTATTTGTATTGTGGTCCTGTCATGTGATGTTGTCGTTTTGGTGTTGTGTTTGACTTTGCCATAAAAGCGGGAGGTTTGGCCTGCCACAAAACCAGGTTCAACCCACCATTTTTTTCTTAAAATGTCCTGTACCAAGCCAGGAAATTGGCCATTGTTATATTATAGTTCGTTTCTGTGTGTGTTACATTTTAATGTTGTGTTTTTGTTGTGTCGTTGTTCTCCTCTTATATTTGATGCGTTTCCCTCAGTTTTAGTTTGTAACCCGGATTTGTTTTTATCTCTATCGATTTATGAGTTTCGAACAGCGGTATACTACTGTTGCCTTTATTTAACTCCTTCGCCTCATTCTAATAGTACATGGCCAATATTAATCAAACTTGGCAAATAAAATTCATTGAAACGTTTGATTTTTATCAACCAAGAACATTTCAATAAAAGGAGTTTTCCATCGATTAAATGTCCTTTCCTTTTTATGTATTTATATAAACTGAATTTTTTTTCAAAGTAAAAGTGTAAAAGTGTCCTGGTGGTCAGTTAGTACAGCTGCTGATTATGATATTTACATTAGTCGTTGATGAATTATTATGATAGATAGATTATATTACCCATTATGAAAAAGGGGAATTTTTAATTTACATAGTTTCAGAAAGTCATCGATAACGATGATATATCATATATAGTCTACTTATCAACGCGGCTTAATTTGATTTAAATTCCGTCAAAATTCTTATACAGAAGAACAATAATATTATAATATATCGACAATTCAGAGAAATTTAATTTATTTTTCTACTTCTTATTTAAATTCATTAAAATTAACTTTCAATTGGGGCAAATTGTTCATGCAAATATTGGACGAAAAGGGTCACCAAAGATACTAGGCTTATCATGTTGTATGCCAGACAGGCCTTTCATCCTTGTAAAACTTATAAGCGACACTTTAATCAAAACAGTTTTAAGACTAACTCAACTACTAAGTTGAAGAGTATTCAAACAAAATATTCCAAAAGGATGTGTAAAAAGTTGCTCAGGTCATCTTTGCCGAGGGAAAAAGTACTTCGAGTGATTTTCCATTCTATCATCTGTAAAGGTATAGAAAAATTACCGCATCAGGAATATGTAATGTCAGCTAAGGAATGCTTACTACTTCGCCTACGTTCTCCAGCAGTAGTATCGGCCTAGGATTCTAAATAAATGAAGGACGGGAAGGGGACTGCCACTTAAAAAGTGTGTATTATGGTAAGAACAGAAATTTTCATTCGTCAATATCCCAACTTTGCCTAAAGATGATGAAAACAGTTATAATGTGTAGACTAAAAATCACTTAGTGATATTTTATTTCGTACTATATCAACGAATTTACGATTTAACATTCGTGCTGTTTTAAAGTGCAGAGGGTCATAAGATAATGATGGAAAAAATGTGTTTAACTCGGATGAGCCATATTTATGTTACAAAGTTTTCATTTTGTTTGCTAACAGCGGGGAAATTAATCCCACATGGTACCGGAAATTTAACCACATGTATGAAAATGTCTTTAGTTTTTAACGAATCATCAAATATATCCATGCATATACATGGTGCCAAGGAATCAGAGGAAATGTACTAACAAAAACTTATTGCCAGATGTGTTTCTTATAGCACCCTCCAAACATGGGGAGGAATGACTGAAAGTGTTTGACATTGGTGACTTTATTCTAGTGTTTTTGTATTAGGAAAAAGATTTTGTTGATTGAAGAAAAAAATTAAACCGATTATCATTTCATATTTAAATTTTATTTCTTTTAATTCTGCTCGACTAAAACTGCAAATGAATATGTCATACAATCAAAGTTCTTATATATTGCTTTTTAGCGTGATGATTGATGTACGAGAATTCGTCAGAAAGGTCACACTAGACACTAGGCAGAACAAACGTTCTTTTTTTTTTATTTAAGAAGGATTTGATAGAAAGGAGGATAAATAGTGAAGTTCTCTTTTGAAGATTAATTTGATGATAGATGTATATGAAAATATTTCTATGAACACTACAATTTTCTACAGATGGACATTTCACTATGTAATCAAATGGAAAGAAGAACATCATCGATATGTTAAATGTGTTCGAAGCTCTTTATCTAGTCAAAGCACGTAAAGGAAATGTGTGTTTTATTATTTTTCTTGTTGGTCTTCAACTCAAATTCAAAATGAGACCTGATTCCTTGAAATTATGAAAAATCATTCCTCGCATGTTTTCTTTTTTTTAGAAAGACAAATATTTACCGAAATACTAATAGTCATGGCTACTATTCTTATTTCTAAGTTATAAGTATTTCGACGACTTACAACTAAAAAAAGATACCACGTAAATCGTTTATCAGATTGAAATGAATTTCTTCGAAATGACATAATACTTATAACCTTCTTAGAGTCATATGAAACTTCAAATTATAACAAAAAGTTGAATATGTTTTATATTCTTGGATGGCTTTTACTATAAAACAAGTGTACGTGATTTTTCTTGTAAAAAAAAATCCTTTATATTATCAAAATCTTCATAAATGTACTGCTTTTGAATTTTTGTCTTCCCGTACACTAATTCGCCGATATGTTCCCGTATGCATTGACCTTAACTTCGACCTCTAGTTAGAACTTCGGCCACCGCACAGGGAAAACCGTGAGGAATGAATGTAAAGAAAAGTGCACTGGAAGGTAAATACTAATAACTGATTCCTAAAGAACAGAATTAATACAAAAAATCATTTAACAACTGTTAAGGAAAAGTTTAAATAACTAATGGAACGCATGGAAAACATAAAAAAATATATATCATGGTTATCAATTCACTTATATGTCACGTGCTCCGAGTGCTCTGTGTTGATTGTTTATCAATGTCACGATCCGTTAAACTTTGGCAACAAACTCGAAATTTAATAAGCTTTCGACCAACAATCACTGAATGAAATATTATTTGTCGATAATACGTTATAGATTCGTAATAAGTATTAAAAAAACGTGCATACAGGACGTAGTTTAGTATATAGGCATGCATGCATTGGTTCAATAATTTCGATAACATTAAAATTACAAGAAACTCGTTTCATATGACTTTAATATGTTATGTTATAAAGATTTCCTATCCTATGGGGAATACATATTTGTTTAATCTGTGTCCTCTCAAAATGTTCATCCCTAAATAATATACTTGAAAAATTGGTTATCAAATGATCTACCTGAGTTGTATACAACATAATCGAACATAATTTATATATCAAACGAGTTCACCATGGTTTTTATCATTTGGTTTTAATATTAAAACAGCAGTAAAATTGTTGTTTTAGTCATTAAATGAGGGAGAAGATACCGAGGGGACAATCCAAAACCATAAATAAAAACATACAACACCATAGATAAAAAGAAAATAATGATAAAAGTCCACAAGCCACGACACAGAAAATTCAAAATATAGTAACAAGAATCAAGAGCATGGGTGAAATTAGGTGTTTCAGAAGTAGATCCTCTTTTAATGACAACCGACGTTTTATTATACCTTTCTCTGTAGAGGATGGATTGCGAAAGAAAATATAAAAAAAACAGTATAGTTACGATACTGTTGTCAAGTCATTAAGGATTGTATATTTTGGTATTAATATTGATTCACTCATAGGGTCTTTGCATCGGAAATAAACACATTTATTCTAAAACCAGTTGTTGGCATGATACCGGTTATGTTCTTCTCATATATTTTATGAGAAGATAAGCAGGATCTGCTTACCCTTCCGGATGTAAGCATGATCTGCTTACCCTTCCGGAGCACCTGAGATCACCCCCAGTTTTTGGTGGGGTTCGTGTTGCTTAGTCTTTAGTTTTCTATGTTGTGTCTTGTGTACTATTATTTGTCTGTTTGTCTTTTTATTTTTTAGCCATGGCGTTGTCAGTTTATTTTCGATCTATGAGTTTGACTGTCCCTCTGGTATCTTTCGCCCCTCTTTTATGATGGTATGATACTAAACCCCTAACGGGAGGGATTGTACTTGATTTTCATATGATGAAGACATAATCTTTTAATCAGTTTAATTGAGGTCTGGAGCTGGCATGTCAGTAACTGCTAATAGTCCTTTGTTCATTTATGCATCATTGTCATTTTGCTTAATTTCTTTTGTTACCTATTCTGACATCGGACTCGGACTTCTTTTAAACTGAGTTTTACTGTGCGTATTGCTATGTGTTTCTTTATTCTACATTGGCTAGAGGTATAGGGGGAGGGTTGAGATCTCACAAAACATGTTTAACCCCGCCGCATTTTTGCGCCTGTCCCAAGTCAGGAGCCTCTGGCCTTTGTTAGTCTTGTATGTTTTTTAATTTTAGTTCATTTATATGTTTTGGAGTTTAGTGTGACGTCCATTTTCACTGAACTAGTACACAATTTTATTTAGGGGCCAGCCGAGGACCACCTACGGGTGCGGGATTTTCTTGCTGCGTTGAAGACCCATTGGTGGCCTTCGGCTGTTTTCTGCTCTTTGGTCGGGTTGTTGTCTCTTTGACATATTCCCCGTTTCCATTCTCAATTTTGCTATAGAGACATAATTGGCAACCTTTTCAAAGATTGGCCAAATATTCTGTCTAGAACTGTCTGGGTTTGTTTAGCAGTAGGAAAAAGATATGATGTGAAATTCTGATTTTCAATCATTTTATTATTAAGAATTCATATAATCCAAATGGACTATACTATGTCGTTAAATTTGAATCACTCAGTTCTGATTGTGAAATTGATGATTTGAATTATTGTCATCAATACTTCTAATTTCGTACTCTGTCATAATAATATTAATGATATATGTGTGAACCTAATTCAATTAATGAAAATGGTTTACCGGTAGATTGGTAGATTTCGAGGCAAGAAAAGGCGAGGGTGTCTGTCTAATAAAATCTATAACAAATATATACTAGTAGATAAATTGTGTTAACCGTTCTAAATGTCAGCTGCATTTTTACACGGATCAAAATAGGTAAATGTTCTCTTTTTCCACCGAGTACAAAAACAGCTGACATTTAAAGACGCAAAACCCATAGTTTTTTTATCTTGTAACGAATTGGGGTAATATATTTGCTTTAACTTACTGGTAAACTTATTTTCATTGCGTAATCGTTTCATGTTTAGTTCCCCTATAGAGTCTACGCGTATCAATATTTAAAAAGTGAACTAACAAAATCAGATGTATGATGGTCGGTACGTAAGAAAAACATCACTCAGGGTAAAAGCACAATTAATATCATTGAATTATATATCACAAATAAAGTTATATAAATCATTCAAAACATAGGCAAAGCAAAGAACATGAATGAGTACATTATGTGTGTATTGTGTTTTTAACGAAATGTTTGTATCCGCATTTCACATGTCACTGAACAAAAAGTGTAACATACATATCAAATCAAGTTTTTGTTACATGACTGCATAGTAGAGTCTCACTGTAAAACTTTATACTCAATAACATATTCTGGGTAACATTTAGCACCATCGTATACGACAAATTCCCTTTGTTGAAATTCACCAACAACAGAATCAAAGAACTCATTATGTTGTATACATGTTGTTTGGCAAAGCTCTTTACAGGGTGGTCTTCTTAAATGCTGCATTTTATTCTGTGTCGTAAAAACATCTCCAAGACAAACCCTCATCACAAACATTGTACACACTCCTTGGCCATCTGTAAAGAAAAGCATGTATTAATTATTCATAAACCAGAAAAAGGTTTAAGCGTACATATTTATATCAAGGTGTAAATTTATAGACTAAGAATTTTACTATGACCTCATTTTCTAGTGACCATTTTGATTTTTTTTTTCAAAAGAAACATTTTTTTGCGAACATTCGACTAAGCATGACTTACGTGAAAATTGAAAAGGTAATGGAAGATAAGATAAGATGAGATTAAATGTACAATTCTCACCCTTAATGACATAAACTTTGGAACAACTTGAAATATCTTGCCTTCGACGAATAAATAAAATTCCAATCGTAACACATACAATGATGTTACAGAACCAATATGTATGTTTAAACTTATTCTTTTATTGTCCCTTGGTAACTTCTGAATCTTTTTCGTTTATTTTTACTCGACATTAAGCATCAAACAATCAATCAATCTATTTATGTTGCATTGTTATTCTATAAACAAAGATTGCCAACAACAAGGGCTCCAAGTGACTCACATGACAAATGTGGTTCCCTTTCTAGGGTGTGTAGTCTTTGTTTGTTTCGTTTGTTCTGTTTTGGGGTTTGGGTTTGTTTACCCATTTTTAAGCGTTTGTTATGTGTTTGTTTTTTTGTTATGGGCGGGAGCTTGAGGGGGTACTTGTTGGTTTTAGTTGAAAGTTAACCTTTTATTTTTTTCATTTTCTGCTTCTATTGCGATTTCAACATTCATGATTCATTCAGTTAAGACAATTAATGTCATATTTGACAATTGTTTCCCAAGGTTTAACTTTTCATGATTTCACGACAAATATTGGATGGCAGTTTTTTGTTTGTTTTGTTTTTAAATGAGTAGATACTATCTTACCTGGTGGTGTATATTTAGCGGAAAGACTGGCTTCTTCGGCAGCGTATACTCCAGAACCCAACCACAGTGTAGGAAAGTTCAACGCTGCTAACCTAGGATCTAATCCATTTTGAAGTAGGGCATCTACTCTCTCTTTCTTTGTTCCATGGAAAAGATAAACCTCATTCAAATCTTGATTTAACTGGTGTGCTATAGTTCTGTTTACATATTGTAAAGTAGTGACTGAACCGCGTGATCTTGGTGTGTTTGCTAATGATTTACATGGTCCATTACTTATTGCTCTACAAAAAAGTCTTTGACAGTCTTGAATGTATTTCTCAAACACTTTAAGATTTTCATTTCTCATAATAGATACCACTTGGGCACAATTTATTCCAATCGTATTCAGGAATAGATGTTTGATTGATTGGAAAGTTGCGTTATCTGGTTTTACGAGTTTGAAAGGTTGTTTTGAGTGTTTTACAAGTAATTCCTTAATTGTTTTGTTACATTCAAAATGGCTCCAATTAGATGGAGGTCTTGGTTCTTCCTTGTATTTATAACGAAAATATGCTTTGGATCCTCTTTGTGGTACGGCCTGAATGATCTGATTTGGTGTGCCTGAAAGAAGAAAATCAAATTTGATCAAACAAAGTTAATCAATTATTTGAAATCACTTTGTGCTTTTTCTTTTACATTGTGTTATCACTGCTTTTTTTTTATTAATTTTAATGTAGTATTTGTCTATGGACAGTTTCATCAAATATTTCACATATTGCGTTTTGGTTCTTTTATATTGACTTAATGCATTTCAGTAATTGTTAAAGAAAATAAGACTCGAAAACACTCTCTTAAAACTGACGTTTCACTGTTTATGTTATCATTTGTTCTCTTTTCAATATTCCCACGTGTAATTAATCTTTTTTTTTTTGCTAAATACGTTTGAAGCAAGACTTACAGTTTATTTCGTTTCTGTATTGTTTTTTCTCTCTTGGGATTGCTCAAAAACACATGTGTTATATGACAGTTGTTTTCCATTCGTTTGGTGTGTTTGATCTATTGATTTTGCCATTTGATAAAGACCTTACCGTTTCGAATTTTCCTTGGAGTTCGGTATTTTTGCCATTTTATTTTTTCCTATACAGTTAATAACCATGCTGTATATAATCTTATGCGAAGTACGGCCATCGATATTTGAAGAGAGGACAACATGATTTCATATCAATATATTAAGAACTTTGAGCTCGCTTTCAGTAACTGCAAGCATTTTTAATACGATATTGTTTGTTATGTTATGTTTTTGATTTATCATATCTTAATCATATCTTAATGGATTTTTTTGTCATTGGAAAATTTGGTGTTGATGAAAGAGATCTTTTAAAGGTTTTGTTAAATATATTCAAAACTATTGCAGATTCGTTGTGGTTTAGGCGTTAACGAACTGCTGCATTTGTTATATTGTTGAAAACCGTTTGTATGTTTCCTTCTAGACTATTTTTGGTTCTTAGTTCGTGGTTTGTTATCTTATAACGTATATCCCACATTTCTTTTAATTTTTCATTTACCATTTTTTTGTAATTAGATTTATCGCTTACGGACATGTATATCATGTTCTAACTACCTTTTGTGATTATAACTGCATTATTTTGTTCATTTAATGATAAACTTATTCTATGAAGAAAGCTCCAACCATGTATGCTTCAAGTAGCTGTTGTAATTACAATATTGTCGGTTTTATGACAGCGACATGTTTCTTAAGATACCAGATTAGTTGTCTAATCATTAATTTAACCGATTGAGTCCTATTCCCGATTGTGACATTTTGACTGAGTGTGGATTACCATGGCAGTTGATGCATGCAAAGAAGGAGACACTTATTCTGTTGACGCACCCTTTCTTGCTCCCTTAGGAGTTCATATGATTTCCTCAGTTCCTATTTCTGATAAAAAATAGGAGATGCGGTATGATTGGATTTGATTTTTTGATCATTTTCATTTTGATCGGTTTATAAGATTTGAATTTCAGTAAAGTACTGTTGCCCTAATTTCTGACAAGAGGTATCACACAGAAGAGACTTAGGGGTACGCTTGATGCTTGCATACGATCCCTTAACCTTTGTTTCCTGAGTCAAACTCGTTTCAATGTCTTCTGTATAACTCCAAAGAAATAATTTTCATACCCGCACTGACTATAAAAACAAAGTTTTCCATCATCATTATGCATACCTTGTGATCGGGAAAGTTCGTTTCTGTATGCCTGCAAATAAGATAAGAAGATGTGAATAGATCCGGATGAAGTAAATTATTTATGAATAAAATTCATATCAAATTAGCTAAAAGTAATTGATCAGTATGTAAATGCTCCCGAAGAGAGCATAAATGATAGACAAGTCGATTTGGGTCATACAACTTACGTGCTTAAAGACATTCAACAACATGGTGGAAAGGACACGGCGATCAATAAATCACTTACGGTTTTTGTTTCTTTTTTGAAATTTTTCCTTAAACGTTATAAAAGAACATATGATTTCTCACAAATTTGTATATCTGGTTACCGAAAAGGATGATGATACATAAAACAAACATGCACCAATTAACTTCGAGGGCTCATCAAGTAGCAATTGCCTCATATTCATGATTCTCAAATGAAGCGTATATACTTAATGAAACCCTGAAAGATAGACAAGAATGACACTGTAACGCCATCTTATCATTATACCAGATATTCAGATATACTTATGACGTCCATTCACAAGATGCCAATTAAAATTCTAAGTAGATGAAGGTTATCCCAGAAACAGATGTGTTCTGTACACTGAAATTGCTATCATATGAACAATAGTTTACGAGGGTGAGACAGAAATCCAAAAAGGTAGTAAGCCAGGAAAAATACAGAGCCTAGCAAACGGTCTTCTCTATAGACTGGAGTCCATATATCACGCTTTGCCAACTTTAAACGATTAACAGATTAGTTTCACAGTCTACTAAACATCTGCTTACAACAGATTAATAACGAAGGCAAACAAACACGGACTTAAAAAATATATTGATTATTGATGAGGTTTCCGACAAGGGTCAGAAATCTTTTAAGATTATGTACTCATTATCGTTTTTGCATTCATCGATCAGTGAAACACATAGACAAAAACAAACATGTAAAAAAGATCAGCCTAGAAAAAAACACATTCCTACATTATATTGCTGTTACAGACAACATAGTCACGGATACAATTTGACACATCATATCAGAATATGCGCATAGTTATTTAAAGCATGCTGTATGTACTTTCTTTATATGGACATTTTGCCTTGTAATACTCTTAGTAAAAGTCGCTGGAATGGAAAAAAAGCAGCAGAAATAAGATATATTTTATTTTGCAAGCTAAACATTGCAGATTTAAATTCAAAATGAGTCATTTTAATGATATAGTACATCAATGAATTGTCTAATGACTTTATCGAAACAATGAAAGATATGACATTTTATAATTTGAAGACCTTTGTAAGATACCTGCAAGGAATTGACAAATTTATTTTTGGAATCAATCTCAAAAGTTTACATTTCATACAGTTAGATGTTTTCTTATTGAAGTCAAAGATGAGCGTAATAAGGCAAATACAACTTCATTACTGTTTTATTGATATTACAAATTCTTTTAAGATTCTTTTACCTTTTCGATGCTCGACCAAGTGATGTTACCGCCATATATAACAATTTTGATATCCGAAATGGTTGTTTGCGGATGGTGATGAAGGAAATCACGTATTGCTTCTATTAGTATGGACGCTGAAATGTCAGATGGGAATTTAAGTTCCCCTGTACCAATCGCCGGAAAAGCTATACTGTGAGTGCAATATCTACTTGCAGTTGTTAGACAGTTTTTCACAAATTTTGAAAGAACCTAGAATGGGAAACAAAAAAAGTAAATTGCAAATCACCTTTTATCTTATTTTTATAGTAAAACACATATACAAAATTCAACAAATCATTTTATCCATTGAAAAACTTTTAAAGTCTTTTAGTTGTTAAGTTGGTTTAAGCTTTAAAAACATGGACAATAATCATTTGTCTATATCTCAATAAGAACTGTTTTTAATTGAAAGGTTTTGATAATTTCGTCCACAACCGGAGCTTATTCAAATATTGAATTTTACAATTATTAGTTACCTCATCTGGTTTCGCATTCTCACCATTGGCAGTGAAGCATAACACCTTTCCGTGGTATACCTTTTTACAACTCAGGCCATAACCATTGGTAACAACAAATTCACCATTTTTTAAAGTACCGTCATAACTATCATCTATTTCATTTTGTATATTTTGTCCTGCAGCTTTTAAAACAGCGGTTGAAAGTCCTGTTGTTTGATTCAGCTGAAGATTATGTGAGCACGTGTGTACCAAAACGTCTGCCTGTTAGGTAGAAGACACTAAACAACTTCTATTGTAAAGCAAAAGTCTCTGAAGTCATGACTTAGTAGAGTCGGTTCGAAACACAATATTAATTTAAATTCATGTTTTCGATGGATAGATATTTAGCATTCACTAGGTAATTTTAAATTACCATCGATTAACAGTGCAATGGTGAACAAAGAGACGCAATATCCCACTCGGATATATTATTATTATTCATACTGGAAAAACACACATCCTAGATGGACAGCAGTTTAAGGGATTTTTTCAGTTTTTTCAAATCACCAAGTCTGGTACAGAAACCAAAGTCTCCACGACTTGTTATTTTGTCATGGTTTTCTTGATAGAGGGTTGCTTCTGGGATAAAAGCTATTGAACCAAGTGTATTCCAAATAGTAAAGTTGAAATCATCATAATTTGGTTCACCTTGATGACCAGGATTTGATCTACATGTCAACTCCACAATCATAGCCTCTAAGCAACTGTAATACAAGTGGGATTTTCAGCTAGCTATAAAACCAGGTTAAACCCACCATTTTCTTTGGAAAATACCACACCAAGTCAGGAATATGGCAGTTGTTTTTCACTTGTTCTGTTGATTGATAGAGTTCGATTTTTTCAGTTTTTTTGGAATTCCCCATTTTGAATTTGAAAATCTGATGCCTAAAGTTGAGCAGGAACTGCTTACTCTTCTAATGCACCTTAGTTTACCCCAGTATTTTGGTAAGATTTATGAGGCTCAATCTGCTGTTTTCATATAATTTCGGAAACTGTTGTTTTTAAAAGGTTTAAATTAGTTATTTCAGATTTCAATTCTCCCCTTCTAACATTAATCAGTAGGCTAACAATACCGTAAATTACCACTAAACGGCAGTCGTTTTAAAATTCATAGGTCGAATGCCACATCTTCAAATGCCAGTTGTCATCTCTGTAAAGTTTTATTGAATTTTTAAAATTCCAAACTCAGATGATCATCATGATCAGTGACATTTCCATTAAGTATCATTTGTACACTTTCTCATTTTTCGCATTTGTTCTGTTTCCATGGTAACGGCGGCCATTAAAAAAATTCAAAGGTACAACTGCACATCTACACATGGTGCTTCTCATATGCTGATGTGTCATTAACATTGGTCCAGTAGTCTCCAAGAAAAGCCTCGGAAAAAAGTGAAGGTATAATAATAACCCAAAAAAAAGAAACGGAGGATAAGCAATATGTCACCCGACATTGTCGTATGGGTGACATAATCATAAAACAAAATAACACTTCATCAAAGAACTATCGCAGTTACTAAAGCCAACTCAAACCTGTTGATATAAAATCATGTCGTCTGATAATATTAGTTGATATACTTCAGAAAAGATTTCAGCAGCGTCATAAACAGTACTGGAAGACAAGATATTAATTAGACAATGTACAGAATTGATACGCAACATTTAACAAAAAACAAAACAACATTTTTTTAAGTACTGGTTCAAACTATGTACATGTGTATTTGCGACAGACATTAACACCAAGGAAAAGAAAATAGAAAGGAAACGGCATTCTATTTTCATAAATTATGATATGAACATTATTTTGAGAAATGGTATTATTAAGGCTTTAAAAAGTATCATGGTCACTGTTAATGTTTGAATCACAAGTAGATAAATCTCATTTGTATATTTATTTAGAAAAATCTGGATTGTAAGCAGAGATTATATTATCATAATACCAATTGGCTTTGTGACAAATACCTATCAAGTAATGTGGCTGTTGGTCTTTATGAAAATTTGCCATGACAGTTAAGAATATGGATTGTTAACAGAAAACCATTATCATAATTTCCACAAGCATTGTGAAAAATATTTATCACAAATTAATCAATGGATGTTCTTCGCGTCATTATGAAGGTTTGCAATTAACTGTGATTCATGATTCTGCAGTATAAGAGGAAACAGTCAGCCCCTTTAGAATACCAATCACTTGGAAGTACAATTTATCTCCAAATTAAATGTACTTATTGATAAAGACACATCAATTATGTTTCGTCTGAACCAATGTTTAACTGAACAAGTACCTGTTTCTGTGTCAGATCTCCTACCATGACTTTAACAGTTGTTTTCCCAAGTGTCTTGCTTCCAGACGTCCTTTCCATTAACCCCCTGGCCTCATTCCCTGTAAATTATTAAACAGGCACATTTAGACATAATGCAAGGTTACTTATACTTAGTTTTCTTCAAAATTGAATGAACTGTTCTTATTTTCTGCTTACTATTGTATTAAATTTCTACATCTGTAGCTTCAATTACCATTTATTGATTTCCATTAATAATAACATTAATGGAAACAATTTTCTGCACCATATGCGCATTTCGAAAATAATGTCTCTTTCGTGATGCTCGCGGACAAAATATTTGAAAATCCAAAGGTTTTAAAAAAAAATGAAGATCTAATAAACCAAAAAAGACAAAATAGAATAACCAAAGTCATGCAAGGAATCAGAGTTTTGCATGAGGGAGATATATTCTTTGATTTAAAATAATTTTCAAATTATGTAACAGTAAATTTTAATAACACAAAATCTGTATTGTGGTACAAGTCCCGAAAAACTGGTAACTGGGTTGGTGATACACTCGGATACTACCGTTCACCAGCAATGGTATCGACGCAGTGTTAGAAATAACATTAAAGGTACATATTTTCCTTAATAACAGAAATTATTCATTCTTAACAACTTGAAATTATAAACCTTTTAGTCTGGCTCTTCTTCTTGCTGCTGCAACAAAATTCTGAAATCAAATATAAATCATCAATATTACTGTCTTTTCTACATTGTCCAAAGATGTCGTCTTTGAATTATTATAAAACTATTAGCGTTTGATTCAACGTCTTCAATAACTAACTGTTTTGCCTTTGAAAAAAACAATTAAGATATGCGATGTGAAGCTAGCAAGGATTATTCAGTAGTTTTGAATAATGTATAAAATGAACGGGTGAACGAATCGAATTCCTGATAGTTCTATTTTGAAATACCTACTGCGGATCCTCGCACTTTCAATGCTCTCTACACAATTCATTTTAAAAATCAGAATAGGATTTGTCATTTCAATAATGGAAGTATTTTGGTTTCAATCAATGTACAATGGTGTACTTCATTTAGAGGCAACTGTTGTTTACGGATGTTCAAATCTCATAAATCTTTCTTTTTTTTTAAATGAACTGAAGGAATCCAATAAATCCCAAAAGGAGTGAAATCAATAAAGGATGCTCGCAGTTACAAAAGCTTTGTTTCGTAAAAGTCAAAGGTCAAGTGAAGTAAAAACATTATCTTGTTTTAAAGGGACAAATAATACTTTGTAAAATTACACTCTGATTTGAAATAATATCTCTGAAACTAACATCTTCAAGATTCTTGATTAATATCATGTGTGGTTGAATTATTTTTTAAACGTTACTTAAATTTGTGAGCGTCACTGATGAGTCTTTTGTAGACGAAACGCGCGTCTGGCGTAAATATAAAATTTCAATCCTGGTATCTATGATGAGTTTATTTGCAGTTGATAAACTCAGAAATCATTAAGAAACTAACGTGCCAACTTCCTTATGTAAAGTTGAGCTTTTATGATTTTGGCTATTCTAATTGGTTTCCTTTGGATTATATTCCTCATTAAGTTGTTAAACATGCCAGGCTTTTAATTTATATTTATATATATTCCAGTAGATACTGTAGTTCAGGCCTTGTGATTCCTATTATGAGTTTTCTACATGGGAGGATGCTGCTTGCAAGGAATCTATTGAAACCAGTGGTCTAAATGATAAAAGTGAAGCAGCACTACGAATATTTATTAGACGCCATCATGATTTGGTTGACCGCTATATAAAATCTGTGTTAAATGTGACTTTGGATATGTTCTGCTGGTCTTGGTTTGAGCAGCACTAGTGGTGCTACTAGTTGAACATGAAAGCACCTGAGTTCACGCCTTGATTTTTGATTGTTACTCTAGATTAAGATTATGTAATATTACTGTGTGTGTCTGTCTTTCTTTATTTTTTTGGTTATGTTGTTATCAGGTTTCCTTCGACTTATGGGATTTTTCATTGACCCTTTAGAATAAATCTTTTTCTCTACATGCAAACATACCTCATACATTTGGTCCTGGTAAACAACACATATTACTAGTTCCAACTTTGGATTGTGATTTTGTTCGTTGTACCTTTCAACTGCTTCGAACAATGCATCAGCTACGACATTTGGATTGTAGTTCAACTTGCCAGTTCCAAGGGCAGGAAACGCAATTGACTGATGTCCCAAACTATCAGCTTTTTTGAGACACACATTAAGTGCTGTATGAATATACTTCAAAACAAAAGATATATATGTAATTATTGGAAGACAAAACTATTTCAGCGTGTACAATGAATCTTCACAACAAAATTTCAAGTTCTATTTGTCCTAACTTTTCGACGTATGTATGCACGCTTGGCTTTTAAATGTTAAGGCTTGAGTTTTCTTGTTAAAGGTTGATTTAGAAAAGTGCTTTGGACACACGAAAGGAGTAGAGCCAGAAACCCACCAAAACGGCCCTCGTAAAGTTTTTTTTTTTTAACTTCAATTAATAAAGTTAATCTAATGGGTATGTATGCTAAATGTATGATATTTGAAAGTATCATATAAAATGTTGTATATCTGCTTTATATTTATTAATTTATTAGCCTGAAATAGAAATATATTTCTTTTTCGTCTATTTTCTAGAAATGTTCAAGTTTTTCCACTTTTTTTCATGATTTGTATGTGGCGCCGACCCTCGCTCTTTGAAATTTGTGTTGAAATGTACAAAATATGGTATAATAAGAATATTTTAGCAAAAATATTTGTGGTAGAAGTGCGGCGCCGCTGTTAGTTTATTTTTTTTCAGAAAACTGTTATAAAATTTGCAGAATTGTACAAAAATCTGGTTTTTATGAAATTTCCCTACATTATAACGTCACAATTACGTCACTAATGACGCAATTGATGAAAATCTGTTTTAACTGAAACATATACACATATGTTTTAATAAAATTTCCCTACATTATCACAGTAAAAAATTAAGATTTTTAGTGGCAAAATTATGGGTTTATGAAGTGTTATCTACATTTGGACAGGGCGTTGAAAATAAACAATGCACAGAAAACACGCTTGTCTGAAATCACTGCCTTTTACAAGTAAAGAATTTCAAATAAAACGGCCGTTTTGATGTTTGCAGGAAGAGACACAATAAAAGAAGTAACAATCAAATGTAGTCTAGCAGTTAATGATTGAATGCGGTTGAATTGGTACTTTGTGGTCAATTAAGATCTGTTTCATCTAGTTCAGAGAATGGAAGGGTCAACCAGACAGCAACGCAAATTCCAAAAAAAATGACTTCTAGATATCAACATTAAATCTTTAAAAAGCAATGAATCTTAATACAATGTCAATGTATTAATTACCAGCTCGTTGAAAAAGAGTGCATACATTTAATAGAAGCTATAAAAAACTGATTAACATGAAACGCATAAAATAACAAAACATTGAGACATATCAAACGACAGTGTTGCTCAGTTTTTAGTTTTCTATGTTGATTTTTGTATACTATTGTTTGTCTTTTGGTCTGTTTCTTTTTTTCCTATGCGTTATCAGTTTGTTTTCGACTTATGAGCTTGAATGCCCCTTTGGTATCTTTCACCTCTCTTTTAATGTCGAGGTTCAAACTTCTAACTTCTTCTGAGCCACTGAAAGCATTTCAAAGTACCTAGCCTGCTGATATGAAATCTTGTTCTCCGTAACTCTTATATCGGTTGCCGTATTTTAGATAATATTTCATATAAGAAAGACGTAAAAGTACAGGGAGACACGATAATGTACAAAGCCTATAAAAATATGTAAAGAATTTTAAGCAAGAAAAAGTACTCACATCTATGAATTAGCTAATTGAATCGATGTTCATTCTATTAAAAAAAACCTGCTGCAAGGTTTCAGTCTCAGTCTATTATGCTTTAATGTACATAACTTTTCAAATATATTTTAATCAACTATTTGATTATGTCATTATTTGTAGTCGCCTTTGTCTTCATTTTCAGATAACAATGTATAATATTTTTTCATTCGGTGAAAGAAATTTGCTTTACTTCGTTTGCGTCTATGACTCCATTCAAATCACTTTTAACTACTCACCAAACTCAACAACCTCCAAAATTAGATCAATGCAATGGATACACTGTTCAGAAAGTCAGATGTTAATATTTATTTGCTGATATTTTTCTCTACATTTGTAGTGAGTCAATCGACGTGATATGAAGAATGTAATGTCATGTTTAGTCTGTTCACGTGACATGATCGTCTATTCAACATGCAAACTAAAAATAAATTGTAGAACTACACTACTTTAAAACGCGTATGAAATGAAAAGTAGCTTGCAGATTACATGTAGTACAGGTTTGACGTGTTTTAGGTACGATTTATGAATGTGCGGATTAATAGTATTTGGTTTGTGGCATATAAATAATAAACAAACCTTTTCATCTTCAGAATCATTGTAACGTGGAAGATATATATGGAATATCTTTAAAGCTTCTAAATAGCCAGGTCCAGTAATTGCAACATCACCAGGGTTAATATTAAACGGATATTTAACGTCACATTCACTTTGAATACTGTTTCCAGCAGCTGACAGGATTGCCTTGGATGATGGCCCTGCTTTGTCAAGTTTTAACTCAGCATTCGTGGTATTGACTATCACATCAATCTATGCAAATTTAAAAAATTTAAAAAAAATAAATAACATTGCATTTTCGTGATACAACATATTTGTTATGAAAAAAAGAAACGGCCAAAGTATATTTAGCAACTTTTTAATCACTGTTATTTTGTAGTCGTTGAGTTAAGTTTTCTCTTTTTCTTTTCAGTTTTATTGAATTATTTTGCTTTCTATCAAGAATTTTTTTTTTGTATATATAACTCGTTTAACAGATGAGCTTTTGTATCAAACATTGCATAAAAGGATAATCAGCATTAACAAAAATATACTAAAACTGATATTCACAAATTACTTTTCCGTTTTTGATTAAAGGCGGGTCTGATTAAGATTTGCAGATTGATAAATATTTTTAAACGGATAAATTCAGAATATTTCATTCTGATGTCTTTTGAAATTCAAATCGCTTACATATCTTTATTAATGATAGGTTTGTTAAATTCTGAATTCATGCATGTACTTTGAAGTCTCTTTGCAATTAAACATTTTTTTTTTTGACACATAGCAAAAAAAAAGTATTTTAGACGAGACTAGTTTATAAATGTACTTATTATTTCCGGTATTTAAATTAGACTGGATGCAATGTCTATTATTTCCGGTATCTAAATTAGACTGAACGCAATGTATATGATTTTCACAAGCACCCCGGACGTAACAAAATATTGTATATATAAGATTTTTTACATAGTATGTTTCCCTCTTGATTCAACTGTTAATTAAGATATATAATAAGTACGACTAATTCTACAAAAGTTATGAAGCAAAGATTTAAAAAACAAAGAAAAAAAATGTTTTACTTCTTGAGTAGTGATGTTCCCTTTCACAATACTAACAGCCGTTCGGCCAATCTGTAAGTACCCATTTCTTCTTCCTAAATGTTTGAACATTTCTAAATTATTATTGTTCATGAATTAACACTTTTGGAATATACAAGCATAATGAAAAAAACATTTTTGGGAAAGACAAACATATAGGAATAACCACTTTTAGTATAACGTCACGGTACCCAAATTGCACTGAGTACCCAAAATGCACCTATTCAACATAAACAGCTGAGAAATTCTTAAAAGTTTTCTTTGAGACTAAAAAATTTGTATTTTAGTTATTTGACATTATACACGTCTTACAAAATAGGTGAATATATTCAAATATACACTAAACGTTCACAGTGTATATCAACAGATGAAGCTTTCACTGGAAAAGAAAAATGTACGAAAACGCCGCCATGCGACGTTCACAAAAAGTCATCTTTTAAAAATGAACAAAAAAAATATGTTACAAGCATCCCTTTTAAAAAAATGAATAGTGAGCATGTACTAATGTCAAATGTTCGAAATATTTGAAAAAATAAAACAAAACATCTGTTATTTGATTTTTAATGATGTGAATTTAAGCATGGATGCAATTTGGGTACTCCTCATTACGGAATCATGGATAGTTTGGAGGTCGATTCAAACCCATTTTTCTATGACTCAATAGGGATTAAAAATCAAATTGGTGTACCTATATAATAAAGAAGGACACGGCTACAAAATAAAGACAGAATGGAAATTTTTGTCTTTATCATAAAAAAACTTAGGTGAAAAAACTGTCAAAATAGGTGCAATTTACGGTACAGTTTTTTAGTACTGATAAGTGTCAGTACAGGTTTTTGTTTCTTTCAAAAACTTTTGTTTTCTGTATTTTTTTAAGGTTCGCATTAGTTTGTGTAACGTTGTTTTAGGAAGTGACTATGACAAGATAGGAAAAAGATACCAAATGGATATTTAAACTCATAAGTCAAAAGTAAACTTACAATGGAATGGCAAAAACAAAAAAACATTAAACAAACACAGCATAGAAAACTAAAGGCTGAGCACGAACTCCACCAATAACCGGGGTGCTCTCAAGAGCTCCTAAATGGTAAACAGATGTGGCTCACTTATAACAGTAATCCAACTCATGATGGAAGACGCATATACAAAATCGTTTGAACATGAAATACAAATAGATCCATGAATATTTCAGAAAGCAAACATCCCTGATCTCATAGATATTTCTTTCGGATGAAAATAAGTCCAAATGCAGGATCGTAGGCAGAACAGTAGGTGAATTGTTAATATTATTAATAAGACGCGTCCTGGTCATCCGTTGTTAGTCAAAAAAATATTGTAAAACTTTTGTATATCATTGAATAACATTTTTTTCATTTCTTGTCTTTTGTGTGTGTGTGTGTGTGTGTGTGTGTGTGTGTGTGTGTGTGTGTGTGTGTGTGTTTTTTTTTTTTTTTTTTTTTTTTTTTTTTGTCTAATTAATATAAAAATAAGGAGACAACTATATAAATTAATATAAAAATAAGGAGACAACTATATATCCACCAAAGTTCAAATAAAGTGGATGTAAGACCGTACGGCCTTCGACAATGAAAATCCAAAAAACTAACGGCCTAATTCATAAAAAAATAATTTACGAAAGACAAATATGACAGACATGAACCAACGACAACCACTGAACTACACGATCCCACTTCACATTTATTTAACAATCAGCAAATTAAGAAAAGTAATTTTTAAAACTGTAACAATGTGTTTCGATATCAATAATAAAAAATCGGGTAATAATGTATTATTACAACCTTTTAAATATAAGTCAATCAATGAAATGAAAGTTGTTAAAGTTCGTTTTTTTTTTAGTTTTTATTGTGAAATCAATAACAATGTAACTCTCGATTGCACTTACGTTTGATATAATCATTTGTAGGTACGTTAAAGATAAAAAGTTCAAACCCTAACAGCAAAAAATTAACTAAGGTTAACATTGCCAGAAGGAGTTGCAAGAATAATTAGTTGAGTATATTTTCAAAATTACAAAAGTAAAAAGAAGTCAAGATGAATAGTTTTACCATGCCAATACGGATTAAAGTACTGGCTACAAGGTCGATAATACTGACAACACACAGATAGAGGTACTCATAAAATAATATTTCATTTCAAGGAGAACTACACAAGTTTATGACATGCCTTTAATGGATACTAAATCTAAATGATATATTCTGACTTTAAATTTTCTGGTGATAATTATTAGCCGGGTAATTTCCTTAAAAGTAAGGTCCAAACACCCTCAGGGAGCCCTTATTTCCATCGATTTAGACAGTTCTTTTATACCATACTTCAAAGTGGTGCTTTTAACGGGGCATTAGCTGTCAAATTCATGTTCACCGATTTGATTCAAACTCTCATATTTGATTTATAACCTAATTAAATGTATATCCAACTTACAAAATGTCTAAAATGAACAATTAACAATGCATGGACTCGATAATATGTATTCGTATTTCGTGCGTATTTTAGTCTAGACGCCATCTAATTAACCATCGAGGTGACCTCAGAATACTGCCGACGGTCATATAACCCAATGTACACATAAATATAGATATAAATTGATAGTGAACACGTGCAATTGAACTTTTCTAGGTCTGTTTGATTTCATATTAAAGGTTAAACAAATATGTTTATCATCGTTTTTACCTGTATAAGAATGAGTTATTGTAGATCGAATCAGTTAATCAAATGATTTACCTTTTTTTCACTTTCAATGTTAACATTCTTTTCCTTTTAATAGCTGAACACGCCTAGTTCATGCGTAACCCACCTCTAGCTAAGGAGTTAAATAAAAGGTCACTTGTATACGGATTCAATGAGATCGAATTATTCACTTGCAAGCGAATAATTCATCGGCGATATTTGTTAGCTTATTTTGACAAAATTGAACCGAACTGGCTGCTAAAAGCGAATTATTATTTCACTATTTTACTTTCATTAATGATTGAACAAAAAAAAATCAAATTTAATTTTTTTTTATATCTTATAGCTAATGCCCCTTTAAATATGTTAGATGCATAGAGTATTTTGTTTTCCAAACTTTCGTGCCGAGCCTACTTGTTTAAGATTGTTACAGATAATACAGATATTTGTAAAGAACCGATATGAAATAGAAAACTTATAATATATTATATAAGAACAAAAAGAAACAGATTATACGTTTATTTAATTTTTTTATTATTTCTTTTTTTAACATTCGGTCAAACTTACTTAGTGTTAATGCATGGTAATTTGTTTTGTTTAACAAAACGAAAGTTGTATAAGTAAAATCGACGGTTCGTTGGTTTCATCATTTAAATCATCAAACATATTGGTGTAACGAAATTGAAAAACAATCATAAATTGGAACTTTATAAAAGTGATATTCATATAAGAAGAGATACTGTGAGAGTGTATCAGTACTGTTACTGCGCACTAGATTTTGACATCCTGCCAAATCATAATTGAGATAAATGTATTCCTTTAGTTATTTCAATTTGTTTAATTTAACTTAAAATATTCTTACAGACTGCTGTTGAATATTTTCATGTTAAAAAAAAGCCAAAAATTAAAATATTATATGTAAAAATACTACAGAATTATTGTCTTACCACTCATTTTATTATGTTATGATGCTCCATCAATCCTTTTATTGATAAGACTACTGTCAAATATTAGTTTTTATTTGTTGTTAGAAACAAAAGACAAGGATGTATTATATATATTGTTGGAATTTTATGGTATAAAAATAGAATTAAATTGAAAAAGAATTGCTTTCTTTGTATTTTACTTAGTAATAACAAAACGATTAGCTGTGTAAAGTGGCAAATTAATGATTTATGAGTTTTCAATGTCCATTTAGTATCTTCCGCCTTTGAAATCAGAAAAGATATTTGAACTTGGAGTTCGGTATTTTTGCTTAATATACTTTTTTTCCCCGAAAACATGTTTATATTTAACTTTTATTTGAAGCGAATTATTTCCCTTTGATGAAACTTGCACCAATTCAATGTTTTCTTTTCTTTATTGCAACACTAGTCGAAGATTTTATGTCAATGAAAAGAATCTTGCAGCTTTTTGGAAGGCCGTACGGTGACCTATAGCTGTTAATTTCTGTGTCATTTTGGTCTCTTGTGGAGAGTTGTCTCATTGGCAATCATACCACATCTTCTTATTTTTTATATTTTGGATTTTTTTTTTTCATATATGATTTTTAACACAGACTTCATATCATTACTACAACAGAAAAGCAAGCATCACCTATGTCACCTTATGAACAAGTTCTGCCTTTTCGGTCAATCAGATTTATTATCGATTATACGGTTACGTAGCTATATGTGGCCAATTGGAACGAACAACGTACTTTAAAACGATAGCAGATTTTTTACGTTTTATTTCACGCATAACTGACATAGGTTTTGTAACTGAGATCCTGAGTACCCCTTTGTTTTTGGTTAATAGGATTTAAGTTTTAATCTTAAGTGTTGTATTTTGTGCTATTTTATTTTCATTGTCTATGGTCTTGTCTATACTTTTACCTAAAATCCCATATTTTCAGTTTAAATTTTTAAAGTTAAATAAATTTTAGATTTAAAAAAATCATGTACCTTGTTCTTATAATAAAACAATTATAAATATTCATAAAAACAAATAATTGTTCATAGAAACAAATAATTATTCATAAAAACAAATAATTGTTCATAAAAAAGAAATATTTGTTCATAAAGTGTTCATAAAAAGTTCAATATATCTTCATGAAATGTTCAATATATATTCATACACACAAAATTTTAATTAAAAAAAATAAAAATATGTGTTCATAAAATAAAATATATATTCTTAAAATTTATAAATACGTTCAATAATTTGCATAATGGGATACCTCGTTGCTTTTGTAACAGTGTATTTGATTGGGTATGCACTGAAACCGGACCGGACGGGACTCCGGACCGGACGGGACTCCGGACCCGGACTTTGATCTGAAACCCGGACCCGGACTTTGGTCGGAAACCCGGACCCGGACTAGATGCCGGACCAGGACTGATAAAATTATGGGGAAAATTTTTTAAATTTACTATCATTAGGTTCTCCTTTTAAGGTGAAGGAAGTTAATTTTGGAGCACTGATATTGGATGTATGATAAAATATACAGATAGGTTAGCACTAAAGGTTAATGTCTTATACTATAAATATACTATTTATACTGGATAGATGATTCCATTTGCAATTTATGTAGAATATGTTCAACATTTAGGGCACATTAAAGCACTATGCGGCAAATATGCAGGAAAAGAAAATAGTTTAAGCACTATTTAGTAAGATGTCCAAATAAATAATAGGTAGGTAGCCCCTTAAAATCTAGATAGAGATATATGTTATATATATAAATATAAGCACTTCTCAAGCGGATTGTCGTTATTTTAGAAAAGCCTAAAATACTTCTAGATATGCCTTCACTACGCCCTCATCCCTACCCTGCCATCTGTCTCATTCTACTGGTATGCATATTGTAGCACAGAACAGCCGTGTGAGGTTTTCTAGCTCTATGTAGTGTTGTTGTTTCATATGGAATCCATAGTTAAGGCTTTTGTGAGTACAGTTCATCACAATTTTTATAAGCATGTCACAGTCGACCAATATGAATAAGAAGATGTGGTATGAGTGCCAATGAGACAACTCTCCATCCAAGTCACAATGTATAAAAAGTTAACAATTATACGGCCTTCAACACGGAGCCTTGGCTCACACCGAACAGTAAGCTATAAAGGGCCCCAAAATGACTAGTGTAAACCTATTCAAACAGGAAAACCAACGGTCTAATCTATATGAAAACGAAAAACCAGAAACACCTATGAACAACACAAACAAACGACAACCACTGAACAACAGGCTCCTGACTTAGGACAGGTGCATAAAAATGCAGCGGGTTTCAAGTTCTGATAGAGCCCATTCTTTAAGCTTTCCAGGTATAATTTTATATTTTGGAGGTGCATTTCACGTGTATGCTTAAGTCTACTGCATGAAAGTATGAAGTGTTCTAGATCTTCATCTATTGTATTACACAATGCACATATTGGGGATATATTCGTATTGTGTTTAGATCTAACTATCTGCTGCATATATGTTTGTGTTACTAGTCTGCTCTTTAATTCTCCTGTTTTCACATTAGTTCGGTTGATTCCTGTAAACTGCAAGATAGTATGCGGCATAACGGATGGGTTGTCCTGTATTTGAAGGTATTTCAATGTCTTTTTATTATAGTGGTCTTCAAAGCACACTTCATACTGTATTTATATTTATACATGTTATAAAAAATATCTAAGTTACATTTCTGTCGATGTGTATTTATTTCGTATACTCTTACGTCCGGACTCACATAAAATTATTGGCGTAAAAAATATAGGTGAGTCCGGGCTGTGAACTGAAGTGATCCCGGACTTAAGATTATATGATTCTCTCATGCAAAAAAAAATAAAGTCCGGGATCATTTTAGGCCACAACCCGGACTCACTTATTCAATATTAGATCATTTCGTTTATACCGAAAGAAATGGTTTAATCAAATAATTATTTTCATTTATGGAAACTCGGTGGCGTCTTCTGAGAATTCTCCTAACATTTTTTTATGTGCTTTCGAAATTTATCTTGCAAATATGTATACAATCTTCTATTTACCATAAATAAAATTAAATATATATAAATATTATCAAAACAATAAAAATTATTGACACTGACGAAGCCTATTTGTTCAGCCGAAATATTTGTCAACGCGATTTTATAACATCATCTTCGTATATTACCTTAGACTCTTTAATTTATTTCCTTATCTGCGCAGTATCGTCTATTCTAGACGATCCGGTGCTAAAAAAATTAACTTCCTTCCCTCAGTAGGATGCACAAAAGGAGAACCTAATGCTAGTAAATTTGAACACTTTCCCCACATAATTTTCTCAGTCCTGGTCCGGCATCTAGTTTGGGTCCGGGTTTCAGACCAAAGTTATTGAACGTATTTATAAACTTTTTAGACTGGGTTCCAACTATGTTTAATCACCTTGTTCTATAATATGTAATATGATCATTTATCTAGACAGGAGAACCAGTCTATAAATGTTTAAGAACATACATTTTATTTTATGAACACATATTTCTATTTATTTGAATGGAAATTTTGTGTGTATGAATATATTTTGAACTTTTCATGAATATATATTTAACTTTTTATGAATATATATTTAACTTTTATGAACAATTATTTAATTCTATGAACAAATATTTCTTTTTTATGGTCACTTATTTGTTTTTATGAACAATTATTTGTTTTTATGAATATTAATAATTGTTTTAAGAACAAATATTTCTTTTTATGAACAATTATTTTGTTTTTATGAACATAAACTCGTTTTTACGAACAATCATTTAATTTTATGAACATAATTATATTTTATTTTTTGTAAATATTGCAACGTTTGACACGCCATAGTCGTGTTAAACTTGTTTATTTAACCTTTTCACCGTCTTCAGAAATAAATTGAAAAAGTCATATCCGTTGAGAACGGTCAAAGTAGTAAATTTTAAATAAAACAAATTATTAGAAATATCAGTGTGGGGAGTTTTAGCCAAATACAAAATCTTAGAGACAAAAAAACAAAAATGACAACAACAAATTGTTTAAACAAGATTTTACAAAAGAAATATTTCACGATTAATGTCGTCTGATGAATGTTTAAATATTTGTGTGTGCTTATGAACTGAAGACATGTGTACAGGTATTTAAATTACAAATGACTTATTTTAGCGAAGGTTTGAATGATTTATCTTTTTACAAAATTGCGCATCCTTCAAAAGGCACATCTATTTTGTTCATATCCACTGGATATCTCTAGAACACCTACTCTAAAAAAAGATTCCCGCCACAAATGGAAGTTACTCCTGACAAAAATATGTTGCAAGATTTTTCATATTTGGATAAATAAGAAATTTGGTATGATATTTGGAGCTTCCGGTGCACTTTCCCACTCGGGCATTTTCATGAATAAAAGGGCCGGAGACAAGCTTTCAGTCCCTTGTGATTTTGATATAAAAAGGTGTTTGTAACGTTTGATGGACTGATTTTTCGAAAGACAGTCACATTTTATATGCAAACTAACTGTGCTTATTTTCTCTATAACTTATTCCTTGTTCGTACCTAAAATTCGTGATAAAGATTTTCTAAGGACGAATGAAAAGACGAAATCTTATCTTTTATCCTTAAGTGACACTATGCACATGATCTCCTATCATTGAATAAATAAAAGTTTGCCAAATTTATCAATCGCATCTAACCAACTGGGGGTCCTCGGTGGCCAAGTGGTCTAAGTAGTTCTACTACTGTAATCACTAGCCAGTCAACACTGAGGTTGTGAGTTCGAACCCCATTCGTGCGGGTGCACTCGACTCCAATCTTAATTGACTAGGATTGTCAGTTTTCCTATCGAAGGTCGGTGGTTTTCTCCGGGCACTCCGGCTTCCTCCACCAATAAAAACTGACCGCCACGAAATAGCCCAAAAGTGGCGCTTAAAAGTGGCGTTAAAACACCAACAATCAATCAATCAATCTAACCAACTGAACAGGAATTATAGTATACCACAGCTAAGATGTGGGTCTTTTTGAATTCTGAATTAATATCTAGATATTGACGAAGAGTCTTGATTAAGAAC